AGCCAGAGAACAAAAATCAGAGCAAAACGAAAATTAATTCAATGGAGTTTCACTTGGGTTGTTTAACACTTTGATTTTATTGAATTAAAAAAAAAGTATTTTCATTTTCTTTAAACTTGTGAAAATATTGATTCCCAAACAAATTTTTTGCTGCAATCACCGTTATTTTAATTTGACTACAGGCCCACTGCGGGGGTTTTTTTTATCGACGATGTTTAAGCAAAAATTCTTGCCAGCGGTGGTGCCGTTTTTTCCAACAATTGAAAATGTAAACAATATTTTGTAACAACGTGGACTAATGATAATAACAGATGAAAAATAAATAAATACCCCTGAAAAATTTCTGACTTAATTTCGTCTAAAAAAGCTTCCTTTCTACAATAAAATTGAAAGATTACCGAGAAACACAGGATTAATTTTAATTTCAGCAAAATACGTACAATTTTTTTTTGAAATCATACTACAAAATGTCGCAAAATGTATTATTTGTAAATAAATTCCTGGGTGTTCAACTGGGATGCAAAGTGCGACCTTTTCAAAATCCTGCGCCCCCTTCTGCGGGCCGACTTTGCCATTAACACGCAGTCCCAGAGTGAGAAATCACTCAGGCTCCACACCCTGCTTGCAATTGAGTTCAAACGCAGAGAAGGACAAGCGCACGCTCCACTTTGAGAGACATGTAAATAAATAAATAATAGAGAATGTTCGGTAGAAAACCCCGCGTTAAAATCTCCAATTTTCTGAGCATATTTTCAGGCAAATCGTGTGCCTTCCACAATTCATAGTTTGAAATTTTGCTGATTTATTAAATAAAAAACCTATGCAATTTTATTTATCAAGTAATGAAAAGTTCCAAATATTCCATTTAAGATTTGAGTTTTTCAAAACCTTTTTTTTTCCAAGAATTGTATAATTTGACAGGATTTGAAGCATTTTTTAAGCCGACCATCATTACAACGTAAAAAGCAAATATTTTCCACTTTTGAAGCCAATGGAGAGGCCGCGGTGGGGACTAGAATGAATTCCTGGGCGAAATAATGTTTTTCTAGGGAGCCGAAAATTTTGGACCCATGCGCGCAAATGAACAAAAGAAATGGAGAAAATGCCCAGAAATCCATTTCCATTTTCGCCTTCGCCTGCTTTGATGTGCAAAGAGAATGTTGGCGCTGGGGGAGTTGTTATTGACAACTGGTAGCTGTTGGGAGGAAAAAGCAAATCCTGAGTTCGCCGCCCATGCTTTTGCTGCAGGCAGGGGCCAAAACAAAGAAAATAAGAAAATTGCTTCTTAGGCTGTCAGTTGAGCTTTTAATAAGAAACTGCAGCTACGACAAAATAAGGGAGAGGCAGATTTATGACCACAGCTATGGAATGCAGCACTAGGAAAATAATTTATTTTTCATTAAAGTTGAAATGAAGAATTTAGTAAACAATTTATCCAGCAAGAAAGGTCGCTTTGAGTTGAGAATCTACTTTATTTTTCTATTTGCATTATTTTTTCCTTTTTGCATTAAAAATGAAGTTCTAGAGGGGCGATAATTTTTTCTCAATATTTGACGAAATCACGAGTAAAACATGGACTTAATTTAAACAGATTTTCTTGTGAATTTATAAAAATATTAATTTTATTGCTAATTTGGTTCATTATTATAGTTGCCAGCAATTGTTTTTAAAATTATCTCTATGATTGACAAAGACGGGAAAGTCACATAAAATAATATAATTACAAACATAAAAATTAAACTAGCGCGCTCCCTTCAGAATTCGCAAATAGCACAAACGGGGGCTGCATTTTGACAGAAGGGTCGAGAACCCTGCCGCCGTCAAACGTGCAGAGATGCTAATTGAAAATTGAACTGCATCGGGTCCACAGACCTCTTCTTCAAAGGCAGAGAGACTGATTTTAACGCCATCGAATGCTGATGGGCAACAATTGGCAACCCCCGCCGCCGCCCGTCCCCAGCCTAAAGTGTTTTAGGCCAGGATGCTTTTCCTTCAGGGTCGTCAACCCGGGAAAGATCTGCCCTTGAAGAAAACAACAAACAAGTTTCGCTCCCTCGGCCAGCAGATTTTATTAAGTGCGTTTGTGCATTATTTTATCGGAAAGTGCGGCCGCGCCTCTTTTGATGTTTGCTTTAGCAAACCTCTGCTAGTTTTCATATTTTCAAATTCTCAATTTCTATATTGACATGGAAAAGAAGAACAATTTAAAAGACATCGATATTTTAGACGAGTAGCAAAATAAATTTAATTTTTACCCCCCGGCAATTCGACAGATTTTATTTACATAAAATTTAGACTTAACTCACCATAAAACCGAAACGAGAGTTCCAATTCAATTAGAAACTCAATTAGCGATTTATGATTAGATTGGCGTTTTTATGAGGAATTTGTAGGTGCAATTTTCGAGCAGCCGAGTGGAAAATCAGGGAGAAAAGAAATTATAGCGCCCAGGCAACAAACACATTTGTTTTTGCCTTGGAGTAAAAATTTGTTAACGCAAAAAATGGGAAATTTAATTCTTTTGCGACACGAAAAAAAAAAAAAAAAAAGAGGCAAACAAAGCACTGCCGTGATTATTTGCCTCGCGGGCAGTGCTAATGGCAGTGCAGAGATTTGAATGCGATGGGTGAGAAGCAGAGACCAACTTCCTGCCTCGGTCCAAATATCAGAAGATTGATTGGGAACAATCACATGAATTCTCATGACATCTAAAAAAGAATTGGAAAAAGTTTCATCCTCAAGTCATATATTGATGAAAACGGCATTTGAAGTCGTTGAATTTTGTTTTGTATTAACAAACAAAGCAATTTCATTAAGCAAGAAAAAATGGTAACAGGAACATTGGAAAGACGATTATTTTAATAAAAAATGCAAAAAATGTAAACCTTAAAACCGAAATTAAGCATGAAAACTTTTTCGGCGCAACTGGTTATCGTCTAGCATTTGAAAATTTTGTTTATTTTTGTGAAAAAAATTTTATAACTGATACAATTCAAACACAAGTGGATGGTCTGTGGGGAAAATCATGGGAATTACTAAAAATTTAACTTTTATAAAGTTGAAAACTTTTGCTCACTTGGCTCGTTCTTTGAAAAGTGTGCATTTGCAGGAACATGTTTTTTTTTTATTACCGCAGGTGCGGCGGCACCCTTTCTTCTGATGATTCTTAAATCATCGGCCACAGGGTCAAGAAATTTCCTTAGAAAAAAGAAGCGGCGCCGGAGAGGCAGAAGGAAAATCTCTTTTGCTGCCTCCCCCGTCCCCCCATCAGCAAAAAGGAAAAACGCCGCCGCCGCCACTGCATCTCAAAAACGCAACGCTCAGGCGACAAACGCATTTGTTATTTCCCCCCCCCCCCCCCCCCCCGAGGAAGAAATTTGTTTGTGCACAAAAAGGGTAGCTTACTTGTTCGCGACGCGAAAACATAACGCAGAGACAAATAAAATGCACTTTGCCGTGATAATTTGAGATTTGAGCCACCCACCTAAATGGCAGAGAGTGGAGATTTGAATGGGCTGGCTGAAGCAGAGGAGGAAAGCCAACGATATCAGATTCCAGCTCGACGATCAATTTAAAAAAAAAAATCGCAAAAATTTACAAAATATGATGCAAAACTTGTGTTATTAATCATATTAGTCATGAATGTCATGACACATTTGAATCATTTAAATAATTTCCGAACTTCTTTTTATGTATTTCTATTTATGTTATCATTTCATCTTTTATCTTAAATACCAGAGTGAATTCGCTCCGCAAGAAATGATAAAAAATTGATAATATTTCTGCACAGATCATAAATTTTCCTTTCAATTCTAAAATCATATGAAAACTGATTAAAAAAGCCTACGTACGGGAAGAATTACTATTTCTGTTTCCGAACAGCATAACGCGTATTATTAGCAAAAATGCTGAAAGTCATTTGGTTGTGTTTCAAAAATCGAAAGTTGTTTCTAAAGACAGAAATTTTGGCCTCTTAGTAGCAATTTTGGCAATTATAAAAAAAAAATAACATTACAATTTATGTATTACGCGGGTGAAATGCCCGCGCGTCAAATAAAAAACTGCATAAGAGAGAAATCAGAGTCTTACTTTTTGCGGTGAAGAAGAGGTCCAAGTAGTAGACGATTATGGCACAGTCAAAGATGCAATCCAAAGGAAGCGAGGGCAGCAATGGATGCAGCAGAGGTCTTGAGATTGCAAATCGATGTGACAGCGATGAGAAGAGCTTCACGCGCGGAGGTGCAAAGACAAGTGAGCAGCCAGCGCGCAGGGAGGTTTCCTGCGATGGCGCCCCCTACCTGCCTCTGCTTTCTCCCATTCCCCTTCGCCGCTCCGACTTCAACCCTTTGCAGTTCAAGAAAGCCGCTCATATTGTTCTTCTTTCTTTGCGCGACAATTCTTGCACAAAAGTTGGCGATCTGAAAATTTAGCAAACCATATGACAGAAATCACACAAAAATCCAATGGGGGCTCAAAATGCAATATATTTCATTATAATGAAATCAATTTCATTGTTTGATAGCCAATCAGAAGCGATATTTTCGAACAGGTTCTGCATCTGATTGGCTAAAAATTCAAAAAAATTCATTTTTATTTTGCATCAGGCCCCCATTGCAAAAATTATAATTTTCCATTTTTACTTATATGTTCAATTTTATTAAAAATCATGTAAAAAAAAAATGATTTTAATAATTTGCCACTCCTGCGCCAATCAAATTAAAATTCTTGGCTTAGACTCTGTTAATTAACTTGGCACATACAAAGTTCCAGTGTATTTTTAAAAAATATATTGACACTACTTATATTATTTCAATTTGTAAGTGCTTTACATCAACTAATGGCGCAGAGTGTCGTCGTTGATCATACTGAAGGTTTTGTTGAAGATTGAAAAGATTGTTCGAGAAATAATTTTTCCTAGCCGAGAATGAATAAATTCCGTTTTGAAGACAAATTTTATTCAATTGAAGAATACAATGTTAACATTGGTTTGCATCGGTTTGCATCTTGCTTAAATTGCAAATGTTGTTGCATTCATTAATTCATACAAAGGTACAAAGATTTTATCGAAGTAAGATGTTAAATTTGGTACCATTTAACTCTTTATTCTTTCTGCTAGTGTTGTCACTTAAATGAGATATAATAATCACTTGAAAGAGAAGCCTTAAGGCAAGAATTCTTGCAGCCGATTCAGTTTTTCGGCTAATATGTTTTAAGTTTAATGAACTTTAATATATAGATGACGGCAAAATGAACATTCCAAAAACCAAATTAAATGACCAAATCTTCTCTCTGGTGCATATATAAACTGATAGTAGTCCGCGATAAATAAACAGGCCGGAGTAGTGCCGACTGAATATACCTCAAGTCATCTGAGCAGGTTTTCCCAATTAATCTTAATACCACATTTTTCGTTTCTTCTTTCCTTTCATCTGCATGCCGTGTTCAAACGGTTCAAACTGTCCAAAGTGAGCATCTTCAGAATTATATGGCCTTACATTGGGTCCAGTCTAAAGTAATTTAAATGAAGAGGGATAAAATAAGCACAATAATTGATTAAAATTTTCAAATGATTTGGAACTTTAAAAAAAAAATTGAGCTTCACGTATACAAAATATTTAAAGTTTGGTTTAATTAACAACTTTAAATATGAAGCAAAACCAAAATTTAATACAAAGGCCTTTTTGGCCTGCCTCCTTACCATAGGCTCAAGCTGATTTGTAAATGCAAAGACGTGCCCTCTGCTGACGTTAGTTGTAAAATATCTATTTTCACCACAAATTGGGGAGAATGACTTTGGACTCAATAGAGCAAATTTTCCTTTCAGCAAAACACTTTGACTGTTTAGGATGGCAATGTAGATTCTTTCCTCATTCGTCAGCCACTCGGAGATTTGCAGAAGGTCAATCTCCGGCACAGTGAAAAGGTGGAGTTGTGGAATTGCCAAACGGAGCCAAGCACTGCAGCTGAAATAACATAAATTTGATCTTTTTAACGGCATAAATAAGCAAATTACAAAAATTGTACCTTGAATCATCCCCTTTTGCTTTTGCCAGTCTCACACAGGCAGACACAAGTTCTGCTTCTGACTGGAGTCTCATTTTGTTTAAGTTGAGGAAAGAGATCAAAGTCTCCAAACCAATTTCTAGAAAAGCTGCATCGTTAAGACATGTGTCAGTCTCTTCCTCCAAGAACTGAAAATATTATACAAATAAATATTACAAATTATTAATTTCCGATCTCACATAAAAACTAAACTTGAACCTTTTTGCAAGCTTCACTGATGAATCGGTTCTTTTGATTTTGGCCGAAAATGCTCCACACAGTATTGGGAGAAAGAAGAGGTTTCAGCATGTTTGAACACAAAATCCCCAAATCATGCAATAAAAACTCGTCAGCAGCTTTGGCCAACTCGATCATGTCTCCTTCGGAGTGTTCACAACCGTCAGCAGACGGCACACATGCACAAATCTATGAGCAAAAAAATATGACAGAAAATTTACTATAATTAATTTTAAAAACATTAGCAAGAAACTTACTCCATGACCAGTTTGAAGATGGGGGGTTTGACGCTCTTGATTTCGATGGGTCCTGGATTTGTCAGGTTCAGAAATAACTGCTCAAAATACATGCTCGCTGCTCGTAAATCAAATTTGTTGGCATGAAAACACTGCGAGAAGAAGCGATTATAAAAAGTAAAATTAGATTTATTAGATCTCGATTTGGTAGACGAAATCAGCAAGTATTAAAATGAAACGCACCTGCCGGCAACCGTCGTCCGGGCCGACGAGGAATGAGCAATGATCGGCGAAATCAGCCTTCTCCAAAGCCATCATTTTGTTCTTGGCCACGCCGAAATAATCATAGAATCGACTTTCCTCAAACGAAACCTCCAGGTCCATACTATTGATCGCCTAATCTAGGAAATGGATTCATGTACAGAGCGCAAATATAAAAGCCCGCTGCAGTTTTAGAGATTGGCACGGTACGCGCTAGCGACTGCAGCTATGAAAAGATGAATCACGAAACGAATATGGCATAATGGCACGAACAAATGCCGTTTTTATGCCGTCGTGAAAGCAGTCTGCTGTTATAAAAGTGAGCAGATTCGTCTGCGTCATCTGCGTGCGCCGCGGCCGCCGCGCCGTTCCTTAATTTTGCTCAACATTTCGCTCCTCTCTTCTCTCTTCTTCCACCTCTTTCCTCTTTTGCTTCGCATTCGCATTCCATTCCGCAACAAGTTTGCAACTTTGCAATGCAAAACACAAAAGAAAAGGGCGGAGTCTGTAAGTGGAATTCGTATTCTAACCTGCATTCCAAATGGAAGTATGGAGATAAATGAGATACACACAAAGGATACAATTATTTACAAACTACTATAAGCAATAAGCATGGATCATGTCGGATCATATAATGCACGTATGTGCATTATGATGTCTTTATGTACTACATTTATGTACACTAAAATGGCTAAAATGTGTCAGATATAGGGGGAGGGAGGGGGGGGAAGTGGCGCTCAAGACGATAATATTCCCGCGCCAGCCAAGCAACAACAGTGCAGCCTCCTAGCGGTAGAAACTGGAATCAATTTTCAAACAAATAAAAAAAAACAAAATAAATCGCTGAAGCTGGGAGAAGTTCACATTGGCATGATTTTTCTGACCGGAAAATGGTAAAATGAACCTCTAGCCTGTTAAATTGCTATTGCCTTGAGTGAGAAAATGGCGAGGAAGAAGAAAGCCGGCGGTCGAGGAGGAGGAGCGGCCGCGGCGGCGGCCACCAGCAGCCCTGCCGGTGCCGCAGGTCCGTCTTCCGCAGAGCAGCCCAAACCAAGAGGCAGAGGTTTGCTAACTTTAATCTCGGAGATTAAAGATATATAATTTCTAAATCTTTTACTCAAAGGTCGGCCGCGAAAGAACCCCGTTGTCGTTGCGGCGGCGGTGCCGGACCAGCCGGACGCCGTCGTTAAAGAGGAACAGTCGCAGTCGTCGTCGATTTCGACTGCCGACGAGCAGTCGCAAGACGCGACGACGTCGCAGACCGGCGACGAGTCCCTTCCGCCGGCCAGCAACAGCAAGAAGTTTGGCAAGTTCCGCATTCTGCACAGTTCTTCGCCATCCAGTTCGTCTGGCGAGCAGCCGTCCGAGTGGGCGACTAAAGTGGAGGCTGAGGTGCCGCTTCCCAGCAGTGTTGTCGAAGAGGTCGTCATTGAAACCTGCACGATGGAGGTCGAGGTCACCGCATCTGAGGAAATTAAGCATGAAGAAGTGGATGTGGAAATGGCGGTCGCTGAGGAGACGGTGGTCTGCATGGCCGAGGACGACAGCTCGAGTAGCGCCGCTCCTCCAACAAATGAAGCAACTGTAGCCAAAGAACAAGAGGAAAGTAGTCAGCAGTTGAAGGGAGAAATTGAAAATTTTGAAAAATTAACAATAGAGTCTGAGCAAAAGGTTGACGAAGAAGAGGAAAAAATTCTTATGATTGTAAATTAATTCGGGAAATTTTATATGTTTTTTATCATATTTTTATTTCAGGCTGCGGAAGAGAAAAAAGAAAAGACTGAAGCCAAAATTCCCGAGCCTGAAAGTCCTCAGAATGCAAGGAGGCGCAGTTCTCGAATTAAAATTATTCAGGTTTGGATTTTGAAATAAAGAAATGTGATTATAACTAAACATGTGAAAAGGAGTCAAATGTGAAAGTGAGGCCTAGCAAGGAGGATAGAGAGAGAGAAAGGGAAGCCAAGGAAGGAACTGAAACTGGCTGCAGCAAAGAAACTTCGGAAATTTTTCCTACTCCGACCGCTCCAGTTTCGAGCAGCGTCAAACCGGTCAAGGTTTAATCACAACCGATTCTATGAAATTTTTGGTTTCAATTTTGTATGCAGGTCAAGTCTCGCTGGAGGCGCTCGAGTGAATTAGAAATGGGATCAAACAGCCTGGCTAGAAGTCCAGGAGCAAGTCCCAACCCCTCTCCTGTGCCAACAGCACCCAAGGTGCACCTGCCACTCACGGCTGATGAGGAGAAATTGAGAAATTTCAAAAAGGTGGAGAAGAATGTTTATTTGACCCAAAGGTGAAAACTTAAAGTGAATTAAATTTTAAAATTTTGTTGTTTCTTTATTTCATGTAACTTTGTAAGAACCTTTTCTAATTTTAAACTTGATTTAATCTTCAGAACTACAAACAAAGAAACAAAAGGGATGATATGCGAGTGCGAACCTGTTGATGATGATGAGATGGGATGCGGAGAAGACTGCCTCAATCGGATGCTCATGATTGAATGGTAAATTTATGTCTCCAGTTAATATGAAATTAATTTGTGATATTTGCAGTGGTCCTCGTTGTCCACTGGGAGACAAATGTTCCAACAAACGCTTCCAGAAGATGGAATATTCTCCAATTCAGGTTTTCCGCACCGAAAAGAAAGGATTTGGTCTGCAGGCGTTGGCAAATATTGAAGGGTTATTTAATTTCTAGTTTAAAAATCCATTTGCTGAATTTTAAATCCCAGTGGAGCGTTTCTCTCCGAGTATGTGGGCGAAGTTTTGGATCCGTACGAGTTTCAGAGACGAGCCGAGGACTACGCCAATGACAAAAACAGACATTATTACTTCATGGCCTTAAAGTCTGACGCCATCATCGATGCCACCATCAAAGGCAACAACTCTAGATTCATCAACCACAGCTGTGACCCGAACGCTGAAACTCAAAAGGTATTTAATCTTAAAAGTAACAAAGCTTGATATTAAAATTCAATATTTTTGTAGTGGACAGTAAATGGTGAGCTACGAATTGGCTTCTTTTCCATCAAAGACATTGCGGCTGGGGAGGAAGTCACATTTGACTACCAACTGCAGCGCTATGGGTACAACTTTTATTTTATTAATTAGGTAAATATTCAACCATCAAATTTAGCAAAGAGGCGCAGCGTTGTTACTGTGAGGCTACCAACTGTAGAGGCTGGATCGGTGGTGACCCTGACAAGGAGGAAAAAGAGGAGACTGTGTCCAAGAAAGAAGTCAGGGCTGCCGACAAGAAGGACAAAAAGGCCAAGCCAAAGCCCAAATTCTACATTGTTCAAGAGCTTTTGGAAGACCAAGACGTGAGCAAAAAATTTCAAAACTTCTCTTTCTGATAAAGGATTTTTCAGTTGGAGAATGACGTGCAGAAGCTTTGCAATGGTGGTTTGAAGAACCAGAAGAACACGCTCAACTTCAGCAGACTGATGGTCAGGGTTGAAAACCAGGAGCAGCGGAAGCGGCTGCTCGAGTTGCTGCAATCCACTGACACACCTTGCCGAAGACTGTTTTTGGACTACCACGGTCTTCGACTCATGTGGAGCTGGATGGTCGACGAAGGCAACATTCTCCGTCTAGAGGTTAGGACAAAAATTGAACATGATACTTCAGATTTTTTAATTTTCAAATTTATTTAAATCTAATCTTTAAATAAAATTTGTTCTTCATACTGTTTTCAATTCTTAAAGTAATGTCAATTTTATTTTAGATCATGCAAACTTTAGAGGCTTTGCCTATAACCAACATTACTCTACTGCAAGACACAAAGGTCCTTGGGGTCATTGAGAAGTGGGAGGAAGAAAGCAGGTAGTTTTTCCTGTGCTATTTAATGAGTACTTTGAAATTTAATGAAATTTTGTCTCAAAGACCTAGGGAAGTTGAAATTGAGATGGAATTGGCACCAGCTGAGGAGGAGGCTAAGCCGGAGAAGGAGGAAGTTGTAAAAACTGAGCCGATGGAAGAGTGTGTGCCTCCCGAACCTGTCGAGGACTCTGCCAAAGTGGAGGAAGCTCCCAAAGATGTGGAGAAGGCAGAGGAGCCCATGGATGTTTCTCCACCTGAAAAGCAAGCCGAGTCTCAAGAAGAGAAACCTCCAGAGGAAAATGAAAAAGTAGAAGAAGTGGATGTTGAAAAGGAAAAGCGCGAAGCTCTAGTTGCCAAAGCCAAGAGTGGTAAAAATTATTAAATGAGTGATTGAATAACATTAAACTTTTCATACATCAGATGCTGCCAGACTTGCGGCTGAAAACGAAATTGCCAAGCGACTTTTGGAAGCGTGGAGACAGTTGCCAGAAATTTTCAAAATTCCCAAGAAGGTGAAAAAGGAACAGATGAAAGAGCATGAGAGGGAAGCTGGTAGGTAAAAAAACAGGCAGTTGAAATTTAGTTTTAACACTTTCCATTGCAGAGCAAAGCTACCAAAAGTACCTTGAGAACAGGGGGTACAAAGCAGAGTATTCCGAAAGCAGTGACCGCGCTCGAGACAGATACCGCGGCGCAAACACCACTTCCTCCCTGACCACCTACCCTGGCTTCAAAAGGAGAGACTTGAAGGATGAAAATAGAAAGCCAAGGCTCGAACGTCCTGAGGACAAGTTTGTTTCTCTCTTGTGTCATTTTCGCATTTAACTTGTACCTTCATGATTCAGAATGTTTGGTGGAATGAGCAAGTTTGAGAGACGTCAGCTCTTTGCCCAGCGAGTGGAACAAGAGGAAAGGGCCAAAAGGGAGCATATGTGGATGGAGCAGGAAAGGGAGCGGCGGCGAATCTTGCAGCAACAACAGCAGCAGCCTCACATACTGATGGACGCCAATGGCGTGCCCTGCTTTTTCAATCCAGCCACCAACTCCTGGCACGCCTTCCAAGGTCCTCCAGGTACAAAATAATATATATAAATTGCCTTCATTTCAAAATTTTCAATGAAATACAATTTTAAAGGCAAACTGAACGAACGATTCCTTTCTCTTAATATCTTTTTATAATAAATAAATTTACATTTTTTTTAAAATTATTATACCTTCAACAAATAATTTTTAATATATACTTTCCCAAGTTTTGGTCTGCAAAATATCTTAATAGAAAAATTTTTCAGTTGCAAAGTCACCAGCCGAGCCTATTGTGGTGCAGCCTCAGTTCGACCCCTCTGTGTGGCACCAAGTGCACCACATCCCCATTGCGCCTCTGCCTCCCAAGTGGAAGGCTGCCTATAATAAACAAGGCCTTCCCTACTACTTCCACATCAAGCACCGAGTACCTCAGTGGGAACCTCCCTCTTTGATTCCAACCATCGGCAGTCTGACTTCATCTGAGGAATCTAGCAGTTCAAGTGAAACGGAAAGCAGCGATGAATCAGGAGACGAGGGTGATTCTGAAAGTTCCGAGGGTGAAGAGGGGAAGAAAGGCGATGACGAATCTGACCAAGAAGAGCAGTAATTGAATATTCATGTGTTTTTGAAAAGGATTTTTATATTTTGTGAATTTTAGAAGTTTGGCCGAGGAGCCGGAGGCTGAACCTTGCGTACCTGGTGAAGAAGGTCTCAAATTAAAGACAGGTGAAGGAGCAGAAGAGGGGGAAGAGGAGTCTAAAAAAGTGGAGCCCAGGCGGCGTTCTGGACTCATCAAAGAGCTCATCATCATCAGTGTATGTCCAGTTTTTATTTAAATGGTAAAATTATTTAAAGTGATTTCCGCAGCCTCGTCGAGAGGAAGACATTCCGACGGAAAGCTCAAAGATTCGAATTCGAAAGGCCAAGGAGCAGCTTAGGCTGGAAAAACGGGCTGCTCTCATGAAGCAGCACAGACTCAAAGAAAAGTCCAAGGAAAAACAACGAACCATAAAAATAAAAACCCCAGCAGGTAAATTATTAAAGAGATTTTGTAAAAAATGAAATTCAATAGAATATTTAGCAGGTGGCGATGTGGATGCCGAGGCCGAGAAGAAAATCAAGGAAGACTTCCTTGCAAAAATGGCCTCCACTGTTGTGTCAACCTTGAACCCCTACCACAAACCTGAATGCCAGCAGGGCCGAATTACCTCCAGTGAAGATTTCAAACATCTTGCACGAAAGGTTTTTTTAAACTTTGCCAAATTAACTCTCATTTTTAAAATGATTTATTCTGTAGTTGACAAACTTTGTGATGCTGAAAGAACTGAAGCACTGCCGCAAAGTGAGTGACCTGGCCTGCAATGACAGCGTCAAGCACAAGGCCCGCGAGTACATCAAGAAGTATATGGCTAAGTTTGGCGAGCTCTACTCTCGAGAGCGGGAACGGGAGCACAGCAGAAGTCAAGGTGCTGCCGGAGGTGAAAAACATGATGATTCAGTGAAAGAGGATGAGGATATGTGATGTTACAAACTCAAATAATTAATTTAATTTGATCAAAGAAAGTGCTAATTTATTTTTCGTAACTCCTTTGAAATAATTGTGGAACAAAAGACGAGATAGGTTTGCATATATCTAAGATTGCTGCAGGAATTTTTATCATGCTCCGAATTTTGTGAATTGCTGTACACATATACCAAATGCCATGCAAGGTTATAAATTTTAGCACATATCACATGGGTAAACAGCCTGTCTAGTGAACCACACTGGTGAATATTCTATGCTAAATAGTGAATTGTCAACGGACGAGGTAAGATTATCTTAATTTTGATGATTTTCAGTGAACCTTTAAACCTTTTGTAACTTTTTGTTGATAAGAAAAACCATGGCAGCAGTTCCAGACGCCCGAAAGTATGAAACTCCCCTGTCCAAGAGTTTCTCGCCGAGTTTTGCTAACTCTGTTGACATTTTGAACAGCAGTGAGGTATTAGCTTTTCCTTAATTTGATCAAATCCTGCAAATTAAATCACTCTCCAGATTGCCGAAATCACTGCCATGCCTGAGGAAGGTGTCGCCGCAGCCCTGAAGCACTGCAAGTTGCGGGTCGTTGTGCCCTACTTCCGTCTGCTGGCCGCAGTCGGCCTGCGACCTTTGACCTTGACCAACTCCTGTCCCTGCTGGCTTGTCACTTCACTCAGTTTCCTGCACCTGGGTCTTGTCCTCATCCTCCTGGTGCTCGGCTACGGCCTGCAGTTCCTCTCCTGCTTTCGGCAAGTTTGATGTGAATATGAAAATAAATGAAAAATTATCACATTCTAAATTCAGGAGAGACCTCGGGCCTTTGGGACAAATCAACGGCAACGATGTTCAGCAGTGGGAGGAAAAGTGTCCTTTGACCCAACTGGTCTCAAACTTTGTTGTTCCGAGCATTCTCCACCTGATCACCTACTTGTACGTTCTCTATCTGTTTCGAATCAAGGACATCGAGCAGTTGCCTAATTTGATGGAGAGGGTAAATTGTGCTCATTTTTTTTTTAAACAAATAACAATTTCATTTTTTTTTTTTTTATTCAAACGCCAATATTAAAATTGGATACATTCCGAAGTTATGATGTATAATTGGGTGTAAAATTAAATTAAAAATTTGAATTATATTAAATTTAATTATATCTATCCTTTTAATTTTATTACTCTCTGAACTTCAATATTTTCTTAATTTTAAATTAAATTTAAACTCTTTGAATAGGTTTTTGTTGTTTCCTGTCCACCCGGTGGTGTGGTGCAGCCGAAGAAGGTGACAAGATCTCTGTGGCTTCTGCTGGCCATGGCCTCTGTGTGGCTTGTCATGTCCGTTGTCACCTTTTCCCTGGCCCTGATCCTCAACCCTCCAAACTTCCGCTGGATCTATATGTAAGAATTCCTTCTTTTTTCTGTACATCACTTAAAAAATTAAATTTCTAAAGGGATCCTATTTTCATCCGAGCTTTGTTGGCCACCGGAACGATGGTCCAGGACGCCGTTCAGTCGACCCTGGTCTCAGGGTACTGTCTGCAGGCGCATCTGCTCACCCTTTTGGCTGCTGCTCTCAAGCAGAGAGTTCTCAAACACACTTTGTCCCTTTTGGACTGGATGAGGGTAAAATGCATTCAATTAACAACAAAAAATCAGCTCTAATTAAATGACCGATATTAATTAATTAATTTTTTACTGGTTTATTTTGTTATTAGAATTGATTAGAATAAATACATAATTTCTTTGTAGTACTTTTATTTCATCGAAGTGTAAATTCAATCAAGAAATAAAAAGAAGACCATATTTAATTCAGGAGGTTCGAGAGTTGCTGGAGCTTTTGCGCCATTTGAATGACCGACTGGCACCTGCCGTCTGCGTCTTGGCACTGATCAGTGCCTCCTGGGCCCTGTCAGGTCTAATCACCATCGTTCGAAAGCCCGAATCCACCAGGGTTTACCTTGCCGTCCTGCTGATCATCCTTTGGGCCACCCTGGCCATTGCCCCTTTCATTATGGTTAGAATTTTCTGTTTTTATTTTATAAAAGTTTTAAATTTTTTATTTGTTTAGGCAACAAGACTGAGCAGACACTGTGACGCCCTCCGAGAAGTGGGTCACGAAATTCGAGCTAGGCCCTTCGAGTACATGGATGCGTCGAGTGAAGACCTGAACTCGCTGCTCCTGTTTGCCAGCACCCTCAGGTTGAAACCAAGCCTCTTCGGAACACCAGTGTCAGGTCGTTCAATGTGCATACTTTTGTCTCTTGTAGCTTTGACTGCCCTAGTTGCTGGTCAAATTGCATGATTTTTTTAAATCTTATACACAGAAAGAATGCAGTAACAAATGTTTATGCACTGCTCTTATTTAATAACAATATTGTTATAATTTATTATTTATTAATAAACTGAGCACTGAGCCGCAGTTTTTTCTCTTGATAATTAAATATTATTAGGGTTTTTGCTACACACGTAGATAATACTTATTTTTATTTTTACAAAATAAAATTTTCATCTTGTAGAAAATTAAATAGCTATGGTTAAGTTTTTTTTTTAACTAAGACGTTGATAATATATAATGCAATCCATATATTTTTTACAATACTTATTTTTATTTTTACAAAATAAAATTTTCATCTTGTAGAAAATTAAATAGCTATGGTTAAGTTTTTTTTTAACTAAGACGTTGATAATATATAATGCAATCCATATATTTTTTACAATATACTTGTGTGTGCACGGACATTGTCATTGATTAGGAAGTCGATGAAAAAAAATTCTTTTGCAAGCAAAAGGATCTCATTTTATTCATATTACATCCATGCAATAAACTAGGTTTGCATGGTAGAGATCGTTTCCGCTCTATATCATTTTTCCTTGCCAGCCAACCCCATTATTACCTTCGCCTTGCCCCTCTCTTTCACTCTGTCTCTCACTCATGCATTTGACGCACCCCCAAGGATCTTTTTGAAAGATCCTTTCGCACCCCTCTATCTGTTTTGTTAATCCTCAATCACCCTAATATGCTGGTAGCTCATATCATCGACGAGTTGTTTAACAAGAAGCATAGAAATTAACAATGACAGTGTATTATAGATGCTTGCTTCTGCTAAATGCTTGCTGGCAACTCTCATCTCGGAAGAATTCAAAAGTAAATAAAAAGGCCTTAACAAGAGCTTAATTTAGGTAACTTTTAAACTTATAATTTTCTAAAGCTCGAAAATTCAATTTTTTTATATTTTGATACGGCACTAAATTGTCCAAAAATATTTCTTTCAATTAAAGCTCTGATGCGTGTGCATCAAATAAGTATTCCCCACTTGGTGATCTATAATATATTATATTTCACGCTCAGAACTATGGTCCAGGACGCCATTCAGTCGACTCTGCGGTCTCAGGGTGCTGTCTGCAGGCGCATCTGCCCACCCTTTTGGCTGCTGCTCTCAAGCATAGAGTTCTCAAACACACTTTGTCCCTTTTAGACTGGATGAGCGTAAATTATACGAATTATACAATAATTTAAAAAATTTATTATTAAATTGAGCCAAATTTTTCTCAGGTTTAAATATTTTATCAATTTTAGCTGCACAAGAATTATTTATTTAATTAAAATTTTGTAATTTCAAAATAAATTTCCAATTCATGGAAAATAAATAATAGATACTTAAGTTTTCTTTTCCAAGAGTTTGAGATTGATGCGATTAATATTATTAATTTTTTTTTTTTATATTTCACACTATACCTGTGTGTGCACAGACTCTTAAAGAATGTTTTGCAGGTTATTATTATTATTTATTCTACTCAAGTCATAAAAAAAAAAATGAAATTGGAAAAATGAGCAGAAAGGGTATCACAACTAGCAGAGGTCTGCTAAAACGCCCGACATCAAAAGAGACACGGCCGCCGCGGTGAACCCACACTTGCAGCACAAAACAGGTGATTTATTTTTTATTGTTGCTTCAGGCGCTGCAGCTCAATGGTACACAACATAATAACATTGTAAGCACCCCGCACTCCCTTATGCCTTCCTCCCCAATTTTTAGCCTCAATCGCCCCTACCCGACCCAAAATGCAGGCGCAGGTGGTGGTAGAACGATGCGCGTTAGCGTCGTTTTTCATCCCCTCACAGCTTAGGCTATCATTATGTGGTTTGTTATGTTGCAGAGGCGCTCCACACAATAAGAGCGATGTATCACTGCTGCACTTCATTTCATTTCGCCGGGATATTTTTTTCGTCTCAACGCTTTCTGGAGACTACTCTGGGCTAGCAACTCATCTCGGAAGAATTTCAAAAAGTAAGTAAAAATAACCTGTGAAAAGGAGCTCAGTTTAGACTTATTATCACGGCCAAACTCAAATTCTCATGAGCTTAGTATTTAAATTTAGTTTCTTTTGATTAAGGATAAAGGCGCACTTTTAATCATTTCAAATTTGTGCAAGGCCGGACTGGGGCTCCGCAGCCCACATAGGGTGATATCATTGAGAAAGCGCGGCCCAGTTCGGCGGCGCGTTTCCCAATAAGACTAACAAATATGTTCAATCGGCCCAAGGCGTATCAGAGTTGGGCTCGACTGTCTAGTCTGGGCCTGAACTTATGTTTAAATATTTTGTTTTTATCATAAGAAAAATTTCAATAACTATTTTACGCGTCACGTGACAAACCAAAAGTGACAAGCGAAGATTTTATACGCACATTGTCAGTGGCTGTTGAAAAATAAATTATGAATAGAACGCTCCAAATTTTGTGTACAATGACGCAAATAAAATTAAACCAGCAGTTCTTTGTACCTGAAAGAAATAAATAAAAGAAACTACGATTTATAAATTCATATAAATTAATATATTTTGTTTTTACACAAAAGCTTTTTTACATTTAAAGTTTTGTGTAATGCGTATAATGTTTGTATTTAAATCACTGCCTTATTTATTCCAGGTAATTTTTGAGGAAAAACGACCCATCACCTTACTGTGAATTGAAATGAGTGCAAAAGAAAAAGCAGCTGCCAAAGAAAATTGCCATTGCAAATCGGCCAAGTCTTCATTGCCTTTATTGGTTTGCACTCGCAAGTCGAACCATGTTTGCACCCGCAAGAAATGCAAATTCTGCATACCCAAACGACGACAGCTCAAGCATCAACCTCCTAGCAAAGGAGGATTGATTAGTGCTAATGATACTCGCAAATACATCATTGGTGAGTATAAAAACTATTATTTCCTGGCGAGGAATAATAATATATTTCAAAAGAAATATTTTTTATTTGACATTCACAAGTGCATTATGCATTAGGTAAGAATTAAAGTCTATCTAGTTAAAAAGTTAATTAAAAAGCTAAATAATTTGTTTTGATTGATAATTTTTTGCACTTTTTTTCTCTTTTTATAGCCAGCGCATCAAAAAAGAACAAGTGTTTTGACCGAGACTTTCCATGGGAGGTTCCTCTTGAGGTTGTTGAACCTGTATGTATAGCAGATTTGCCACTAGAAAAAGATCTCATTTGCAAACTCCTGCGGATGGACGGAAAAAGGAATAACGCATACTTGAGTGCTATGTACCCTACCCCTCAGTTTTTGGGAAAACAATTTTATGATGCAAGCGTTTTATTTTCCTGCAAGGAAAAAAAGGACCAGCAAGTCTTTTGCGAACTAGCAACCGTCACGAATTTCATCTTCCACCTGGAATGCTCGGGACTTGACTATTGGAGGGTCGTGGACAAGAGCGCAAACCAAGCCTGCGGAGAACACTTAGAATTTCTTGCATGGCACACATTTCTCACGACCTACGAACAAGAGGTGAAAGAAGAGGAACAACTTCCACAAGACCACCAGCCTGCCGATTTTCTGCTCAACAATGGCCTTGTTTGGCAGCTCCACCTGAGTCCTATTTTGCTCAGTCAATGGTTGATGACCGCCCTGTATGTGCTGCTCGACTATGAAGAGAAAACTGCCCCGTACAGATATGCACCGATACCTGTGCAGATCGCAGAGGTTGCCCAAGACGTCCTGGTGTTCTTGAAAGACCTGCGGAGGAGAATCGCCTACGGATTCATGCTGATCGGGCACCTGGTCAAAATTCACCCCAAGAGGGACGGCCGGGTCACCAGACTGATCAGGGAAGACATTGTTGCGCCTGTGCTGGCCTCCCTGAAGGTGATGCTCAAAGACGAGGACAAGCATTTTCAGTATCTTGTCAAGATGTTGCCAGACGTTATTGAGTTTGCAAAGAGTTTAAGCTGTTCGTGTATGATTGAACATCTGGCATACATTGATCCACGGAATCACTATTTCGTAGACCAAGAATACGACAGTGACTTACTGTCGTCGAGCATCGTTTTCACGCAGGCTTTTTATGATGACAAGCGGCAGATCAAACCATGCTTTGGGGAACTCTCTACAAAAATTAAAGATTTAAAAAAGAAAATCAACGAAGTTGTAATTTATGACCTGCTTCCGTGGTCTGGACAAATGGTTATTGAGGTCTACAATGCTGGAATGCTGTGGGAAGTGATGCAACTGCACCTCCGTCCTGAACTAGCAAATACAAAACTAGATGGTGACATCTATTCATTAGCAAATATAATCTACAACTCGCATGACGTACTAATTAGCAGATTGGAGGAGGTTTGCAGAGATAAACAGCAAGCAATGCGGAGGAACTGTCTGTCAACTTTGTTAATCAAAGAGCACCGCAACGCTTTGGCCCACATAAAAGCAAGTTGGTTCTTTAGAGAAGTCGAAACATTCATTACGAGTGGCAAAGTAGAGTTGATGGAAGCCACGACTGTAATTTGCAAAGCCAAGTTTGGCAAGAACTCGTTGATCAGGAAGAGGAGAAACGAATTTTTGAAAGAATGGGATGGAACTAGCAACCCTTGTCTTAATCTTGACGAGCCTGTCCTCGGCAACCACAACCCCATCAGAGTGAGTTTAATGTAATTTTCTCTTTACAATTTCAGTATAAAAATCCTAAACTTTATACCCAATAAAAGTTTAAATTCGATCAAAGTATGTTATATAATTTATCTATAATTTTCAGACTGGCGTTTTGGAACTGATTAAAAAAATAATTGCCGACAACTCAGATGCCGAGTTAGTTGAATTATATCCAGACTGGGCCTTTGTGCATTACATCCTGCCAACATTTGTGAATTGCTTCCAAACTAAGAGTTCTGGATTTTCAGACAAGTTCTCAGAAACATTTTTAGAAGAGGTGCTCGGATTATTTTCCAGAGATTACAACGCTTGGAAATGTAATACAAATAGCGTGGATGTGTTCAGTAACTGGTACCAGAAAGCTGAAATGCGAAATCTTCCAAAGCTTATGATCCTAAGGCGAATTTTGATGGACCGCGTGCCTCGAGAAGTTGCAAACAAGTTTGGTGTTCACACCAGCCCCATTTCAAAATTAAGCGAACTCCTTTCATTGAATGCGGCTGCCAATGTGTTTGTGAGCGACCGCGAAAACACACCGACCTTTGAGAAGATCTATTATCGCTGGACCAAAAAGGTCATCGATTGGTCCAACATTCTATTCTTTGCTATGACCGAGTCCATCTCAAAATTTGAAAATAATACTCCCGGTGGAATCAAGAAGAAGAGTTTGCTGCTGGCAATTTATTCGATGGTTGAGCTGGTGACGCTTTTCCAAGTGGAAGGCTCGGCCGAGTTCTCGGCGCACCTGAAACACCTGAACCAGTTGTGCCAAAACCTGGACGAGACGTACACGGCGCTGCTGCTGGAGCAAAACGGCGGCGGCGGCGCCGAGTGTGCCGGCGCGGCGAGCGCGTGGCAAAGGGTGGGGGTGGTGCTGTACCTGCTGTACGAAATGCGCAAGGCCGTGGACGTGCCGCGCGAGTACAGCCCTCCCGAGTACTACCCCGAGGAGGCCAAGCTGGTGCTCAGGCACTTCGCCGCCAAAGACCTGCTCAAGTTGAAACTGGCGGCGATCGGCCTGTGCGTGACCGAGCCGCACCGCCGCAACCGCACCATCACCACCATGGCGCTGGTCAACAAGTCGTCGCCAAAGTTGTTCGCCCCGTACACGGCGCGCATCAAGAAGGGCCGCATCCGGCGCTGGCACGACGACCTGCTGCTCCCCGTCAAGCACTGTCGCTTCTGCGGCAACCTCGACCACGCCAAGCTCACCATGTGCACCGCCTGCGTCGACAACGACGACTACCCCGACGTCAACTGGTTCTGCGGCCACGAGTGCGAGGCCGCCGCCATGCAAAAGTGCAAACATGAGGACGAGCACGTCGCCTACATCATGAGTAAAATTAGTTTTTAAGGTAATAATACTTTGTGCGAATTTTTATTCTTGGAACTTTTTAAGAGTCTATTTTAAACAAGACCATATAATGTAATTTTTATAAAGAGGTTTCAAATTTTAAGTTCAGTAATGTATTATTCAGAGCTTAATAATAGAGGCATAAATTAATTTCTTGTACACGTATCCAAAACGAAAAATATTGCATTATGCTAGAATTTCGCTAGTTTTGTCATAGTAGAGCGCGCGCCCTAGTATAAAATTAGAAAACCCCATTGCGCAACTTCTCTTTTGAGTGCGTTTTAAAAAAATTGACATTATTTTACGCACTTTATGTAATTAAAGGAGGCTTTTGTAGAATAAAATATCTTGGCATTTATATTTTGCAAACAATTGAAGCACATTTTTATTTTCACATAAATCACAGAATTTTTTTTATGATAATTGTAAGATTCTGCAGGATTTTCTATTTTAACAAACTTTTCTTTTTGGTCAAGCTGAGAATAAGACATTTTTTAAGTTCCCCTATGAATTACGAATGAGCTGGATCATCAGCGTGTTCTATAGTTTTTTTTTCAATTATAATAATTAGAGTTTTCAGAAGATGTAATTATTTCAAAAATTTATAACGGGAAATATTGGTCATTATTGTCGAAAGCAATCAAAAAGTAAATTGGACGCAGCGTCCTTGGGGTGGCGAGTATTTCAAATTCTTTCTTCTGCACTCGCGTTCCTTGGCTTTGATAATGTCATCGTAGGTGCGGGGAGTGTAGGAACGTTTCTCCCTCACCTCCTCCAACTCTACGTCCTCCAGCTGGCCACTTGGTGCGGCCACACCGACGGCCAGAAGGGCGGACAACACCAGCAGAGCGAACAGCAACGTCGTCTTCATTTTCAAGCCAAGAATGATCACAATTCTCTGAAAACCTCCTCCTTAAGTACTTTATTTGCATGAAAATAGGATGTTTTCGAATTGGGATGGGTTTTTTGCCACAAAAGGAGAAGGTCAGATGGGGTTGAGATTTGAGATAACAAAAAGGAAAATTTTTTGCTGGTTTTTTAGTTCCGGAAATTATTCAATATAATTGTGCGATTTTTAAATGTCTTTTGTTTTTTGCGTTATCTTGATAAATTGCGATGGAAAAGTCCCACCCTCCTGCAGGAATAAGCTCCACTCTCGGGGGTCACTGCAAAATTTGACCCTGATCTTGACCGGATTGGCAGAAAAACTACAGGAAATTTATTGCGGCCAAATGCCTGTCTCGATAACGACGTCAACTGGTCTGCGTGATGAGTACGAGGCCGCCGCCGCCATGCAAAAGTGCAAACACAAAACAAAAACACAAAGACGAGCATGCCTCATTTTATTTTTGGCAAAAACAGAATTTAATTTTTTAAGACACTAAAATTCATTTTATAAAGCAATATTTTGACTAAAAAGGAGGATTTTTATTGCTTACATTCAAAGCAAGAAATAAAATGCAAAACAGACATTTCCGGCTATTCAAAGTTCTCTGTAAAAAAAAAAAATAAAATAAAATGAAGAACAAAAAAAAATTAAAATAAAAAAATATTATTTTCTTTGGGGGGGGGGGGCACTTTTTTAAGGAAATATTTTCCATATAAATCACACAAAACTTAGTTTATATAATACGTATCATTTTCTTCAAATATATGTAAAAGAACGATAAGATTGTCGACTTTGATAAATATTTTGGTGTGGTCTAATAATAAGACCAAGTGACATTGTCCTCATACAAACACAAAGAAACTAGAAGGAAAATAATTTTCCACAATTGATTTAGAGTTTTAACTCGCACAGTACATGACATCTGAGATCAGCGTGGCAAAGAAACCTGTGGCATTGTTTACTTTTTATGTCGTATTAAAACTTGCAATACCTATATATTTATTTCAGATAAGTTTCACTCTTTCACTGAAACAATCAAGGAAATGACGAACAACTGTTTATCTTTTTTACTATTTACCGACTGACGAGACCAGGATGAGTAACTCTATCGTTGGCGTCACTGCAGCTCAGTTAATTAGCTTTAAACAGACAGCAAATTAGCTGCAGCACATATAATCTTGAGAAATTCACGAAACTAGCTTCGGAAGACCAAGAAATCGTTGTAAATATATAAAACCTGGCGAATTCATTTTTCTATAAATCCATAAATTAAACGTAATAAGATTTGAATTATGAGCATCTAGTGTAAAATAGTATTCTTATGTGAAAAAGGTAATATTATTTACCCACAATTCTGCAAAAAAAAAAAAAAAATAAGTTTTTCAATTTATTTATTTATTATTTTATTGCATGCATGATGCAGCCAAATAAGATAATAATATGAATTACGCTGATTGCGAGATGCGCAGAAGAGTTAATTGGAATTCTTAGAAAAAAAGCGTCACGTCTGCAGTCTTTACTAATTATTGCCGTGTTTACACATCATGTCTTGATAAGATACACCTCAACACGTAGAATTATTCTTTCGCAGCATATATACGCACGCAGTGTGGAAAAATCTCTCTAGTGCGAAAGAAATTTCCTTCGTTTCGCAGCAGCTGCTTTCACAATATGAGTTTGAGGAAGTTTTTAATTTTTTTGGACAACCCGCAGGCTGTTTTCTTCGCTGGGCAGAACGTGTCGGGAAGGGTTTTTGTCAATAACATAGAACCCGTGAAACTTCAAGGTAATAATTTTATTATTGATCACGAGTCTACAATTAACTTTTAAATAATTTTACATTCACGCTCAAATTATGAATTTGAACTTCAAGCAAATATGAGAAGAAGAAAACTCTGAAACTTTTGACCACAGCCGTTTTTTTTTTATATCATAATATCAAATTAAAGGCATCAATATTAAGTTGACGGGAGAAGCTAAAGTGAGTTGGATGGACGGCCAAGGCTCAAGTCACTCGAAAAGTGAGCCCTATTTCAATCATCAAACCGTTCTTTTGGGAGGAGCAGGTGATTTACAAAATTATTGACGGCATTTAAGTGTTTTATATTAAAAACAAATATCAAAGGACGTGGCTCTGAGATTTGTCTTGCTCCCGGCGAACACTTTTATCCTTTCAACTTTGACCTGCCCGCCAACATTCCGTCGTCCTTCGAGGGCGAGCATGGCCACATCAGGTACTGCGTCTCGGCCTCGATGGACCGTCAGGACCGAGCCTGGAAGCTCGACCTGGAAACCTCGGCGCCCTTCGCCGTCATCGCCCTTCTTGACCTCAACTCGGACCCTCAGTTTGCCGTAAGGAAAATAAAATTGTGCCTAAATAAAGACTCTGCATAATTATCTATAGAGTCAATTAATTAAGGCACGCTCTTGTGTGTGAGAATGAAATTTCGATTAAATTCAGGCGCCAGTGAGTGCCACCGAGACCAAGAAGTTCTCCTTCTCTTCAGGTGTTGTCAACGTCGTCCTATCGTTGCCGGCTGGGGGTGTCGTGCCTGGAGAGATCCTTCGGCCCACTTTGGACGTAAAAAACAACTCAAAGGCCCACCTTGACCGCGTCAGACTAAAATTAAGGCAGGTTGGTTTCAATTTTTTTTTTAATGGGAGGTAAAAAAAAATCAGCCTATTTAATATTGATAGAAATTTTCACTACTAGCATTGGTTTGTATTTTTGTATTATGTCATTTTTAAGGAGATAATTAGTAAATTTGAGTATTTAGGAGAACTAAATTTGTGAAATTCAACGCATTGTTTTTTAAAAAAAATTATTTTTCTTAAAAATGCGGCCCAACCAAAATTGATGTAATTTCACCAAAATCACCAGAATGAAGATGGAAAAATAAAAACAATAGGTCAGTCATCATCAAAAATCTTATGGGCGAAGGTTCAGAAATTTGAATTTCAGTGTAGATGTCATAATCAGAAGCTCCACTCAAAAAGCTCTAATTGATTTTTTTTCCATTAGGTAGTGACATACATCGTGAGCGTCGCAAGGGTAAATATTTGCTATGCGACCGTCGCCATGAGTTTTTTCGATTCCGTCAAACCCGGACAGTCGCTCACTTTTGAACAGGACATGTTCAAAGTCCCGCCTCTGCCACCCTCGAATAAGTACTTGGAAAAGTGCAATGTCATCGAAGTCGGCTACGTTCTCAAGGCAAATAACCATTTATTTTATTTTATTTTTTTCCTTTTAAATTCAGTGGCACCTCTCGCAATAGGAATAACAAAGACTGGTTGGCTACTCCAAGAGTTCAGCGATAAGAAAAAAAAATAGCTCGCAATATTTAAAAAAGAGGAGAAATTAAAAATTAAAAAATCACATTGGTTGACACTTGTTGGCAAATTTGTCCACTATAAAGTAAAATAAACGCTGTTATCTCTTAAAAGAAATCAATAATTCTTAAATAAAAAGACTGTTTTTGCCTAAGAAATTTTGAAGGTGAAATATTTCGCAGGCTTCTTTTTCGCCGAGATCGTCCTTGCACAGCGATTTCCACGTCGGCTTTCCTGTCGTCGTCGGCACCATTCCTCTGCGCGCTAATTTGCCACAACTGCAGGGTGAGTCTCTCGCTACTTTCCAATGTTGCCATAGTCTTAATTTTTCTTCACAAATTAGCCCCGCCGACCTACGAAACGTGCTTATTGGGCACGGCCAGCAAAGTCAAGAAAACAGACAAACTCTCGGTGCCCAAGTACCCTGTCTACCACAATTAAAACTGTAGAGATCCTTCAAATGAATGTTGTGAGTCATACAAACATATGAGCAAAAATTCACATATTTTTATCTTATAATTTAAATAATTTTATTTTATTGAAGACTTTTGTATCAAATAAAATACCATGCCACACGAACAAAAAAATAATTTGCTTTATGGACACAACTTCACTTTATTTTAAGCAGTACCGCCCTCAAGGATCAACGCACCGGCCGTTCGAGTACACCTGTCCCTTTTGTCTGCAGGCAGCTTCCCTGGCTTCCTTGATTGCGGCGGCAATGTCACCCAAACTGTCTCGTTTCTCCCTCGCCTCCTCCAACTCAACGTCCACCAAAAGGCCACTTGGTGCGGCCACGCCGACGGCCAGAAGTGCGGACAACACCAGCACAGCGAACAGCAACGTCGTCTTCATCTTCAAGTCGAGAATGATCGCAATTATCAGAAAACCTCCTCCTTAAGTACTTTTTTTGCATGAAAGTAGGATGTTTTCTAATTTATGCTGTGAGGTTTTTTGCCACAAAGAGAGGAAAGCCGGATCGAGTTGACATAATTTAAACACAAGATCTTTGCTGGTGGTTGAAGAAATATTTAATTAAGTTGCGGTTTTTATGGCGCGCTTGTTATTTTGTGGTGAAAATTTGTAATCAAGCCGCTCAAATAACATCCGCGCTTTGACCCCTCAATTCTGCAATGTCATTTGCTTTACGAAAAAATAGTAGAGAAAATATAAGTTTGGCCCTTAACGGAAAAACAGAAAACTACAGGAATTCGTTTCATGATTGATATTTTCAATAAATATCTTTACAAAAATCAAGAAAGAAAGGATTTCGATCAAATTTTATTTTTTTTTAATGTGAAAATATTTTTAATGCTAAACATCTTAAAATTTAATTTTTGTTTTTGACTTGAAGTAAGATATTGTGTATTTAAATATTATTGAATGGAGAATAAATAAACATTTTTTACTGAGGGCATTGTAATCCCCTCAGTCATAAAAAAATCCATAAATTAAATAAGGGCACAGGCTGTAAAGACTGATGTTAATATCAATTATCATTTATTAAATCATTTAATGCGGGTCTATTGATAATTGTAAATAATAACCTTGACAGTCTGTATACAAAAAAGAGGGGTAAATTTTATGGCGAAGAGAAATGAGAGGCTTGCTTGACCTTTTTTTAGTCCATTTTAAACCATCTGAAATACCACATTTGACTCCAGAGTACAACAATCAAACAATGCACTGATTTGACCATATCGTAAGCATCTCTTTAATATTGTTATGATAATTTTTTGGAACAATATTTCATTGAAACAAAAGGAGTGATATTTAATATTTAACACAAAGTTTTAATTTTGTTCATAATCAACTGGCATATTTTTATATCCTTGCAAATGGCTACACTTCTGTTAATTAAACGCACTTATCAGTTCCATCAGCACAGAAGAAGCAAAACCCTAAAATCCAGATTGCAAAGCCAGGGGGTCCCTTCGTTCTGCACTCCTCGTAGTCCATCCGGAAACTTACTCTTTTCGCAGAAGCTTGTTCCAGGCAGACGGCCAAAAGGACGGCCAACACCAGCACAGTGAACAGCAAAGCCGACTTCATCGCTTCAAATTAGGAATGCTCGAAATCCTCTAATGACCTTTCCTTATATAAGCATTCTTTGCAAGAAAAAACAAAGGATGTTTTCAGAAGTAAAAATCGTGGGTTTTTTTTTCACCACAAAAGTATGCAGATGCAAGGTCAAAGAATAAATAAATAAAATTAAGATTATTTATTACCTACAACAACCTAAATATCCCTCTTTTCTCACTTTTGATACCTTATTTATTTTATTTATTTATTAAACAAAAATTAAAACAAAACTCAATATTAAAACGCTTTATCTTTTTATACCTTTTTAAATCAAGATAATTAGAATAAGTAAGAAATAAGTAATATAAACATAAATTAAATGGAAAGAAAGAATTCCGAGATTTTTGATTTTACGACCCTCAATAATCGCAGCATTTGTGGGGGTTCAGTTGACTTGTCCTGCTTAATTCCACAATATGCTGCTAAACCACCACAACGCAAGGGGGAATAATTTGATTAGAGAGAGGTCGTGTGCGCGTAAAATATGGGAAGATTCGAGATGCAAAATTTCTTACTCCATTTTCATTCTTACACTATGTTTTCAAATTTTAACTCTCGCGGCATTGGAAATTGGTCACGCAAAATAGATGCCACAACTTTTCCCGTCTTAAAAATTAATGTTATTTTTTATATAATATAAAAAGTAAATAGAAGAGCAATAATTTTTTTTTACATTCTTGATAAAAATTAGTAGGTCTGTGATTGTCGCAATGCTTATTTAAAACGTTGTATTTTATTTTTAAGTATCACACCAACTAAAATTCTTATTTGAATTAAAAGAGTGGATGTTACATTCATCAAGCTGCTCACTCAGTATACCATTAAATATATTGATGATTGTTCAGTTGATAATTAATTATTAATTAATAAAATTGATTAATAATATTCATGTATGGAAGAATAGGATATTAGCGCATTAACTTTTCTGACAATTTATTAATAACGAAACATATGTACACAAAAGAATTTGAATTAATTTTATGTTAACTGATTGTGAGATTTTAGAAAAAAAAATTGCACCAGAAACAATGATTGTCTGTGATAGTTCTTGACATAATTTTAACGTTTATTTCTCACAATCAGAAGCAGCTTCCAACATCCCTCAACAGATAGCGGACGGACCCCTCTAAAAATCACCATAATTATACCTGCATTGTAGAAAACCTCCCCCAGAGTGCCTTTATAGCGTCTTTTCACAAAAAAGCGGAGCAGCTGCGCCCGCGGCCAGGGCCAGCCGCCGCCAGATTGTTCGACCGCAGTAGCATTTTCTTTTTCGATCTCGCTTTGAATGTTGATGGTCAAGGTTTTCCCACAAAATTTCAGCACAACACATCTAATTTCGCATCACCACAATTAATTGCCTACAATATTAAGACGTAAGTTTAACAAGTGCTATTTTGTTCTATTGTCTCAAAGGCATAATCTGCATTATTTTGCTTTTCAAGGCGAAAAATTAGTTGAAAAGGTCAAGTTTGTTTTTGCTGTACACTCCAAACATAAACACGCAAAACAGAACCTGTTTTATTTCTCAGATAGCGGTACAAGCTGATTGTGAGTTAAAGCATTTACCGCTTTTTTTTTCATTAAATTATTTTGTTACAAATTTGATTTGGCAATTTAGTACTATTTAACCTGGAATTATTTGGCGTCAGTAAGTTTGAGGTGTAATTTATTTGATTTTTTTAACTTTATTTTTGAAAGCTACCATTTTTATTCAAAACTAAAAACCGCAGATAATACTTTGAACCAAATTATTTTACTAAAAATGTAAAGACTCTTTAAATTAAATTATAAATTACAGCAAAAGATAATAGAATTTAGAAGCACAACCATTGTTTTTATCATCTAACAATAATTGGTTCAATTTCCACTCCATTTTTATCTCGCAAACTTATCACCCAGAAGCAGATTGCAACCCCCTTCAATAAGTTAAAAAAAAAATTAATTTTCAGACTAAATTCAATTATTATTGATTTTCCATTCAGGCACATTGGAAATAAGATGAGATTTTTAAATTATTATCTAATTAATTTTAATTAAATAATTTTTCAGGCTATCTATCCGCTGTAGGTACTTTTTAAACTTTTTGCTGTTTTCCAAGAATATTTGAAAAATTGCATTGAAATAAAAATTTCGGGGCGGGGTTGCCGCGGCAGTTGAGTCTCTTGATTTTAGCAGACATCTGCTATATAGTAGTTGTAAACGCTTTCTTCTCCGTCTCCAATTAAAAAAATAATAATAATAAAGAAGAATAAATAAATGAATAAAGGAAACAATTGATATATTGCACAAAAAATTAATTATTTAAATTAAATAGTGATTCTAAATTATTAAGTTCGCATGCAGAAATTGATATGCATGAATTTCACCGGCACGCAAACCAATTTGTTGATTTTAGGCCAATTTTTTTTATTTAAAAACAATGAAATTGATTTGAATTATAGTTTTTTTTTAATTTTTAAGGACGAGATGAAGAGTTCGGATAAAAGTAAAAATGCGCCCACCCGCAAAACCTCCCCAAGTGGAAAGGATGCGCCAAATGAGACAAAAGGAATCTCTTCACCACCTTCTCGTCCTAAATGCTCGCCCGAAAGAGACACGCACGTGTGCTGGCGAAAATCGTGCAAACACTGCATCCCTAAACGGAAACAGCTCAAACATTTTGTTCCAAGTTTCGCCGGTGATCACAGCCCAAACGAAAGGACCAAATATATGCTGGGTGTGTATTTTTTTTTGTTTTTATCATTTTATTGACCAAAATGTAATGCAACAAAATTAGCAATTAAAATATAAAATTTTGTTTTCAAAAGAAACATTTCTGTGATTTAAACTTCAACGGGACTGCAAAAATAACTATTGAATAGTTTCATAATTTTTTTTCTTCTCGAAATCATTGCTGTTGGTAAAAATAATAAAAATTTTAAATTTTATTGTTGCTTTTGATTAATATTTATTCATTTTTCATTATTGTACTAATAGATTTTTACATTTCAGCCGAAAAACAGGCAATGACTAAAAGAATCAAAAGAAAAGTGGCTGCTGACTTCCCGTGGGTTAAATTCAGAGACCCTTCAATTATAGATGTGCCCTTGGACCATGGCTTAGTTGGAGAGCTGCCGATAGTTTTCCGACTCATTCGCACGCAAAAAAGAAATTACAGTTATCTCAAGGGCATGGAATGCTCCATTCCAAGGTATTTGAACACGGGCTTTTACGACGGAAGTCAAGTTTTAAGCCCAGAGCACAAAACAGATAGCGATCGACTAGACGCACTTGCCACAGCAATCAATCACGTTTTCTATATGGAATGCATTGGACTGCAATACTGGAAAGCCATGATGGAAAGCAAAAATGAGAACCTCTACGCAGACGACGATATCGTGGAAATAATGGCTTGGCAGGCGTTTATCAACACGCAATCAGAGGAGACGTACAGACAAGATGATTTTGTGGAGGGATACGAGCCGTCAGACTTTCTGTTCAACCCAGGCGTTTTGTGGCAGCTCCACCAAAACCCGGTCCTCTTCAACCAATGGTTAATGGCCGCTCTCTACGTCCTGCTTGGATTTGAGAGGAAAACTGCATTTCTCAGGTTCACGCCGATGCCAATGCACCTAATGGCGCCTCTAGTTCAAAATGTCCTGGTGTTCCTGAGAGATCTGAGGAGAAGAATCGGCTACGGGTTTTTATTGATTGGATACTTAGTCGATATTTATCCGCAGAGGGACACAAGGGTCATCAAGCTAATCAGAGAGGACATCGTGGCGCCCTCACTGGCCACACTGAAGGTTCTGCTGTTGGAAGAACACTTCCAGCACCTCATCGAGATTTTGCCAGAATTACTTCCGTTTTCACGGCTCCTTCGTACAGTAGGGGAAGATGTTGTCATGGACATGAGAAACTATTCTCTTCTGGACGAGGTGGAGGACCAAGACTTTTCAAACTATTCAAGACATCAGGTTTCCTCATTCCTGTTTCACGCGGACCCAGCAGCACAAAAGTCTTGCTTTGGCAAATTGAAGACTAAAATTGAAGATCTCAAGGAAAACATCAACAAAAGTAAAATTTATCCGTCCTGGTTGTGGAGGCAAGTCCCTATACCTATGCAATTGATATATCATCCAAACAGTCCTCTGTGGGTTGCAATGGACACTTACCTTGAAGAGTATCTTGCTTCCACCAAGAGAAAAGACTTGCCCCCCAGGATGCACATAATCAAGGAAAACTACGAGACGTTGCTCGAAAGGGTGGAAAAGGCCTGCGAAAAAAGTGAGCCCCACAGAGGCTGCCTGTCAACTTTGCTGAGAGAAGAACAAAGATTAGTCTTGGAGCAACTGAAACACTTCAGCTTTTTTAATGATGTAAAATACCCAGAAGTTTTCAAGCACAGCATGGGCGCATTGAAAGACGAAGCACTAAGATTATCTAAAATCGAAAATAGCAGCAAGTCAGAACTGAGGAATTTGGAAAGAAAATTCCTGAAACAGTGGGATGGAAAGAAGACTCCGTACAGCGGATCTCTGTTCCAAAACCTGAATGCTAAGCAAAGTTTGGTGGAGGCAAGTTTTAAATTTTTAATAGCATTTAAAAAATATTAATTTCAATTAAATTTCTTCTCTATATGATCCATATTTTATTTGTTTCAGGCAAGCCTTCTCCATGTCACGAACAAAATCGTATCAGATGCAGCTTCACGCGAACCAACGAAAGTCTATCATGATTGGGGATTTGTTTATTACGTTCTGCCACAATTAGTGGACTGCTTTTATACTGGAAGCCCTGAAAATAATGGTTTTAATGACAAGTTCTCTGTTGAATTTTTAAATGCGATTATTGAATTATTTTCAAACGATTACGATTCAAATATTGCTTCTGAAAATGACTGGTTCCGCAAAGTAAATATATATCACATTCCAAAGCTTTTGGCATTTAATAAACTGATGCTTGACCGCACCAGCAAGGAAATTGCAATAAAATCCGGCTACTTTACAATTCCAATCTCAAAAATAAGCGAAATGTTAACATTAAATGCAGCAAAACACTTTTACTTAAATGACCATATAAACACACCTTCCTTTGAAATTGTGTACTACAAATGGACCAGGAAAATTACTAATTGGTTGAACATGCTATTCTTTGCCACAACCGAGTCCATCTCGAAATGTTCCACTTTTACCACAGAGGATGGAATCAAGAAGAAGAGTTTGCTGCTGGCAATTTATTCGATGGTTGAGCTGGTGACGCTTTTCCAAGTGGAAGGCTCGGCCGAGTTCTCGGCGCACCTGAAACACCTGAACCAGTTGTGCCAAAACCTGGACGAGACGTACACGGCGCTGCTGCTGGAGCAAAACGGCGGCGGCGGCGCCGAGTGTGCCGGCGCGGCGAGCGCGTGGCAAAGGGTGGGGGTGGTGCTGTACCTGCTGTACGAAATGCGCAAGGCCGTGGACGTGCCGCGCGAGTACAGCCCTCCCGAGTACTACCCCGAGGAGGCCAAGCTGGTGCTCAGGCACTTCGCCGCCAAAGACCTGCTCAAGTTGAAACTGGCGGCGATCGGCCTGTGCGTGACCGAGCCGCACCGCCGCAACCGCACCATCACCACCATGGCGCTGGTCAACAAGTCGTCGCCAAAGTTGTTCGCCCCGTACACGGCGCGCATCAAGAAGGGCCGCATCCGGCGCTGGCACGACGACCTGCTGCTCCCCGTCAAGCACTGTCGCTTCTGCGGCAACCTCGACCACGCCAAGCTCACCATGTGCACCGCCTGCGTCGACAACGACGACTACCCCGACGTCAACTGGTTCTGCGGCCACGAGTGCGAGGCCGCCGCCATGCAAAAGTGCAAACATGAGGATGAACATGTTGCCTACATTATGAGTAAAATTAGTATTTAAATATACGTAAGTTGTTATTGTATCTATCCATACTTTTTATATCTCCAACATATTTTTATTTTACGTCACTTTTTATACTGGGAGAATAAAACAGGAATCAAATTAAAGTTGAAAAATCTTGTGTTATCATTTAACCGAATGGAATTGTCCATTTAAGGTGATTTTTTTATTTAATAATAACGTAGTCGCTAGGATTGTTGTTTAGTAAAAATCAATTGGTGTTTCATGATGCATGATGATAATTTTACTTGTCTAAATAGTAAGTAGAGTTCAAATAATGAAACGTGACAAAAAGTCATATGTACACACTTTTTCATTCAGAGTGACAGTTAGTATCCAATTTAAAACAACATCGTCTCTCGATTGCTCTTAAAGCAAGTTTTAGATAGGCAAAGCAAATTATATTTATCTCTCTAGTTCTGCGCGCAGTTAATAAAACTCTTGATTTTATAGTCGGATTTGAATAATGGATCTATTCAGAATATTTACAAAGAAAACGTGTCACACGCACTCGATAAGATAAACTTGAAAATATAATAGTGAAAAATCAGGCGTCGTTTGCTGATGTCAATGCAAATTGAATGAGGAAAAGAAGCAGGCGGCTGTTGTGTCACAATAATATAAAAGCTTACACAGAGTTGTACTAAAATCAAAGGAGATCAAAACGCGCCTATATTGTGACCGCCAGGTCGCTTTCAAAGCTTATCAGTTTAATTAAGATGGTGATTACTGGTGGATGTGTTTGTACATGCACAATCCAACATTCAAGAAAATTTAGTCTGCCTGACACTTAACAATTTCTCCCTCTAAGTATGAATAATTTTAAATCTCTTTCACCAATTACAAATGAAAACATCAGAAGCACTAATTATTGACATAAAAACAGGCTTCGTTTATTACACTTTAAGAATTCCTAAATGAAATTATTCGGACACTACACACAAGAATGCTGCGCGGGAATGATAGCTGGTGGCATGTACAATCAAGTGCGGGTGAATTGGCTTAGTCAAAGTTAATCAGCTACTTCCCTGAAGTTTCCAAATAAATACTTCCATATCATTTAGATAACGCAACTGTCACATAATATTTCTTTGAGTGGCAATGAACGGATGAAATTACGGAAAGGTGAACGCGTTGAGAAATTTCTTCCACCGAAATACTGTATTCACACTCCCAGATCTGTCCACTCAACTTTGGTTGTGGTAGTTTCCTCCTCCTTTTAGGAATTGATTCAGTTAAGAGCGCGCAAAAAAATTAAATTACTAGCCAAACTCAGCAGTTGCATTTCTCCGAAAGATTTCTTTTGAATTTCCAACCACAATAATAATGATCACTTGTGGTTAAAAAAAGTAAATCCCAAAATAATATGCAACTAATTGTTGAACTTAAAGTTTGGCTCAGAAAAATAAAATTGTTCCTACCTCCTCTTTGGGCTCCAATTTGGGGTCTGCGTCGATGGCCAAGGACAACTTATGGCAAGACCTGCAGATGTATTCGTCTGTCGAGTTGACGTCTGCCTTGCTGAGTCCTTCGCAGATCAGATGGAACCACTCGGAGCAGCCGTCGCACTGTACCCAATTAACTTCATCCCCTGAAATTAAATTTTAATTTATGATAAGATTTAATTTTATTTAGACGCACCACTCGGCCGAACGCAGGTGTCGGAATTGCAGCGTTCCTCAGCGTCTGCCTCCTCAGACTCGCTAGCCGAAACATCTTTCGCTTTCATCTTCCTCCACTTCTTTACTGGCTTCACATCATCCTCTTCACCATCAACCTTTCTCTTACCCTGAACCAGACGTTTAGATTTACTTGTTTAAAGGAACAAAAATTACTACCTTTCTTCCAACCATTGGCTTCCTCGGCAGCTTTTCCTTGTTTGCTCCGAGGACAACCCTCAGCTTATTCTTGACGCCTGGTTCCCTCGGCTTTCTGGGCTTTGGTTTTGGTTTCTCCAACAGATCCAGCGGTTGCAAATTCTGCTTGCTCTCAGCCAAGTCCGGATTATTTTTCTATAGAAAAATAAAAATAAGAACAGATCAGCTTCAAAACACATTCAACCTACTTCAAAATTCTGCTTCTGAACAGGGTTGCTGGCGTGCAGAATGCGCCAGATGTGGTGGGTTTCGTCGAGAGACACTTCAAGCAGGTCTCCCTCCATCATCAGGGACTCCAGCATGAAGCGAGTGCTCTCCTGAAGGTGAAGGGTTGTTGGTGGGTGGCGCGGCACCAGAGGAGATTTCCTGCTGTGCTTCAGTCGAGCAATATTCACTGAGAATTGAATAAAAAAATGAAAAATATTAATTTTAAGAAATGCAAGCACTCACTTGATGAATAGGCGTGGTCGGAGTTGTTGGAGCCTTTCATCTTTTCTAAATCGCAATCTAGATCATATTCCTCTTTAGGCATATTGTTAGTAATCTGAAAACAAATTTCATTAAAATAGGTGAAATGGTAAAATTTAATTTGTTCATTGAAGAATCAACTGTAAACTCACATCTGTTCCTGGCATATCGTCAACATTGGCCATCGGTGGCATCAAAGGCAGCTGGTTCTGCAGCTCCGGGTTGTTGGCCGCCTTCTTCAGTTCACTGCTTATGATGCGCTCTGTCTTGCGTCGAGCCTCGGCCTCCAAGACCCGCTGGTTCATGACCGACAACTTGGCAAGGGCGGAGGCAACCTCCTCGTTGGCCAGCGCCGCCTTGGCCTTCTCCTGCCAGTGAATGGCGTTTTCAGTCAGGCACTGCAGGGTCTCACCCTCGTGCAGGCGCGCCGGCAGCTTGGTCAGGTCGACCAGCAGCGGCAGGACAGTCTCAATGCGCGGACGCCGCGTCCGGAGACAGGTGGGACAGAGGTACTTGGTTTGACTCTCGCCTGGCTGCTGCAGAATCGCTGACCTGCCTTTGCCAGTCAGCTTGCTGTTCAACAGGCACTTAGCTACATACAAACACAAATTAATCAAATGCATTTTTGTGGCTCGGAGTTTCTTACGATGGTAGAGTTCCTTGCACAGTTCGCAGTCGAGCATGTTCCCAGCACAAGGTTTGTTGCAAATGCAGAATTTGGCGTCGCCGCCCTCAGCAGTCCGCTTCAGCAGGTTCTTCTCTCGCAGAGTTATCATCAGTTGGACTTCCCTCTGCTTAGCTTGCTGTAATATTTATTTAAATTTTTTTTAGATATGAATTTACTTTAGATTGAAAATTTACCAGGAAGTTTGCAAAAATGGTTTCATTGTCGAGAGGAGGTTCGTCCAAACTTTTCTCAGTAAATGAGTCTAGTTTTTTCCTCTTGCCCTTGTTGCTCTGGATGCCGACGATTTTCCTTGGGTTCAACGCCTCAATCAGCTTGAGCTGAGAGTTTTTCTTGAGGAAAATGCGACTGGCCTTCTCGAGCCAGCCTCGGGCCTTTATCGACTCGTCCTCGAGGGCACCAAGAGGGTCCAGGTGGACCTGCAAGTTTCGGCCAATGTTGACCAGAATGTCCATCTGCTCTAGATAGGGGTGTTCGGTGGATTTCATGGTTCGGTACTTGTTCATCCAATCGCGGCCTTTCTTCACAAGGTCTTTCACTGACGAAAGGTCAGGCAAGTGGACTGGAATACTTTCTGCCTCGCTGACTAGCTTCTCGAGTTTCTTTATTGTCGGCCTGTCAAGACAAGAAAATTAGCACTGGTTCTAAAGAAGTTTTAAAAATCCATTACTTATTATTAAGTCCTGTTTTAGCCGCTCTGTTCCAGGAAGTTACTCTGTCCAAGAGTAGTTTCAACAGCCCTATAGAATTTTCAACAGCTGGTGTAGGAAGGAGGAGCTCAACCTCCTCCAGAAGTTCTCGCACTTCTTTCTCTGTGCTAGGGGGACTGCAGCTTTCCAGACTCCTTACACGGTCCAGCCACTGTGCTTGTTTCAGTTTCTGAAAAATAAGTACATGTTTAATTATTTGCTAGGAAAATTAAGGGTGGATGTTTTTACTTGTTCTAACTGAGGCATTTCAGGGAGCCAGACAACCATGGTTTTGCCCCTTTTGACAATGGCAAGCAACTCTTTGGTCGGTATGTCTTCTTCAGACTGCATAATTTTCTCTGCAGCTGCGTGGAACTTTTCAACCTCGGCAAGGGTGTCTTCTAGAATGTAGCTGTGTGCCACTTTGCAGCACAAGAAAGAAACCTTGGAAGCCAGCTCCTTCAGCTCATTCTCCTGCAGCTTATCCTCTGAGGGAAAATCACCAAGCCCTTGGGCATCTCTTCGAGCTATGAGCTGGTCACATAAATTAATCGTAGTTTCTCCTTCCTTAATGGCCTCTTTAAATGCTAGATAGGCCGAATTCTGAGGGTATTTCCTTTTTCGGCCTTCTTGATCTAGTTCTACAAGCTCAGACAATTCTGAAAAAAGGAGTCAAAATGAGTGTCGACTATCTTATTTAAACCCGATTTGACTGACCTGGCTTGTCAGATTTTTCTAAAAATACAATTTCCTGGACATTCTTGAACCAGATCATGTATTCCTCTAAGGAACGCTTGATTTCCTTGAGATTGGTCGTCAGCTCAGATTCCAAGTAGCGGTAAAGCAAAGTTTTCTTTCCGCCGTCGCACTTGCACATGTTCTTGAAGTGCCGCAGACAGGCCATTTTCTTATCATTACACTTGCAAGCGACAGCAGAGAGAAACAGAGTCGTCTGGCAAAAGTCACACTGCCTCTCGTCGTCGGTCAGGGTCTCAAAAGGAACATGCCCTTTGCTTTTGATGCCCTGGAGAAAACCAAATTTAAAATATCTTTACAAAAACAGGACGACGCTCAACACTCACATGGGCAGCAACTTCCTTCCTGAGAGCCACCTCCAGCCGGACCATTTCGTTCATGTCCTTGCAAACGGCCAGCGCCATGGGCACCGACATCCTGCTGACTTTTGAAGCCATTTTGCAGACCAGCTCGTCATGTGAAAAGACACAGTAGCGGCGCTGCTCAGCATAGTGGTCTATGCATTCTCGACCCATTGTGAGCTGGAAAGTTCAAAACTGAGTTTCAAGACATCCAAATACAGAGGATTCAGTTTACATACCCAATCAGGCGGGGCAAAGTTGACCGCCTCGGCAAAGTTGTAACCCTGGTTAAAGCCTGCATGGTATGACCTTGGGAATGTGATGACGAACTCGCCAGCTTGTTGGTCAGTGCGGAAAACAGGCACCCCTGAGATCAAATTCATTGGTTCAGACTGTTTTAAGCATAATTCTTTTTTTTACCTCTCTCCATGAGCAGATTGGGATTCATAATGGTGACAAGTTGGTGGAGAAGATCAGTCTGATTCTCGAAAAGTTCAGGAGCTTTGCTTCGCATTGCATCTTCAAATTCAGGCGCAGCGGCACCAGGCACACCATACCAAGTTTTGGGTTCACCCCTAGAAAAGAATAATAAAAGTATTCGCATAAATAATAGGTTCGAAGACTGATTTTAATTTTTATGTTATTTCATTCTCAATTAAATTATTTAATTTTCCATCATAAATTTGTGTTGAAATTAATTGTGTTTTACCAGTGGAGGTAGTTGATGGAGTAGGACCAGTGGTCTTCATTGTGCCAGCAGAAGGTGGAGAAGCACATGCCCACATACATCCAGGGCACCTTCATTCCCGAAATATCTGCGTCAATGTGGGACAGAATGCAGTCACTGAGGACGGGCAGGTTGTTTAAGTTCCACCCACTCCGAACATAGGGCTGAGTGACGATTTTTAATTTAAACAGAAAATTTTAAACAAAACGAAACATACCATTTCCGGGCTGGACAGGTTGTGAGATTTATGAGTGGGGAAGCCCGAACCGTGGTCAAGGGTGTGCAAATCAGCTCCGTACTCGACTGTGACGTCTTCGTCAATGGTGCCTACGATCCTCCAATACTCACGCTCAACCAGGTCCAAAGGCACCGTCTGTATTCAAATCATTTTAATTTACGATAAATTGAACAAATCATTTCATCTCACATGAACTGGCATGTTGAAGTACTGGCATTTAAATTCGTCGGCCATCTTGCCAAACTCGTACAACGAGTACTCGCGCTTGGCCTGCTCGAATCCGAAAGCCTCGAAAGGCTTCGACACCTCCTTGTCCACGCAAATCGGACACCTCCAGTCTCCTTCGGGTATTTCTGCCAACGGAGGCACCAGGCAGAAGGTGTGGTAGCTGTCGTCGCAGCCGTCGCACAGGAGCATCTTGTCCTCTTTATCTCCACGGCTGCACTTCTTGCAAACGTACTTGGCCAGCTGAAAATTATTTGGTTTGTGAAGAAAGTACCAAAATAGATAGCTGGGTTTTGAGCAAATGAGATTAATACAAAATTGTTAAAAGAAACTATTCTTAGATATTAATCTAATCTAATTCAGAAGGAAAATGTTAATCTGGAAGTAAATAAATAATTTAAATTTTGTGTCTGATAAGTTTATTGTAATTTGATTAATTTCCTATAATGGATTCCAATGAGGGAAAAAATTTTTAAAACATTTCAAAAGAAGCTAAGCATACGGTTTCTTTTCAAAGGAATGAAAACTTTCGGGAAAAAACTAAGAAAAAAATCATCGTAATACAAACTTGATTTTAGTTGAATAAGTTAAAATTAATTTTAAATGGCTTTCTACTCACGGGGTCTATGTTGAACTTTGACTTTCTTCCCCTGGGCTTTTTGGCTGCTTCTGGCTCCTTTTTCCTGGTGCGAAAACCTGCCATCTTGTGACAGCCACCAATGTACTGGAAACGTTCATAATCCTCGAGCTCGGCCTCCTCAACCACGGGCTCCTTTTCCGGAGAACTGGGCGGCGAACTGGCCTTGCTGTTTGGCAACGAATAGTTCCCGTGCATTCCATTCTTCTTACTTGGCCTTCCTCTTTTTGCAGGCTTATGTTCCTGCTGAAGTTTTAAATAATATTTTTTTTTAAACTTATTTGCGGAAAGTGGTAAATTATGTTTAAAAAGTACAACATGAATTAATAAAACAAGGAAAATTTTGGTAAGAATTATTTGTTATTTAACGTGGAAATTGTAACTAACCTTTGCATTTCCGTTGTTGCTCTTTTTGAAGAGGTCGAACGGGTGCAGATACTTTTCGTAGTAGTCCTTCAAAATAATGGCAATTGACTTCTTCGGCGCAAAACCCAACGCCTTGCAGATTTCCAGCCACTGCTTGTTCTTGATTTGAGACAAACCACCTTCGCAGAAGAGAAAACAAATATTAACTCTGGAAACCTCGGATGAGAAAATAAAAACTGACCTGCTGCCTGGACCTCTTGGTAAAGGGTGAAGTAGTCGACGGCGTGTTTGTCGATCATGGGAATGGTGCACGGAGTGCCCTGCAAGTTCCAAAACTTGCCGATCTGCTCAATGAAATTGAGCCGGATTCTGGTCTTGGCCTGAAATTTCAATTCATTAATCTCAAGAATGGATGATGAAATTCCCTAAAACGACGTCACAAAAGTTTAAAAAAAAAATCGGCCATTTTCCAGAAGAAATAAATCTCGCCTCATTTCCAAGCACAACTTCAGCGGACCAAATTCTTTGAAGCTTCTAATTTTACTAAAGCCGCTTCGGTCGTTTCAATTTAATTAGTTTTGTAGTTTAAAATATTTTTAATTAGAAAATTTAATAAAAAAATTCAAGGCTTTAAACACTTGCGTGCTTCAAATTTAGCATGAAAAGGTCCTCCGCGACTCGTTAAGATTCGAATTGGGTGAAAATTAATCGTTTTGGGCCCAAATTCAATTGCGATGAGCCCGAAAAAGTCTTCGGACTCAAATTCGCCCCTATCAAAGTGCGTACGTGACGCGACGACCTTCGCAATGATATTTTCAAAATCGTCGGATTTACTGCGACTCAGGCCGGAAATTTGATCCGCTCGACCGATTTTCGCGTTCGGACGAAGGATTTCGAAGGAAAAAAGCAAAAATAAAGGACTCACCTCCAGTTCGTTGAGTTGCTGCACCCTGGGCGTGAACTTGAAGTTGTCCACATCCACACAAAATGGGGGCTCCCAACCCTGCAACAAAGGACCCAGCATTTTTTCTCAAAAATAAATCGACGCAAGACAAAAAATAATAATTTAAAAAATCGTGTCAATATAAATCTCATTCTATTTAATAATTACAAATTTATAAAGAATTTTTTTGAGAAAAATTAAAAATTATGCAAGGTGACACGTTTTAGATAATTATCATATGTCCCAACTTTAGAGGCATTTTGCCTATAATTCTGATTAATTTCTGGTTAAAATTATTTGATTGAACGGAAATTGGTTCACTTAAGACTCGAATTTTGAAAAACATTACAAAATGTGCTGACCCCCTACCCAAGCAAAGTCCCCAAGAAAGTTGCATGGCAATGGCAGCCATTTTACAACAGTGATTTAATCGAGGAAAAAATAATTTTTCGAAAATCCGTCCGGGCACTTTGCGATCCGAGTCGTTGGCCGCATTTTGGATTTTGGAATTTTCGGGTGGTGCGGTCGGCGTGGGGGCGGCCGTACCTTGGGCGGGCGGATCTTGCAGATGCCCGTGTGCACGGCCTCGTCTCTGATTTTGGCGATGTACTCGAAGGGGTTTTCGAACTCCTCGGCCGTCGGCGTGTAGACGGGACAGTCGGGCGGACGCTTGAAGCTGAACGCGTCCGACACCTCGGGGTTGTACTTGCGGTTCTTCAGCATGTTGTTGACCACGAGCTCGTTGAGGTCGTCGTCGGCCATGGTGCGAGAGCGTCTCTCGGCAGGGCAGGCGAAAGCTTCACTCGATCTGCGAGAGAGAAAAAGAGAATTTTCGGTGAATCGGCGTCGCCGAACGGGACGGCAGGTCACTTACGAGGACGCTCGGTGCTTCGGCTCGGCGCAACTCGTCAATGAACTGCATTCGTGACTGCCACTCGTGATGTAATGGTCGTCATTTTCCCTGTCTCTGTGTGTGTACTTAGATGCTGCAGTCAGTGTTGACTTCTTGTTTGGCCCGTGCGAGCCTGAAAGCGAGGAAGAAAGTGCACGAAACGAGTGGGGGGCAGGCAATGCATAGATGGCGAGATGAGCGACTCGCCGCTTTCGCGTTCGGCCGCCAGGTGGCCAGCGGTCGATTTAAACTTTAAAGCCCACAGCTTGGTACGTGCGAGTGGCGCGCAATAATTCCTCCGCCTGCATCCTGGAGATTGTGGGTTCGATTCCCACTCCAGGTGGATTTTTCTCGGGGGAACCTGAGTGATTTCTAAATTGAAAATAAAAGTCTTAAAACGCTTACTTACTGCAGGAAATTAACTCTTTTTTATCTAGGAATAACTTTTAAAGCAATAGCAAAACCTTTGCTGCATTAATTAATAGTGGTGCCTTTTTGTATAACTAATTAATTTAATTTTTTTTGTTAAATATAGTTTTTGTTGTAAAAATTAATTCAAATAAAACAATATTATGTTTGAAGTTCTAATTCTTTGTTTTTATTATCAATTTATATATGAATTTTGATTGTTAGAATAATTATTATTATTATTATTTATAATTTATTATTATGTAAGACGCCAAAAAGTAAAAATATTAGATATTAATAATTAATTTTTTACAAAAAAAAATTACAGTATAAATATTATTTATTTAGCATAATCTTGTAACATAAAATTTAAAAAAATTGACTATATTTCAAAATAAAAAATTTATAATAATTTACGCAAAAATAAATTATTTCTCAAGCTATATTACTATTAATAAAACTTCTTGGCAGGATCTGAAATTTTTTTAAGTTTCACGGACATATTTTATGCGTTTTGACTAAACTTTTGATAAATTAAACAAATTAAAGGCAAGTTGACCTCCAAAAAATAAAAAACAAAAAAATAAAAACAGAGAGCATCTTCAAAAATTTTCCTGCCAATATTATTTTATTTGCAATGATTAACAATTCTGCCGCTCATTTCTATTAATATACTTTAAAAATTTAATATTCGTTCACCGTTCTCAATTCTGAAATAAAAAATTATACATCCCAATCCTATCCTAGTTGTATAAGTAGATTTCTGATTTAAACTGCAGTGGTTTAATCACTCTACAATGAATTATATCATAATTACTAATTACTTAACGCAGAAAAATAATTGAATATTCAGCAATGTGCCAATATATGAATTGAGACTTTTGGCAAGATAATTTTTTTATGCAAAAATTTGTCTACAAATTTACAAATATAAACCATCTAAGTATGATAACCCAGAACAACCTTTAACGTTTTTCACACCACATTTTTGCGGCGGCCGTTTCTGTGAAAGCCATAATGGCCGAGGCAATGACGAGCAAAGAGCGCGGACTTGGATCCCTCTTTGGGTCACGCACCCGATTTTTCTCCATGATAATAATATAAACTCTCACAATGGATTATTTGCACTCTTCTACGTACGAGAAATGTATTTTGAACCTGCTAGCAAACTGCTTATCTTTTGAAATGAGGAAGGCGACCGGCCTTTTAATTACCTTCTCATCCCTATTTTGCATTTGGACGTTTTTGATGGTTCAGCAGGCTAATTCTGTAAGCAATTTTTTTTCATGCATTTCTTACCTGATTCGTTGTTACTGACGCAATCACTCAAAAATGTTAAAATTATTTGGGTTATTTATTTAATTTACGATGTTCTGTTTACTTTCAAAATCTATTAAGGTATCTAAATGGAGAAAAAATAATTAAAATAAATTTATATACCTATAATTCCAGTTGATGAATACAACTGACTGCACAAATATGAAGCGCGCCAACCTCAAATTACCAGGTGAAATATAATTATTTCAGAGAAAAAATTGGTACTAAAGGAGTGAAATAATAACTTCTAGCGAGTATTTAATTTTAATTTTTTTTTATACTCAAAATATTTTTTTCCAAGAAAAAGGTGCCTTCAACTATTTAAAATGCGACACGATTTGTTATTATGTACTTTGAATTGCAGTTTTTAGTACGGATGGTGACGAGAATTTGAGTTTTCCCAGATGCGGCGAGTGGATTCCAAAAGCCGAAACGAAACCTCCGTGGGCGGCCAACATCGTGACGTCGATTCAAAAACGAGCTGGATGCGAGTGTGTCATCCTCACAGACAAAACGCTCATCTCCAGGCATTCAGCGTTTGGTATAATAAAAACTCGGTGAAATTTGGTTCAATTAAAATTATTTTGAATAAGTGCAGCTTGCGATTACGCGTACGAAGACTTCAAGAGCGGCAGAGAAATTTCAGTTTACAGGGGCAACTTGTGCAATCCCATCAATTTCCCCAGCTGCGGAAGAAAATCTAACGAACGGATGCTGCTGAGCAATAGAGTTAAATTCAAATTTCAGCCATCGCAGGACAGATTTGGTTAAATGTATTTGATTCTGTTCAGGTCACAGCGGCAACTTTGTTGTTCAATGACGAACGCCATTCTTCTTCCTATTACGTTTGGACAATAGAAAAAATTACTTTCAGCGACATGGTCAAGCCCATTTGCTTGTGGAACTCTTTCCAAGAACCGTCTTCCCAGATTGATATTTTCAACCAAGCTGTCAACGTAATTTTTATTATTAATTAATTCTTTTTATTAAATACCAACGGTATACAGACACATACATGAATATTAATTGTTTATGCATATAATAATAGTAAAAACTGAAGAGGTAGTAATTGCACTAAACTTTCATAGAAGCTGCTTTAGTTAGTGTTAAGTCACTCTTTTTACATTCGAATAGGTGATACATTCCAATTTGTTCACCACATTTTATACATTTACAGTTTTTGTTTGCTGCACAGTGGTAATCTTTATTTTCACATAACAAATGATGAAAACCATGGCAAGCATACCTCGTAAAAAGGTGCCGATCTTTAAAGTTAGTCTCTTTCCATTTATTTTCAGTCATTGCAGGAGTGTTGTAAAATTGTGGGTCGATTTCTGCATTTGTAACATTTTTTACATTTAGGAAATTCTCGTATTCAGTCGTGTTAGTTAACGAGAATGTATTACAGAGATCAATAATGAGTAAATTTGTACATGCTAATTCATATGCATATCTCGATTTTGTATATTTGGAAAGACACATAAGCTTTTTTAAAAATCTTGATTTAACAGTCTCAAGTTTAATAAGGTCATTTTGGCTTAAAAATGGCCAAATAGCCTCAATTCCATAACTAGCTATTGGTGCTATAGCCAAGTTGAATAGCTTAATTCCTGCTGAAATTGACGATTTTGCTAGTGAGTTTAGTTTCGAGATTGCAAAGATTGCAGATTTGACTCTCTTTTCAATATGTTTCGTAAAGGTATTGCCTGATGATTGAAAAATGACTCCCAGGTAGGAGAATTCTGCGACAAATTCAATTGACTGACCATTTATCATCAGAGAATCATCTTTTTTATATCTGCCTCGACCCTTATTTCTAAATTTTATAATTTTACATTTTCCTAAATTAAGTTGAAGTTTTCTTTCTGCAAGAAATTTTTCAATTTTTACCATTGCTTTTTTCAATTCTTCTAAGTTTTCACTTAGTAACACAACATCATCAGCATATAGGATTGCTTTGACATTTAAGAATTCTAGTATTGCATCATTAAAATCACTGATTGCAAATATAAATAGGAACGGTGATAAACATCCACCTTGACGGACTCCATTTGATTGTGTTATGGTTTCTGACAACGACACTCCGTCATTTATTTGCAAATAATTGAGGTAATAATATTATAATTGTCTAATTATAAATTCATTTTTATATTTGTTATATAAGGATGACGCATTTTCGGAAACAAGAATTTTGAGTGCCAAAGAGTGCTTTGGTGATGAAATCGAGGCAGAACAATGCAAAGAACTAGATAAAATTACTTGCGCCACTACAGCATTGCAAAGTTCTCGTAAATTTTGCATCTTTTCAAGCTTTAACCTTAATTATTTATTTATTTTTAATTTCTGCAAGATTACGGCTTTTTGGTGGCGCGCAAGACCGACCGATTTTACCTTTTGTCGGGTGATTTCAAGATTGATTATTCCCGAAATGTGGTCAGGTGGTTCAGAATCGGGGACGACATCCCGCAAATGGTGTTTGCTTCCTCGGATTTGGGCCTGATGCCCGAAATCCCGCGACCCAAGAAAAAAAATCAGTGAGCTTTATTATAAATTTTTCTCTCTTGCTCTTTTATTTTACTGCGAATTAAAGTTAATTTTAAGTTTTATTTCATCAAATTAAAATACTGCTGCTCATTAACATCCCAAATCTTCAAAGGGGCACACAATTTTGAGCTGAAATATAAACGATTTCACAAACGACTAAAACACAATGAAATAATAATTATATGAAAATTTTTTTGTGAAAAACTGAAAAAAATTGGGCTAATTGAGTAAAATAAATGTTGAAGTAGAGCACATTTTAATCCGCATTGCAAATTTTCTTTTTTTTTAATCTCTTCATTGAAAAGTAGAAAAAAATTTATGGCAAAAAATATAAAAAAAGGCATCTACATCAAATTCAATATTATTTTTTTCTAAATTTTAACATATAAAATAGGAGCCACTAGCCATTATTAATTGTTCGATTGTGTCACAAAAAATTCTTCGTAGTGAAATTGTAAATATAACACCGAGAATTTCTGCGCCGGTTTTCCAAAAACGCGTGTGTTAAATTGCACGATTTCAGTTGATCAATTCAATTTTTTTTTTTTTAAATGATTAAGGTGGAGCGAATGTTTGCATTGGTGACAGCGGCGGTGGTCTCGTAATTTACGACCTGCACTCGGACGTTTTCTTTTTGCGCGGCGTCGTCAGTTTTGGCAATGCCAAGAGGGTGAGAATTGCTGGCCGCCGCGCCTACGTTTGCAACCCTGACGATTTCGCCGTTTTCATAGACCTCGGCTTCTATATGGACTGGATCGTCCAAAATTCGCCTGATATTTCTGCAACCTGAAATTTTAAAACATAAAAAAAAGAGATGCGGCAAATTTCTTTATTAAAGAGTGCCATGACATAAATAAAAAAAATTTAATTGAAACTCATTATGATATTTTTATTAGATTCCAATCTACTTTAACTCTATAAATTATTTCTCAAGATTTCAATATTTTGTACACAAAATTCCCAGCAAACAATTTTTACGTCCCATTCAAATTGAGGATAAAAATGAAAAAAAAAAAACGTGTTTGTCCTGAATTCAAGCAAGATGAATGTCCGGCGTGTTTTGAGCAATCCAGTCCAGGTGGAAGGTCAAATCGGTGAAAAGCGAAATTTCCTTATGATTGCACGCCAGCTTTTCCCTGCCTTGCTGGAGGCCGCGCAAAAAGTGGCGTCTCGTTTTTTTCTTGTGCAGAACAAACGCGCCTCCGTTTCCTCCGACGCAATCCGACGAACCACCTAAAAAAAGATTCAAGCTGGATTTCGATTTATCAATGATATATTTTGGTACCTGTTTCAGCAAAAGCGAGGCAAAAGTTTTTGGTCGGACGCAAGTTTTTGGAGAAGAATTTTGGATTTGTCAAGTAGCAGTCTTGGTAAGGAATGATTTCAAGGCTAGATTCTTGCAAACTCTTTTCGCCTAAACCCATCACAACCTATAGATAAAAAAAAATTCTTAAAAAAATGCTGAAATCTTTAATCAAGAGGTGGAAAACCTTTCCGGTTTTATTGGAAATCCGATCCAAACTGTATCCGTCGTTCCACAGGCAAATCGGCTTCACATTTTCGTTGATCTGAATTTGATCCTTTTCGAAAATCAAAAGGGCGACGTCGTTTTCAAAGTGTTTTCCGGCTGGGTCGAACTCAGGGTGCACCACAACCCTGGAAGTCTATTGAGAACCAAAATCCCCGTTTTTATAATATATGAACATTTTTTAACTCACGGTGACTGTTTGTCGCGTCGGCTCGTTTTCTTTGGTCTTGTCCACGGTGCCGAAAGTAAGATGCACCTGATCTGCCAAAATCCGCCTTCCTGCCTCGTCAAATAGACAATGCGCGGCTGAACGTAAAAATAAAATAGATCTTACAAATATTTCTCAATAAATTTTGGGCACCTGTGACGGCGGCCTGTTTTGAAATCAAAGTTGCGGCGCATAACTGCGGAGTGAAAGTCGCGTGCCAAGGGTTTCGCTCTGCCGAATCTTGTCCGCAACCCGCGAAACTCTGCTCACCGCCAAAATCTTTGCAGATTTTTCAAATTAATTTTTTTATATAATTACTTGGACAAACTAACAAATCAGTTGATTTTTTCACCTATTTAAGAGATTTTTAATCCAAAATAATACAATATTTTTCCAAAATATAGTGATAGTGAATAATTATAGAATGGTAAACTTGAACTGAAATTAGTGTTTGAAAATCACACTGATTATTTTGAGAACAAAAATTCATGTTGAAGCAACTAATACTTTTAAATGGTTTTCATGTAAAAGTTATTTTAACTGGTTTTAAATTATGATTATTTTCATTTTATCTGACCGATTTTCCTCTTGGTTTTTGGAATCGGAGGCATGCCAATGAGGTCGGTGGAGGCGGCCACGATTTGCGCCGTTTGTGGCAGCAGGTCATACCAAATGGTGTAGTCACTTGACGACGTAGAAAAAGCGCCCCGCACATAAAATCTGTTGTCCCGACGGACAATCAAATAACTGGCTGAGATAAATTTTTTATACACAAAATATTGCTTAAATAATAAATGTTTACAATCTGCTCCAAATGAGGTGGTTCGGATCGTGTGATTCAAATTTTTGCATTCGCTTACGTCGATCTGCGTAGACAGGTGGCCCTCTTCGTCTCGCACCTTCTGTACTTCCTTCAAGTCACCCTGCCATTTTTTAGTAAAAAATTGCATATTTTAAATAATAAACAATGCAGAATTTACATAATTATGTGCTTTCCAAAAAGTAAAGATTAAAAATCGCTCATTTTCTATAATGAGTGATATAATAATTCAAATTTATTAATTCAACTGAGTTTTTCTTTCAAAAATCTGAAATTAATATAAAAATTATATTATATTACCGATGGTGAAACCTGGTAAAATTTTGACTGGAGCAAAGATTCAGGCAAGTTGTTGCGATTCCACAGGCAGATTGGCTTCAGAAATTCGCTCACAGTGACCTTGTTTTTCAGTGTCCACACGTAAACGCTCGTAAACCCATTTATTTTCAAAACGGTCACATTTGCAACCTGAAATTCCTGATTTTTAGAATACTGGTGGAAAAGCTTTTCGATTTTTTTGTAATTCCCTCAAAATTATATTCTGACAATAGATTTTTCAAAATTGGGTACATGATTGTGATCCTCAAAATATATGAAGCCAAAAAATGCTGAAAACAAAGAACTATTTTTCTTTATCTTCTTATTTAACGGATTATAAATTATAAATAAAGATTTTATCTCTATAGATAAATTCCATTATTATTTCATTTCCAGCAAACATGATTTTTTTTCAAATCACAAGTGTCTCGCTTTCATTTTGAAAATCAACTCCGAAAAACTTGATAGTTAAAATTTTAATTAAATATTGTAAAATATTTTAATTTTTCTTTATTTAAATCAAGATTCACTATATAACTTAAAAATCCCTTGATACCTGCTTGATACTTTTTCACTAAAATTTTAGTCCAACAAATTTTTCTTCTATGAAATAAAGAATTTTGTCATCGGTTGATAGGTTGAACGAAACTAGAAATGTGTTTTTTTGCAAACCTTCTGATGCTGGCCGAGGGATTGGCGACCATTGAAGCAATTCTCACCACCTGTGCAAGTTGCGCCTCCGAAAACTCGCACTCGGTTTGAGCCCGTGACGAATTCATCGTGGACCATTGAGCAGTCAACTATTTACATAAAACAATTAAAATCATTTCCTAAAAAGGGGCAGCATTTTTTTTTTTTATACCGGACGTATCGGAGGAGATGACAGTTTTCTCGGAAACAAGGGCGCCGCTGCAAACCGAGTCTCCCACGAAACCAAAATTACGTGCGAAAAAGCTGATGTGCCACGGAGATTTGGCATTTTCACTCGCCTCGCCGCAATGCTCGAAACTCAGATTAGAATCGTCATTTGTGAAAACTGAAATCCGAAACAAATTTAAATATATACAGACATGAGGATTTAAGAAACTTACTAGGTGCCGCGGCTAAGGGTCTCGCCTTGCCGAAATCAGGACAATCCGTAGTCTTGATGCGCTGCAGTGAGAACGGAAAACTCTAATTTTTTTGAAAATTAAAATGATATAGGAAAAAACATACGTTTGACAATGCCGGGTCGTGAGAAAATAAAGCAAAGAGCAAAAAGGTTGCCACCCTCATATTGCGCTTTTCTTAGTTTTTTCCAAATAGAAATGAACTAAAATATGAGTATTATAAATTTTTGTGATAACATTTTTTTAATGGCGAGCTTTTCTGTTTTGTTGGTTGTTAAAAATTAAATATATTACAGTGGGAACATAAAAAGACGGGATGCGACCGTCATTATTATTCAAATTTTGCCTATACAAATAAGACAAAAACGTTTTTCGTGAAATAGCCAAAGGCACTTATTTTTTTATTATTAGAAAAAAAGCGTGACTTTAAAAAGTATTGAGGTTGTTGAGGACTATTTATATTTAGCGACCTAAGGTCTAACAGGCTAGATGCAAATCACTTTTTCGCTCAAGGCAAAAAGGCAAGATTTTAATTTTGGACTTTGCGCGTTATGAGATGATAAATACTTTAGGCCTGCGCTCAAATACTACACAGCAGAGCGAAATTCTGCAGTACAAGAATATAATATTTGTTGAAATAAAATCCGGCTTCCTCGGTGGAGATGAGCAACTTTATTGTTTCTGCATGGTACAGAAAATCCCTGCTCTACTAGTTTTGGTTGCGGGTTGCAACCCTAATTCATGAGCTCTTTTCTCGTCGGAAGACGAAACGAAACTGAATATAATAATTTTTTATAATGCAGAAAATAATTTTTAACCAAAATACAAGCTCAATATTATTCAATTCAGATTCCAATTGATCATAAATTTGAATATGAAGCTGTGAAGTGTGTGAAATTAAGTAATCTTTTTATCTAAATAAAGGGAGATTTATTGATTTCCCCTAAATTAAACTTTGAACTAATATAAAAATTGTCTAGTAAGTATTTTATTTTACTTAAATAAATTTATTCACACATTAAAATAAACGAGATTGTGATTTGCGATTTTAATTTCACTAGTTTTTCTATAACAAATTTCATATATTATTAAAAAATTTTAATTTCTTAATTGAACAGGAAAATAATTTTCATTTATTATTTTATTTCGATTCAATAAGTGCCGTAGGATTATAAAACAGGAAATAAAAGTTCAGATTCTATAGCTGGTTCAGTGCTCTGGTTCAATGACTGCAAGCCAGGATTCTAAATATTTAATGTAAAAGTAATTATGAAGACCAATTGCTCACAGAGACATAGTGAGGAATTAATTTAAACTGTAACTTTTGATAACAAATAAATTAAAGCAACAATTATAATAATTTACGTTAAAATTTAGAGAAAAACAGGGAGAATTTGTATAAATTCACAAAATCTTACCAGCAAAATAAACGTGCGGCCAAACTTCGCAGTGCCTCAAACTCAAATAAAATGTATCAAATAATCTCTCACCGAAAATAGTGCGAAAGGTTGTAGGGTTCATCAGCAAAGAGCTAATGCTCCTCTCGCGCTCTACTGACGTAAAAACAATTTGAACAAAATATAAAAATTATTGTTAAATTGATGTTTTTTTAAAACAATTTTGAAAAAAGTGAGCCTTAATAAAAAAATTTAAACTGCATACTTTTAAAACAAACATAAAGAACTGTAAAAAATAGCTTTTAAATAGCTACAAGCTGATGACGAGATCATGCGAGACAAATCGTCTGTCCATTTCACGTCCTGAAGAGATTTTTCGTCCACGTCTCCCCATGACACACTTCCTTTATTGCTGTTATATTTTTCTATTAATAAAATCCTATTTTACTTTATATATTACATATTTAAATCATTACATTTTCAAACAAAATTTAATAATATTGAAAACGATTGAAACCGTGGCAAAAAAAGCTTATTAATTATTTTAATTAAGAATTTTATTTTTCGCTTATAAATATGGGGTATAGCTACAGAAATGGTACGATTAATGATGTACGACGAAGAAGAGCCGAAATTGGAACGGAGGCCTCCGATTCTTATATGTTGCATGGTTTGTAGCGTTCTGTAGCAGCCATATGAAAATATCCTTAAGCCGCCGTACATATAAGTGATCCGCTCGCGCCGATCGCATCCGCGTCGCGCACGCCGCCACGCATTCGGGGGGCTCGGCGGACATTATTCCCACGATCCCTCACGCTCACTCCCCAACTCCTCTCTCCAGGACACACTTGTCAGGATGGTCCGGAGACTCTGGCTGAACTCTAGGCGCGTTGGGCCGGCTCTATCCCTCTGCGGGACGGAGTTCTCCGGCCGCTGGATTCGCAAAAGCTGCACGCCGAATTTTCTAAGTCCCGCTGCGCTTTATTCTCTGCTTCAACTGCCAACAGCTCACTCCTTTTGGGGGCCGATCTCTTCCGCTGCTCTATCTGCCGCCGGAGAAGATCTGGAGGCTCTTTTGCACCTCCCAATGAGGCGGCTTTTCTTCTAGACGAGCAGGGAAGATCTGCGGTGCTCCCACGCTGGATGCTCTCGAAGTTCGAAGTTCCCCGGTGACTCTATCTCTCTGCAAGGCTGAATCTGATCTGCGGCGATTTGGCTCCTCCCTCTGGCTGCAGGATCCGCTGCTTGGATAGAAACATTATCGCATCGGGATTCAACTAACGTAACGCGTGGCTCCATAAACCGTGCACAGGTTTACAGAGCCAGCGTTGCTGCAGCCAGACTGAGTAGGGAAACCGGCATAGCCTCCGGCCGCCCTCCTCAGCCTGACCCGCAGGTCAGCCTGGTGGCAGCCCTTGCGGGCCGCCGGGGGTCTCCGCTCCCCGCTCCCGAAGGAGCCGGAGCAAGGAGTGCGCCGCTTACCGAGCGGCTCGGGTTTTTATATCATTTCTTCTCATTTGCATATATCGACGATCCTGGGAAATCGGAGACCCCTAACTCCACCTTTCTTCTAGAAGGTTCTCGAACTTTCCAATGCTTAAGGTATAGGAGATGACCACACTCCCCTCTTGCCGCACTCTGATTGGCCGCCCTAACTCCAGGGGGCTGGCCGAAGCCGCAGCGCCCGCGACACGTCGCCACTCGCCTGCATAAGAAAGGCCAGGGTAAAAATCAGCGGAACTAACTTTCTCTTCCCACTCCTTCTCTCTTGCTGCTGGCGCCGGCGCACAGAGCGCCCCTCTTCCGCTGCAGCCAACACATCAGCTGGGCACGAAAACAAAGCTAAATCCTCGGCAAACAAAATCGCGGCTCTGATGATAAATAAAATGCTTAAGCGAGGAACAACAATAAACAATTAAGATGGTGAATCAAATCCTCCCTTCCGAGCTTAGCATTTCACTAGCTCCCTTCGCGCATCTCAAAGCTCTTGAAGATCTCTGGTGGTGGTTGAAAAACTCTTCAGGCTGATAGGCTCCCTACGGGCTTCTTGCTTCTGGGAAAAATAAAAAACTTAGACTACGTGAACACTGAGGCTCGAATAAAACTTAAAAGCACACATTAAAACAGCTAAAACTCCACTCGGGAGATGACTAGCTCAAACATGGTTGACACAGAACGGTGGTTGACTAAAAACTCTGTCTCAATCTGGTAGACTCCTATTCGGTTGATCTCATAAATTGGTGTTACTTGCAGAAAACGGTTGACTTCGCACGTTGTCGGCGGGCTACTTCCCAAAATGCTCAGGACTTTTCACGGCCCTGGCTAACTCTTCAAAATATCCCGCAACCTCCTGAAGCATCTCACTAGTCCTTTGCACGCGTGACTTTCTTCTCACTTTTGGCGCCTGTGCACGTCTGCACAATTTCACTCTCTTACTAACTCTCTCTGGAGACTTCTTCTCCAGCCTTCAGGGTTACGCGGAAACTCATCTTCTATTTCCTCGGTACCGGGATAAACTCTTCATGTTCATATCGTATCTCTCTGGATCCTTAATCTTTCTTCATAATTCATATTTTCATATTCTCTCTGAAGCAATTCTTTCTTGAGCGCTCATCTTGATGACTCTTCAACGTCAACTCTTCATCTCGCCGACTCTGCTCGCCGACGCATTCTCTTAGTGGACACTTCATCTTCAACTTCTCTTCTAATTTGGTACCCTGGTGCGAAATACAACCTCACGTCTTCTGAAGATCTCGGACGAAAAGGACAGCAAAACTTCCTCCCTGACTTATCACTGAGCTGCGCACTTGAAACAAAGAGGCCGAAAGCACAAGTCGTCCTTAACCAGCTAACTGGCAAAAGCACAATCGAGAAGAGATAACTCCCCGCGATCATAAGTGCTGAACGACTGGCTCGAACCCTTTATCTCTGCTGCTTCAAAATCCTGTTGATTCACTTGAAGCGCAAAAATCTGCTCAAAAATCACGACTTGCAAAACTAGGATTGTCAGACTCGTTGAATTTCCCACGATGGAAGATTCCCTGATGACTGTCCCACGACGGAAGTTCCTCGATGCAGCTCTCCCGAGCTGTGATGAATTAAAACGATAAAACTCTAATATTCTAAAAGCTTTAAAACTGACAGCACAATCTAAAAACTCTTGGCGGTTGATATATTCTTTCTCAAGCAGGTAAAGTTTCGTTCCTATATCTTCACCTTCCTCCCGAAGTTAACTCTGCACCCTACCGGCACATCATAGCACATTATGTTACGAGCTGAACACTTCGTCGGCTGAAACTCTTGCATTTGAAGCTTCTCTAGTTGGTTGGCAGAAAGTTCTGCATTGACGCTCAAAACGCTGCATCTGATGTTATTCCAACTCACTAATCCTTCTCAGGCCTCCCTCTGAATGACCCTCGGCACCCATCTGTCCCGCATGAATAGTTCTGCCGTCCTGCAATGAAGATCTAAACCATTCCTGCTTCAGATCCATCGCGGACCGGTTATCAGAACATTCAAGATCCTGGGGCAGCCGGGGTTTCCGTCAAACAAAGTTCCTCCCTCATAAGATCGCTTGATCATTGCTTCTCTGCTTCTGAGTTCTCCTTGATGGTGTATTGCGTCTGCGTTCAGTCCACTTGCTAACTTAACTTCTGTGCTCTTTGATATCTCCGTGTTGTTCTCTGAAGATTTCAATGATGTTCTGCTTTTCTCTTGTAGAGTAGATTTTCTGCAGATCAGACCAAATCAGTCACTTGTAAGCTAAATCTGCTTATATCTAGCGCTGAGGCTCAAAATCTGCGTTGACTTGTATTTTCTTGACGATTTAACTTCGGGCAGCTTCTATGTTGAAGAAGCTCTCTGGTGTCAGAAAATTTTACAAGATTTCTAAAATCTTGCTGCTGAAGTTCTTTTGACGATCTTAGTTTGTTGATAATTCTCTGAATTGCTCTGTGACTGGAAATTTCATCTTGTGGATTAGAACTTTGAAGATATCTGCATTTGAGGGCCTGCAGTCCCTTCAACGCTCGATCTCAAAGACTTCTCTTTTGGATTGTATTCGATGATTCTATCAGCAGAGCACAACTCTGTGTAGATCTTGAAGGTCTTGAAGCTGAAGATCTTGAAGGCTTCACGGTGGTGTGACTTTTCTCTCTGGGACTTAGAATTTCTCTTGAAGTTAAGTGGGTGATGTATTTTCCTTTCTAAGTGAGGTTCATTTAAAGCTGGAGCTTATCCCACTTCTGACACCACTTGATCCGTGTCAGAAGTGCTTCAAAAGTCAGCTTGATTTGCTGACTGATGATCGCGAGAAGTTTTTTCCAATCCCACTTCTGACACCACTTGATCCGTGTCAGAAGTGCTTCAAAAGTCAGCTCAGGCTGAGGGGATGCTCGTGGGCAGCTCTGCTTCAAATCCCACTTCTGACACCACTTGATCCGTGTCAGAAGTGCTTCAAAAGCCAGCTCAAGGCTGAGGGATGCTCGTGGGCAGCTCTGCTTCAGATCCCACTTCTGACACCACTTGATCCGTGTCAGAAGTGCTTCAAAAGTCAGCTCAGGCTGAGGGGATGCTCGTGGGCAGCTCTGCTTCAAATCCCACTTCTGACACCACTTGATCCGCTCGCGCCGATCGCATCCGCGTCGCGCACGCCGCCACGCATTCGGGGGGCTCGGCGGACATTATTCCCACGATCCCTCACGCTCACTCCCCAACTCCTCTCTCCAGGACACACTTGTCAGGATGGTCCGGAGACTCTGGCTGAACTCTAGGCGCGTTGGGCCGGCTCTATCCCTCTGCGGGACGGAGTTCTCCGGCCGCTGGATTCGCAAAAGCTGCACGCCGAATTTTCTAAGTCCCGCTGCGCTTTATTCTCTGCTTCAACTGCCAACAGCTCACTCCTTTTGGGGGCCGATCTCTTCCGCTGCTCTATCTGCCGCCGGAGAAGATCTGGAGGCTCTTTTGCACCTCCCAATGAGGCGGCTTTTCTTCTAGACGAGCAGGGAAGATCTGCGGTGCTCCCACGCTGGATGCTCTCGAAGTTCGAAGTTCCCCGGTGACTCTATCTCTCTGCAAGGCTGAATCTGATCTGCGGCGATTTGGCTCCTCCCTCTGGCTGCAGGATCCGCTGCTTGGATAGAAACATTATCGCATCGGGATTCAACTAACGTAACGCGTGGCTCCATAAACCGTGCACAGGTTTACAGAGCCAGCGTTGCTGCAGCCAGACTGAGTAGGGAAACCGGCATAGCCTCCGGCCGCCCTCCTCAGCCTGACCCGCAGGTCAGCCTGGTGGCAGCCCTTGCGGGCCGCCGGGGGTCTCCGCTCCCCGCTCCCGAAGGAGCCGGAGCAAGGAGTGCGCCGCTTACCGAGCGGCTCGGGTTTTTATATCATTTCTTCTCATTTGCATATATCGACGATCCTGGGAAATCGGAGACCCCTAACTCCACCTTTCTTCTAGAAGGTTCTCGAACTTTCCAATGCTTAAGGTATAGGAGATGACCACACTCCCCTCTTGCCGCACTCTGATTGGCCGCCCTAACTCCAGGGGGCTGGCCGAAGCCGCAGCGCCCGCGACACGTCGCCACTCGCCTGCATAAGAAAGGCCAGGGTAAAAATCAGCGGAACTAACTTTCTCTTCCCACTCCTTCTCTCTTGCTGCTGGCGCCGGCGCACAGAGCGCCCCTCTTCCGCTGCAGCCAACACATCAGCTGGGCACGAAAACAAAGCTAAATCCTCGGCAAACAAAATCGCGGCTCTGATGATAAATAAAATGCTTAAGCGAGGAACAACAATAAACAATTAAGATGGTGAATCATAAGTGAGGCCCGATTTATTTCCCAATACCATGTCCATCGTGGCTCCGGGGCCCATCGCGATCCACACCCTTTTTTCTTAACCCTCCGTAAGCCTTCCTTACGCTCGCAGCTTTAAAAAAATATTATCTTCGAGATCTACCAAGCTCCGAGTTACCGGATCGTGGGGTGGTCTAGATTGTGGTGTGCGTGCAATTCTTAATACATGCGTCGCGCCTCCTATAGAAATGCGTCAAGCAGGCTAAAAGAATATGTCTTGCACCTACTATAATGGTGCATAATGTCCTCTGGAGATCGCTTTAGCCCACTCTGATATTGTAGCAAAGGCACTGTCTCCCCAAGCCGAAGCTAGGATTTTGTAGCACTTGCCATAATGGTGTACAGACCTCCAGAGGTCATCTTGCCCCTTTCTGAACCTATCCCAAGGGTCCATTTTTAGCCTAGCAATACCCTAAATTGAGATTGTATGAATGGAATCGCATCGCGCATGCTATAGAGGTTTCCGAGGTAATCCGGAAAAAATCAGATTCATTTAAAATTACACCAAAACAGCAATTGAAGGCGCGACGTCATACTTTTACTTAGGAGCATACGCGCTGACATCAAATAAATTAATTTGCTCAGTTGTGCGCCAGCAAATGAGGTTCACTTTTGAAAAGGACTAAGAGGGTCATTTTTTAAAAATAAGGTCTGGAATCAAATAAATTAATTTGCTCAGTTTTGCGCAAGGAAATGAGGTTCAATTTTTAAAAGGACTAAGAGGGTCAATTTTTAAAAACATGGTCTGGAATCAAATAAATTCATTTGCTCAGTTGTGCGCCAGCAAATGAGGTTCACTTTTTAAAAGGACTAAGAGAATAAAAAGTAATGGACAAATTGCACTAATATATATACATCATGTACTATAGATCGATCAATAGTGGAAAACAATAAATACCATGAAGATTTTTAAGGTTACACAAATAATTTATTTAGAGTAAAAATTGGGTATGAAAGTTTGATTATAAAAAAAATAGCAAGGATGGAAAAAATCGCAAAATCAATCTGCAATTGCGATCGCATAATTTTTTGAAAAGATGATATAAAGCATAACTTAATAGTTTATAAGTAAAAGGAGAAAAGGAAATCAATTTAGCTTATGAAAAATCTTGTTTAAGTTGGACATCCTAAGCTTCAAGTACAATTTAAATACAAAAAAGTGGATTGAGAACAATATTGGTTTTCCCTTTTGGAGTAAACAACAGTGTCCACCAAGCATAATTGTACGAATAATTTGGTGAGAGTGACGCTTTGCTTAAACTAAACAAGTGAATACCTAAGGTTTTTAACAAGACAGAGTGCTTCACCTTCTGGTTTTGGTTTTGATGCTTTACTAGGACTATAATCCAATATTTTATTGTTTTGCACCTGCAAATCTCCAAAGATCTTATTGGCACCAGGTGCGTTGTGCTTTAGCATGGTGATTCCATTGATGACCAAAACCTTAGGCAGATTGGTCCTTTTGTAGTAGCAAGACTCTTTCAGCTTAAATATGATTTTGACAGTGGCTCCTTTGGGCACCAACACCGCAGGCATCTCAAAACGCACACTCGAGCCGGTCGCAAATTGATCGGATGTGGTTGGGGCGATGACTTTTCCTGGATACCAAGGGTTGCCAACGCAGCTGATTGTCAGTTTCACACCGAGCAAGTTGTTTTCATACTGAACTCTTTGACAATAATCAAGAAGCCTATTTCCAAAAAGGTTAATTAAAATTGTTGTACAATATATTAAAAAAAAAAACTGCTCACTCGACTTGACTAGCAGTTTTCATGTCTTCCATTTGGTCCAAAAGTGAAAGGTCCAGGTTCACTTTGCATAGAACTTCAAAACCATGGATGCAAAAAAGTTCCTTGGCCTCAAATGACAGAACAAACTCCTCCGATTTAGTTATTTCTCTGCAAAGTTGAGGATCCTCGAAAATCTTTCTCGCGCTGAGAGGTGCACTTTCAGGAATGAGAGTGAAGGTCTTGATTGCACATCTGCTCTGCAAAATCGGGCAAATCGACTCTGGCCGCTCAGGTTGATGGTTAGCCAGCAGAGGGCTGTGGGCAAGTTTGTGCAGAAAGAAGAACTTCTCTTGATCAGTCAACCACGGGTAGAGCATCGCAAAACCTTTTTCAGTCACAGTTAAGAGACGAAGGTGAGGAAGGGATGCTTGAATCACAGCCCTTTAGGTAAAATAATAGAACAAAAAAGCAAACCTGAGTAAAAACATTATAATTTCATAAATATATATAAGAATACCTTTTATCTCCGTCCTCTTTCTTTGAGTTGGCAAGTTTGACGACAGACGCAATCAAGTCAAGCTCGGAATTGATTGCCATTTTATCCAGAGCCAAAAACAATCCCAGCACCTCAAATCCAATCTCCAAAAAAGTTGATTGCTCCAGGCACTCCAATGTCCGGCCAATCAAAAACTGTGTGTAATATAAAAGTTATGTAAGAAAAATCAGCAATAAAAGAAAGCAAATCATACCTTTTTGCACGCAGAGGCCACAAATTTGTTCAGATGACTTTGCTCCATAACCTTCCAAACATTTTCAGGGGTGAGGAAATGTTCAATCAGAGCTGTGCTTTCTGCACCCAACTCGTCCATCAAAAACTCGTCGGCCACCCTGGCTAACTTCACAGCTTCCTGAATGTTGGTCACCGGAGTGTGGACACGAGTGTGAGCAAACCTTTCAAATTATTTTTAATTATTAACTTTTCATTAAAAAAAAGAGTGAAATACAATTAAAAAAAATATATAATTTGCATTGGTGGAAAATAATAATATGCAAAGACTTACTCAATGACCATTTTGAAGATGGAAGGCTCAACGTGCTTGACCCTGATGGGCTCCGATGGAATCAATAAGGAGCTTCTGAACAGCCCTCGAAAGTATTCACTTGCGGCTCTCAGATCAAATTTGCTTCCGTGGACGAGCTAAAAAATCCCTTTCTTAAAATAAATATGAATTTGTATTTAATTTTAATTACAAAAATATGAATGCATAACAAAAAATACATTACATATAATATTTTATTACATATGTGAATCCGATGAAGAAGTTTGAATCATCAATTGATCGATCAAAAATGGAATGTTACGCTCTTTTTCTTTTCGTCTTTCTCATGACGTATTTTAATTAATTTTTAAGGTTACCTTGGCAGATTCGTCGTCCGGGCCGACGAGGAAGACGCAGTCGGTGCCATCGCCCGTCTGAAGCGCCTTCAGCTTCCAAACCGCTGCTGCGGACACATTTTTCTGCCTTTCCATCCATTCATCGGCGACATTTTTACCAACTGCTGTTCGCTTCATATTCGTACTTGAAGATTAAGACAAATAATGATACCACTTGTATGGGTAAAGTACACTGAAGACTGAAGATGTGATGTGACTGACGCGTGGTGACGACAAAAGCAGACTGCGACCTACACCCTCTGCACTGCACAGAAAACGAGAAGATGATAAGCAAGGGAAAGATTTACGTTTCCTTTTTTTTTGCCTGCTCCTTTGAGGCCTACCGAGCATGCACACACTTGTTTGTGTCGATCGCGCATATAATTGGCAACGCAGCGATTTCATTGTAGAGAGAGTGTGTTTCAAGTTTCAACCGATTTATTTTGTAACTTTACGTTTGGTTTGTTTTTGTTCGTAACATATTTTTATTTATAATAGAGAATGCGACTTTAAAATTAGATTTTGTTCCATTATAAGAACATCAACATCAATTCAAATAATAAATATTCCTGAGCAAATAAGATTTTTGGAACATTTTCATTAAGATTATTTTATTTTTTTATTAAAAAATATCTCAAACCCCACCTAGCAAAATTTCAACACTAATTCAAATACTAATTAGGTGGTAGAATTGATTCATCTATCACTATCATAATTGATTTTCTGTGCTGATTGCGATTTGTTTTTTATTTTATGTATTTATTAATTCACTAATTTATTTCCCTATTTCCTTACTTATTTGTTTATCTATTTCCTTCTTCCTTTATTTTGTTTTTATTTGTTTATTCATTTTTTTATATTATTATTTTAGAGTTTTAATAATTGTGCATATTATAAACATTACTGATTATAGTTTGTTGGAAATAATATAATCATGATTTGCTTTGGATTATTTTTATCTTTTCAATTTTTAAATGATGTAGAAAATATAAATATTTTGAAAATCCAGTATAAAATTATATCTGCGCGCTGCTCATGTCTATTATAATGTCTATGCAAAAATAGCAAAACTTTTTTCGCTCTTGCATTTAAATGTATTTATGGTGAAAATTTATTTGTTTCAGGGATAATTGATGGATAATCAAAAAATGGAAGATAACCACTGTGGTGTCGAGGCGGCGCCAAATACTTTCGAAGAGGCCGGAGCAAAGAATAGTAAGTTCCAAACACTATGGTAGGATTTTCATGGAGATTGGCAGGATCGTGGACAGCCTGGTAGAGCTGCATGTTTGTAGATGACCGCAATCAACTCGCATATGAGTGTTTCTGCACTGCATATTGCACAACCTGATTGAGAACAGTGACGAGCATGAAAGCAAAAATTAGAATTATATGTGACAAAAAAACCGTAAAAACCAACTATCACATAATATAAGTAATGCTCTACTTTTCATCATAAAAAAATTAATAAATCTTAGCATGAACTAAACTACTGCTGCAGATTCGGACATAAAGAACATAATTCTCCCCATTCTTTAAAAAAAGGAAAGTTGCAGGGACGAAAAACGTTCTGCTAACTTAAAACCCGCTTTTTACATTGTACAAATGTGAACTTTAATTTATAACCACAATTTATTTGCTGCACATACTGGAAAAAAATTTAAAAAGGCGAGCACCAAAATACCCATTATTTGTGCTCATTGATCGAAAGGATCGAAGCGCGGCGCAGCGGCAATTCAGATATTCGAAAAACTTATGCATTGCAATCATAATTATTAAATTTTTTTATCATTTTTATGAAGTATTTTAAGAGGGAGGATATTTAATAAAATAATATTTTTATATATATTATTTTGAAAATAAAATTGACCGTTTATTGTGAGAATTAGCTGGAAACATCTTTCAAATTATTGCCCTGGAAATTTTTGGCAAAATCACAGAAGCTACTCTATATTGGCTGACTCAGTTAATTGGAGCGTGCTCGGCCGGCTTAGCAAAATACTCAACAGTTCCCAGAAAAAGAAATCACTCTGGTTCACCCGAGATTCCCGAGAAATCGGCCTGGAACGGGAACTGAACCAACTTTCCTTGCAGCGTAGAAGAGGAAAGTGCAAGCTAATTTGGCGCTGATTTTATTTAAAATCAGCGCATAATAACGTTATTGGCCAGAGATGACAGAAACAATAAAAAGGGGCGGGGTCGAGTTCCAAGAAAGATTCGATTGTCGGTTGTTTGTTGTGCGAATTTGCGTTCCGCGCATTCTTCCGGCTAACAATCTAGAAGAGGTCTTTTGAGACGGATGTGATTAAGATTTAAGTAAAATTTCATCGATCACGCACGGACTGAGGACCGAACAAAGGCTCCAGCATTGGCTCCAGCGCACTTTCGCATCGATCCTGCGGTCTCGACTGTCTCAAGCACGAGAGGTCTGCACCTTCGCGGCAGTCGCGGCCGCGGCACCGTATTGTTCTCATCTCATCCTAGTTTTCTAATCTGGTATGTACATAAATGTGATCAGGTCCGCCGACTTTTATTTATTTTCCCACACACGGCCTTCGCAGGCCGATCGAAATGACAGCATTAAATTTATTAATTTCAGTTTCATGTCTCTTTACTGATTTTTTAATGCTTATATTTGCAGGGAACGAGAGATAAAAAATACAAGCAGACATTTGTTTCTTGTGACCTAAAACCTAACGCAGAGCATAGAGTATCTTAACGATCTCTCGATCCACGGAGATTATCTGTGTATAGATAAGAGTCAAGTCTCACCAACTCTTCATATCTCGAACCACAGTGACCACCAGGGCCTTCCGCAGCATGTAAGTCAAGCATAATTTTTGTTCAAGAATAATTTCATATTTTGAATTTTGATTATTAAACCTTAGTTTTCTTTGTTGGTGGTGTTTGTTGGGAACGACAATTTTTTTCCTCCCATATCTCATCACCATGCTGAATTTCAGCAAACTTTGCAATAGGCAATATAATCAATTAATATTCTAATTTTGCTTTATTGGTTCATTATTGCAGACCCGCCCGTATTGAAGCAAAATAGTAATATCATGGACGACGATGTGGAGCTGCCGCCCCCCAGAAGAACTAAGCGCTTCACTTTGACTGCCTACTCTGCGTCTCCACAAATCGCAGATGAGCCATAGTATGCGGATGCCTTCAAAGGAGACCGGGTGATCATGTCCACTCATATGAGACCCTGGATTGACGAGATCAAGATTCTCTATGAATTTGAAGAAGATAACCAGATGGTATTTTCGATATATGCTGACACAAGGACGAATGGAATCAAAGACAAAATCTTCTGTGGCCTGCTAAAGCTCATTCCTAGCCCGAGGAAAGGTTTATGCTTGGTCCCAGACAGACTCCTTACCAAGCTGGGCGTCCAATCAGGGACTCGGGCTAGCGTTACCAGCCGCAAGATAACAGCAGCTACTGAACTGATTTTCACCAGTCCGAGGCAAATTATTCTGACGCGTGGACCTGCCCTTGCAGAAAGCCTTGGAGAAGCTCTGAAGCAATCGACAACTTTGAAACTCAAGGACCAAGTGGGATTTCTCTTTGACGGAACATACACACTTGTCACCTGATTTTTAAAAGTCCCGAACAAGCGAAGGTGGTGAGGGTTGGCAGAGGACGAAGTGACCCCCAATTCTTGGTTGGGTATATCAACCCCGATAGGTTTAAAGAGCTTGTGCCTGAACTTAAAAAACTCGTGCCTGAACTTGAAGAACCTTTGCCTGAACCTCAAGAAGCCGTTGAGCCTGAAAATCCTTAGTGAAGGACCAAGTGATCAGATTAAGATGAATTTAGTTGCAAATTTAAATTTGAATTTAAATTAACAGTTCTATTTTTCAATTATTTAAGTTTATTTGATTAAAAATTTGAAAAGCTGTCATGGTGCATCTACTTAAGAGAGGGATAATAGAAGGGGAAAAAATTACGCACTCTCGTTTGTGCTCGTAACTCTTTTCATGCACTCTCAATTCCAATGATTCCACAAACCTTTCCTTTACATGGCCTTCACCTTATGTAAAAACGGTTGGCTTAATAATTAAAAGAGGAGAATCCGAGAATGATAATTTTTTTATTATCATTTGACTATTGTCTTTATTTTGTTATCTAAAAATGGCATCGACGTGTCAAACGTCACAAATAATAGGGAAAAAAATGACGCACTCTCATTTGTGCTCGTAACTCTTTTTGCTACGCAAAGCCTCTAAACTGATAAAACTAGCCTAGCACATTTGAACAGAACAAGGCGCGGTGCTTACTATGAGAGGCACTCGCTTTTTTCTTCCTCGGTGCAAATCATCATATCATACGCACAACTTTTTATTCATCAACAAATTTTGTTCATTGCTTCAAAATTTTCAGTACTTATTAATTCACAGAAAACTAACAAATCACTTGGATTTGCCAACTTTTAATTCTATGATTATGTGAAAGAGACACATTTTGATTTTATATCAAGTTAAACACTTTTTAAATTTGGTTCTGTTTCAACAATTGTCACTCAGATGCTTTTAGCATGCAATTTTAAATATGACTTTGTGAGAAAAAATAATAGAAAAATTGCCAATCATTATAACTTGAGTGTATAGTTTCTAGCACAGTGGAACTGGAGGAAAGGCCCAGACTATATTTGAGCGCATACGTACTAAAAACTGGGTGAATAAGTTTTGAGCACCTTCGATGAGCACCGAAAACATTAAGATTAATAATAATTTTAATTAAAGCTTGAAATTATAATTAGGGAACACACCTTGCCTCCAGTGTTTTAATTATTATTACAATTAATAAATCATTGGCTGCGTTTCAACAACTCAAGTTGGCGAGATCTTCGAGGAATTCACTTCGGACAAATATCACACTCGGCGGAACCAGCAAGAAAAAAAATACCGATCAAGGCAGTGTGACTGTGACTGAGAGAGTCTGTGTGCTGATCAGTGGTGCTTCTTGCGTTTGTAGGCCGGCCACCGGCAGGAGGGGCAGCTGTGGTGGTCCCTGAGCAGCCAGGCCATGATGCACGCCTCGTGGAAGGCGTGGCCGCAGGGCAACCCGCACAACAGTGACCCTTTCACGTAGGACTCGAGGCAGATGGCGCACTCGGCCGCCCTGAGGGCGCCCTTCGGAGGACCAGAGTCCTCCTCGGACTCGGCCTCCTTGCCAGGACGCATCATGTCCTCGATCAGGGCGCGCGACATTGGGTCTCGCTTGACGTCCATCCTGTGACGCCACCTGGCCAGGGTCCGAAGGTAGTCGGCGCTGACCAGCGGGGTCAGCCAAAGGCCAGGAACCGCCAGACGCTGCACCAACAGCTCCTCGGGGTTCGGCATCCGCTCGTCTTCGGAATCAGGACGTAAGCTAAATAACATTTATGAAACTCAAATTAGTTAAAATCATTTAAGAGAAAGAAATTTTTTAATTCATGGTAAAAAATTAAAACATTTCATCAAAACTTCCGACAAATTCCTAATTTAGTAAATTATTTTTGAAAGTATTTTTTTCCTTTTTAATTTTCAGGAGTTTTTTGTATAAATTTAATATATTTACCTGGTGAGGGTTGAGGTAGGATTGGGCAGCAGTTGACTGAGCAGCCTCCAGCCGAAGTTGGTGCCCTCGGAGGGCTCTTCAAGAAAGCAGTGGCGCACGCAGAGCAGAAAGAGGAGCAGCGTGCAGAGCAGCACCTTTGGGTAGCGCGCCAGCAGGTTCAGGTCGGCCCTGAGCCAGAGACCTGGTTTCGAAAGGGCCGTCCAGCGGCTCGCATACGAAAAGGCCTCTGTGCATGGAGTGGCCAGAAACGGCGCCCTGTTTGAGTGATTTTATTTTTTAATAAAATTTTTTTGAAATTTTTTGTTAATTTCGCACCTGCTGAGGGTGAGGATGGCAAGCCAGGCGGCGAGGAGGGCCAGGTTGTGCGCCAGGATGGTGAGCAGACAGCCAAGGAGGGAGCGCTTGGTGGCGGCGCGCAGCACCGCCAGCAACTGGCACAGGGCCAGGGACACCAGAAGGGCGTCATTGGCCTCAGGTTGCACCGCCCTGAGGAAGTTGTGCATGGTCTTGAAGTCGAGGTGCTCCTCTCGGCCGTAGCCGTACATGTACGACCCTTGCGGGGTCGACACTAAATATGTGGTGCGGTCCTTCGCCCCTAGACTGCTCTTTGCCTCGTCTTCCTCCTCTTTATTCTTCACCTTGAACAAAAAGTGACATTCAATTTTGTGGAGTTAAATTGTTTAATTTAATTAATTGAATTGTTTGATTAAAGTTAGTTTTCAGTGAGTTAAATGACATTAATTGTTAATTCTTAATAGGCATAATTTCAAAAAAAAAAAAAAAAAAAAAAAAAATACTGGAAATTACAATTTTTAACAACAGATGCAATTAAATTACCATTTAAATTAAAATAGACTTGATAAAACTAAATAATTTATTCATTAACAGGAGAATTTTGTAAAAAAAGATGATCTATTAAATTCAAAGATTTTAAGGAGATTATTCAAAGCTAAATTAATTCATTTTGAATTAATGTGCCTCGATTGGGACATAATTATCAAAATTTTACAAATTTTTTTATTACTTGTAGCATTCCGAAGCGGACTCGTCCAGCAAACTTGACACTGAGGGCGGCCAAGAAAAGAGGTGGACTGGAGAGTTTGGTGATGAGCAGGAGGCGCACCTGGCCATCGGCCTCAGGTTTAGCCGCCGCCTCGGCCCAGCTGGCCGCCTCTGACACATTCTGGAGCCGCTCGACCCTGTCGGACAACTGTTGTCGCACCCACGCAATAATTGACTGCGGCTTGGTCGACTTGAAAATCTGCATCAACACTTTGTCCTTGGCTCGAGTGCCCCTCGGCAGGGCTAACAGGAGCAGCGGTTCGTGCCACCCTTTCCCAGTGCACAACCTTCTTGCAAAATACTATTATATAGAAGTTTTAAAAAATGATTATTTTGCATTTTTACCTCCGATCCAGCTTGCAGTCGAAAACACCTGTCCTGATTGCAAAAGGGGCCAGGTGGGCGCAGACGAGCCGCCAGCTGTAGTCGTCTAAAGGCGGCTCTGCCCCTTCAGGTGCCACCTGAATTTTTCATGTAAATTTATTAAGGAATGGTTCGAAGGAATGGACTGAGTTTTCAGACCTGAACAAGCCATACAGAGTCTTTGGTGTCCTCGACTTCTTCGTAGAAATGGGCCCCACCAGTGAAGTGAGAGGCGGGTGCTGCAATTCGGGCCTTCACCTCGTTCTCCGATGTTTCCAAAACAGCAATCTCAGAGTGCACAACTTGGCCTGGCGAACAAAAGAAAAATTAAAATGCAAGTTCAATTTTTTTAAAGACGAAGAAATAAATGAAAATTATATTTAAAGTTTTCTTGCTTTTGTTTTTAAGATTATTTATTTCTAGATTTTTCCATCAAATTGCAAAGCGAGTCACATTTTAATTGCATGTAATCAAATTACAATTCTTATCAGCTGAAGAAATTTTAAAATGATGTCGAGCGAGATAAATCTTCGCACCAAATTTTTATAAATAAATAACTTTATTATAACATTGTAAAAAAATTAAGGTAATTATGTAAATTTAACTCTTGGATTTCATGAGCAAATTCAGGAAGTGAAACTGAAGCAATTCAACCCCGTTTTTTAATTGACTAGACCCTGAAGACCAAAAGGGACGAACCAGAGTTGTAGACGAGTTCGGCGAGTTCGTGTTTCTCGACGCAGCCTGCGTAGCCGACCCCCCTGGTGTCCAGGAGGGCCTTGAGCTGTCGGACGCCGAGGACGAGCCGCGGGTCGACTTCCTGGTTGGGCGCCAGACCCTGCAGGTGCCAGATGAGCAGGTCGATGATCCTGGCCACCAACATGAGCACCAAGAAGTAAAGCACCAGCAGCAGCACCTGCCGCCAGCGGGCGTTCATCTTAATTGGGCGCCGCGACCTTTCACCTCTCCTGCTTTAATGAACAAAAGAAAACAGAGAACGCGTCAAAAGCCCATTTGGGTTGCAAATCAAAACACACAGGTTGACGTCACAGAGGGGTGGCTGCCACCCCCGTCACCAGTCACCCCAATTAGAAATATACCATCGGTCAATCGAGGGACGAGAGATCTTCTCGGCTCCGAGAATCAGCTCATTTCGCTCTTGTCAGTCACGAGAGGCGAGTGAAACGTCACTTTAAAGTTTCCCTGTGTGTGTGTGTGTGTTTCTCTAAAATTATGTACAGTAAAGCGACGAGCCTTGAAGTGCAGCTGCAGAGTGCAGCACCGCTCCACTTTATCGACTGATAACAACTCAGCTGCGGGGAGGGGCTGCTCGCGGGACCAAACGCCGCCGTTCAAAAGCGGCAAAGCACGCGAGAGCAAAATTACACTTTAAGGGTGAAACTTTTATTAAATTTTTTTTAAACTAAAACTGAATATTATTTATTTTAAATGCTTAAATAAATGCCTGAAGAGTACCCATTTTATCCCAGCGTAATATGAATGGAAAAATAATTGATAATGATACCTTCCTATCGTTTTACGTTTTACTTTTATGTAAATATAGTCACGACCTTAAAATAAAATTCACAGAGGGCCAACAAGGCGCCGACGACCTTGATGGTAATAAAAAAGACCAATCTCTATTATTTCTTTACCAAAAATTTTTCAAGCAATCATTCAAAAACTGCCAGCATATAATTATAATTAAAATTAAAATATTTTCTTATTTAAATAATATAAAATTAATTTCCAAGAAAAATTTCATTTATTTTTTAATTAACAATAAAAGCGGATGAATGGCGAAGTTTTAGAGGGTCGTGTTTAGACAGGGCTGAATTCGTCCGTTTTGCTCACCCCCGAGTGTGCCACACTTGTTGAAGTGCGGTTGGTTTTTAATTAAAAATAACAGTGAAAATAACTCGATTTAGTGGTGTCGTCACTCTCTCGCGCGAGCTTGTCCGCGTCAATTACGATTTTTTTTTGCTGTTGTTGGACAAAACTAGATTGAATTCATCCCTCGAAAATATACTCACGATTGTCATTCCTCCTTCGGAGTGGGTGTCGATTCGGCCGAGGCAAAGAAACGAGTGAAGAAAAAGAGCGCGAAGAGGCACGAAAAATTCGTCGCGACCTTCTGCCTTTTTGAAACTTTCACCTGCGAGAGCCATTCAAGGTCTGCAGCTGGAGAGTTAATGGCAACAAACAGCACCTTTGCAGTTATGCAACACATGCTCTCACTGCAGAACCTTCCAGTTTTAGCACACAGAGGAGGGGAAATCGCGACTTTTCATTTGCTGATCGGAATTTTAATTCATGTTAATCAATTTTTACTTTTTAAGTTATGAGGCCATTTATATTTTGTATCTTTACATTGATGTTAATCAAAAACATTTAAGCTAAAATTAAATTAAAATTAGAAAAATATTCCCTTAATTAATGACTTTTTAGTTATTTTTAAAAAAATTTGTGTTTCACGCGAGTTGCTACTGATTTTCTTGCACTTCTTTTACTGTGTATTAATAATTTTTTTCAATCTGCTAAATTGAATGTGCAATTTTGCTGATGCGGAGCGGCAGATGAAAGGGCCTGGCAGCACAATGGGCGCGCAGAAAAGCAAGCGAGAAAAGAGATCAAAAATAATATTTTCATTTGACACAAAAAAAAACCGCTGGCCTTTTGTCGCTCTGCACGTCCTTACGTTTTTTTTCGCTCGCCGCAGCCGCGCGCCCACGCCGCGGTTCGCACTTGAGGTGATTGAACAGAGATTCGTTGCGAGTCGCGTCGCGGCTCTCATTAGACACAGACCTGCACCTCTGATTAATTATTTCGAACGCGCCAAGGGGGATGACGCGCGCGCGTGTTCAACGGGCTTCCTTGATTTCCTATTCGCGCTTCAAATAAAACGAAAACACGCTCGCCAAGCTGGACGGCAAAACCTTCGGAAGCAGAAACTTTCGATTTCAGGCGGAATTTCAATGAATAAATTAATTAATTTGTGCAAAGAGATTTATTAAAAAAATGTAAAATAATATAATAAATGACCTATACAGCAACCTTGGCTTAAAGTAATTGAAAATAAATTAATGCATTTTTGGATCAAATAAAATCTATTTAATGATATAATTACTAACCTTTAACTGCTTCTTGAGTTTAAATAATGCAGGTCTTTAATTGTATCAAAAACATTAAATTATAAAATGGAAATAATTTCATGATTTTCAAACTCCGTTTCCCTTTGCTTTTGTTTAATTGATCAATTCTGTTTTGGCATTCTCGTTTCGTTGTGGAGGAGCTCTTTGTGCAGAGAGACATGCTGGTGCATGAGACGTGCGCGGAATTGGCACTGATTATGCTCTCACCTCACCGCCTGCTTAATTGCAATATAGCACAAGAGTTAATTAAGCAAGGGATGCCTGCTCTGACTGTTAATATTATGAATAAAATTCCAAAGTAATTTATATTTTATTTAATTATATTTAAAATAGATCAAAACCAATCTCCAAAATAAAAAAAAAATTAAGCTATTTTTTTTATAATATTTTGATGAATTATCTATATGGGTTTTGAAAAAATGCTTTAAATTAACATTCGAATTAATCAAATTTCAAATTTGGGGCGAAATCTGTTTCACTCTTGGCGGTGATTTGAAAGGGTGGTTGGGCTTGTGTTGGGCAACGAGGTGCTGCGCACACACGTAGGCGTAGGCCGAGGCGGCTATAAGAGCTGCACCCCAGCCATCCCTCAGCCATTCGCACCCCCCGAGCTGCACCGCCAACCAACCGACTCAATCAAACACAAGTGAGTTTTATTCAACTTTTCCAACTCGTGTGAACTCAAATTGTTCTAGGAAAAATGGCTCTGAACGCACAGTCCGGACGGTTGCTGTTTGCCATTGGCCTGCTCTCCACCTTCCTCCTGGTGTTCTGTCTCGACACAGCCGAAGCCCAGGTAAAAATATTACTCACAGTTTTGAATTTTAAACAAACAATGCACTCTTTGTAAATTAAAAGCACATTTCTCAGTAGCTCTTCCTTGTCTTTAAATTAATTAATTAATAGATCAACTATTCCCCTGGATGGGGAAAAAGAAACGGATTGGTCGCAGAAAGAGCTCACGAGGAGGAGATGATGACAGGCTCGTCGCCACGCGGGGTATTTCACGTCTCTCTAGCAAATGTTTCACCCCTTTACATTTCCATCCCGCACTTCTTCTTCTTCTTTTTTATAGGAATGAATCTTTGATCTAATTTGCACAAACCTGCATGGATATAATTCAATTTTTCTTTATATTTATTTAGGATTCGATTTTGGCTGATTTGTGTTTCAATATTTGATATAATAATTGTGAAAAATTCCTCTCCAGGTCAATTTCTCTCCGGGCTGGGGCAAGCGGGGCATGACAGGGGCCGCGGGGCCCGGACTCGTGCTGCCGCAGGATCTGCGCGACCTCCCCTGCAAATCCACCATGGACACGATTTTACACATCTACAAACTTGTTCAGGTTTTGAAGCCTTAAAAATTATTTAATTTCGATCCTGACTCTCTGCTTCTCTAGGCTGAGGCGCAGAAAGTGGCCAACTGCGAGAAATTTGGCTCCGAATGATGGGAATTGAACCGCGCGGCCCTTCCTTCTTATTTTTAGAGAAATTCAAAGACAGTATGTGGACAAGAAAGAAATGCATTAGTTGAAAACTTTTTCATCGAGAGGCTGGACTTTTCGTTTTTCCGCCAAAATCTTTTGCTTTCTGTAATTTGTTTCTCTTTGACAAATGGATTTTTATATAATAATGATGATAATAAAATTTTGAAACTGTGCATATCCCATATATCAAATTGCTTTATTTATAAAGTAAATTTCAATCCAATTTCAATGGAAATAAATTTATAAATAAAAGAGCTCACAAAAAAGAGAGAAAACGTTACCTAAAAAAATTGCACAACTTTTCAAAGAGATAAAAATTTAAATTCTTTGGAAATACTGATTACAAAAATGAAATCACAGATGAAAAGGAATCGTTCGAAGTAAAGTTGTGCAATCAAAGAGCAAAAAATCAATTAATCGGAGCTCGCATGCGAAATCGTCGGCTTTAACAATGGTGCCTGGCGCGTCACTTCCTCTTCGGCTCCAAACAAGTGGAGTGGCGCGTTAAATATATCACTGCACTTTGTCACTGCAGCAGCGACCTCGGTGCAAAAAGGGCCAAAAAATGGACAGTGAAAGCGGTGGCCAGTAATTATATTTAAATATTATTTACTTTTTGTCGAGAGTCGCTGATTGTGAGTGGCCGCTCGGCTATGACGCCCAAGAAACCTTTGGTGTTGCTCAAATTTATGCAAAAAAGCTACGTGCAATTCCGGTCTGGCGAGACGCGTTCATTAGATATGCACCTTGCAGTTAGCAAATATCCACTCTTAAAATTAGTTGAATCTTTTTCAATGTTTGAAAATTTTAAATATTTGCATGGGGCAAAAATGAAAAAAATTACTATATTGTTTTCTAAATTAAAGACTGAGAGAGGAAATATTAAGAAATTAAAGAATTTAATAAATTTTGATAAGTTGCAAATAATAATGTTTCGGATATTATAATGAATATAAGAATTTTGAATAAACGACATTTTCATAATGGGGGGTTGTTGCCAAATGATACAACGTTTAATTATATATTTGTTAAAAATATATAAGACTTTATCTTTCTAAACAAACAAAATAGAAACAAAAACAGTGGCACTTGTTTTTTGCCCGCATCATGGCTTTTGCGTTTGTTTTGAAAGGTGGAGAAAAATCAACGTTATGTAAAAAAGGAAAGGAACTTGACAAGAAAAATTTTTCAGACGGAACGTGACACGTGCTCGGCGAAAGAAATTTTCACGCGATTAGTTCAGAGTCGTTAAATTCTCATGACATCTACATTGTTGGTCCTCAGTCAGAGAGAATGGCACATTTTAAACTTATTTTTAATTCAAAATCTCCAAAACAATATTAACAAAGGAACTATACATAATTGACGGAATGCATTGCGAACTTGGACAGATTCACAGAGAGCGCCGACTGATTTCAAGGGAGCGCGGCATCATTTCATTTGTCTTGCAAAGCGGAGGAAGAAGAAGTCGTTCAAGTGTCAGAATCAATCAATGAAATTACACGCTCAATGAGATTATGTTGTGCCTTTTGTTCTGCACTTGATCATGCCTGTCAGTGGCTTGCCGAATTTTAATTGGTCGCTCTGGCTGCTTGATTTACATAATATTATTTAATAAGATTGATCTCTAAATAATGGTAATGTAACTAATTTAACTTTTTTCTATCAACTTCAACTAAAATGTCATTATTTTGCATGTAACAAATAATAATTAAAGATTTAAAGAAGATCTGAAAAAAAAATCCCAAATCCGGAATTCATAAATTTGTATTAAAATATTTAATTAAATTTTACTATAACTATTTTAATTATTTTGCTTAATTTTATACATAAGAGTTAATTTAAATTTTGAGTCTATTTTTATTTAAACTTCAATAATTAATGTGGGTACACTATACACATAGGTAATTAAATTATTATATTTATTATTATAATTAATTATGAAAGAGATTTCAACAATTCATGGAGAGAATACAGAATTAAATAAATTTAGCTAATAATATTTCATCCTGGTGAATAATTAAATTATTTCCTATCATCTCAAAAGCAAAGGAAGTGGCACCCTGATCAGACAAAAGGTCCCATACTTCACGTCAAATACAAATTTTCCTTTCGTTTAATTATTTCTGCTTTTCAATATCATTTCGACGCATTGTCTGAGATAGGGTGCATGTTAGGTGGTTTGTACTGCTTTCTCTAAGGCGCCGGGAACAGAATGGTGCAGCGGAGCACGCCTCTATAAAATTCACTTGCTCGCCATCGGACCGATCAGTTTTCGTTCGTCAGTGCACCGACGACGACACAACATGAGACCATCGTCGATCGCCACACTTGTGAGTCAAAATTTATATCATATAAAATCAAATAAATTTAAACTTCTTTTAAAATATTTTCAATATTAAATTTGATTTGCTGTTGCAATGATCTAAATAAAATTCTACAGTTGTTTATTCCCAAAAGACACTTAGAAATGTAATTACTGAGCAATTCAAGCATCTAAATTTAAGATTTTTTTAAATAAATATTTCAAGGTTCTGTTCTTTTTATATTATTTTGTTTCTATCAACACTATTAATTATCATATTGTGAAAAAGAGAGTTAAATTTAAATTTGCTAAAAAAACAATTTTTCAAGGTTTTTAAGATTAATTCCGATTATATCTGGAGTAGACTTTTAGTTCGTTTGTAATTGCACCTAAACAAATGTTAGCAATGAATATCTGTATTTAATTAGAATGTGAGAGAAAAATACTAAAATAGTAATAAATTAATTAAATAAATACAAACCACACAATCAAATTCATTAAACTGATAAGCTTCTGTATTTTTTATAATTTATCCTTTTCAAACTTTTCTTTGGATTTACGTTTACGCCCTAATTTTAATTGTTGATACAAAACTATGAATTGAAGGAAGTTAATAATTTTTAATTTCCCGCTCCAACTAACGAGTCGATTAAATCCTGTCGCAGCTTACACTTGACACATTGAGCAGAGCCTTTCCTTTTCGCGAGAAACAGTGGCCTCATTGCTTTTGCATTGTTGATTTGCGATCCAGAGCAAATCGAGCGATTTATTTTTTTATTATTAGCAGCGGCGTGACCAGCAGAGCATTTCACTCTCTCGCCCTTTGTCTTCTCTCATCGCCAAGAATCTTTTGCGTGAAACCTCAGAAGAAATTATATTATTGATTCATTTATCCGCAGAGATAGATTTTTGGAGAAATTTTAATATGTTGTTTTATTTGTTTTCTCCTGGAGGAAGGAAAAAACTGCCATAAAAAAATTAGCCGGCACTTTCCAAGTAACGCACCACTTGAGACGCATCGCCGTTTTCTTTAAAATAAAAAGTGTGTTATGCAAAAACGGATCGGGTGCTTGGTGCTCACTAGGAAATGAGCGACGATAATCCTGAAAGCTTCATTAACCTTTTTTGTTTGTTCTGAACTTTGAAAAAAAAAAAAACAGCAGCTCTGATAATATGGAAACCGAAACGGTTTTACATCGGAGAAAGTGACTAGTAAAACCGAGAAATACTAAAACAAAAAAATCTTATATTGTCTTGGACAGTCTTGGAGCTAAAATAAAATTTTTAATTTAAAATTAGATTCAATTCCAAAAATTTTCTTTAAAAGCTCATTGCAGCAAAATAGTTTTGACCTTATTGTTCAAATGAATTATTGTCCCATTAAGGTGGTATTAATTTGTAAATTTAATTTAAATTAATTGATGCAGATGTTACCGCTGGGCGCCCTGGTTGCGATGCTGCCGAGCTGCGTGCTGAGTTTCCAACCCCACTTGCCCGCCTACTACAGCTCGACGGCCCAGTTCGTCCCCTCGGCCAGTTACGCGCCCCAACCAAAGTCCCACCACAAGAAAAAGGCCCAACAGCAGTTCTATCAACCACAGGCCCAATACTCGGCGCCGCATTACAATTACGAACAACCCCAGCATCACCAACCAACCCCACAAGCGTCGCAACTTGAACAGGTTTATTATTATTAAATTTATTTCCTTCTCTTGTAATTAAGAAATTTATTCTAAATATTTTAGTTGAGCACCTTGTCACAAAATTCTCCTTCTTGGGGAGGCGCGGACGAGTCATCGCACGACGGATCGAGGGTTCATTTCCACGTCAGTGGCCACAAAGGACCCAAATCTTACAGATTTGGATATGACACTGGCAAAGGGTCAGTACATATAGTTTTAATTTAAATCTATAATAAACAAATTTGAGGCATAACCAAAACCTAATCAATTAAAATTAAAAAGTAATTAAAATGGAGTATATATTGAAAATAAATATTAAATTTTTTTGGAAGATTAAAAATTTGTACCTTTGGATCAAGAATATAATTATACGAATTATACTGTTTAACCTACTTGGCTCCATTCATCTTTCAATTTTCGTATTCAATCTGGCTACAAAATTTATAATTTTTTGAGACCTACATTGGTCCATCGGCGCCGTGGCTTAGTTGGTTAAAGCGCCTGTCTAGTAAACAGGAGATCGTGAGTTCGAATCTCGCCGGTGCCTGTCCCTGTGTGGACCTTTTTACTCTAACGAAAAGATGATCACATTTTTATAAACAGAAATACTTGAAATTATTTTTTTTTATCGGAATATGTAAGTGGAATCGATTTTTCAGGAAGGCGCGTCAGTTTCGGTACGAGGAGCGCGACGAGCATGGCGTGACCCACGGCCGCTACGGCTACCAAGACAAGCACGGCAAGATGCGTGTCGTCCACTACTCGGCCCACCCCAAACAAGGCTTCCAGGCCACAGAGGTCGATCCCAAAAAGTACAGCAAATGATTAATTCAACGTGTTTAAGTCGTACAATCATCCTTCATCCACCATTAACAAGATATCAGCTCTCATATTTTATCATAGTTTTTTACTTTTTCCAATAAATCTCATCTTATTTTTATAGAAAAACTGCATTCGTTAATTTGAAGACAACAAGAACACAACGTTTTAAACTGTATAAATGCTTGATTTAATGCTATGATATAGATTTATGAGTTCAGAAATTACTTCCGATAAATAATTATAATAATTATAATGTGAATTAAATATAACATGTAATTCCAACAGGCAACAATTCTTAACGCGTTTGCGTACAACATGCGCTGCTGGAGCAGCACAACAAAAAGAACATTCGTCATTCGTACACCACTTAGCGGTGGGAAACACAAGCATATACATTCATAGTTCATAGTATTCATACATTGGGATTGAATTTAATTTTGTAAGAACATCACAATTAACATTGCATGGAAGACAATAGAAATTCGTTCGATCGCTGATTGGCACAGTGGAAACATTTTGACCAGTCAAAAGAAACCCGTGACGTCATTGCTAGTAGCCTCTGTGGTTTTAGAAAGGAGCAACGTAAAAGCAGCGAATACTTAAAATGTTTCAATAAATTTTTGTGCTATAATCGAAGTTCAACATTACATATCTTTTTCATTCTAGTTACTTGTCTAAATAATTTTAATTTTTATTCTTTCTCAAATCAATTCTAAAGTGATATATATTTTTATACTTAACTCCTTCACTGAACCCCACTCCTCAGCTGTTGTAAAAACATTTATCGGGTGTGAGTAATTCGACTTTTGCGTCATTTCTGTCAAAAATAATTGTTGATTAGAGGCCTGTCACTGTTCAAATTCGACGATCGAGAGTCAACATGTCTTCGTCTGCAATGGAGAGTATCCTTTTCACGAGTTCGGTCCATGTTTGACCGTTTAAAGCTGGTCAATTGTCACATGACGCTTGAGCAAATTTACAATAATATGTAATCAAAGAATTTTTTCATTGTCAAACGCGTAAACGTCTTCTGTTCTTTTTCTTTTCGTTTAATTTAAGCGTTTTCTCTCTCTTTATTTTCCTCAATGGCTTTGTCAGAAAACCTGTTCAATTTGAAATTCGCCGTGAAGGAGTTGGAGAGGAACTCGAAAAAGTGCGAGAAGGAGGAAAAGGCGGAGAAACTCAAGTGCAAGAAGGCCATCCAGAAGGGCAACCTGGAAGGTGCCAGGATCCACGCTGAGAATGCCATCAGACAGAAGAACCAGGCCCTCAACTATCTGCGCATGAGCGCCAGGGTGGACGCCGTCGCCAGCAGGGTGCAGACGGCCTTGACCACTAGAAAAGTGATTAACTTTCATCTCAAAATTAAAACCGAATTAAATTTTGATAAGTTTTTTCAAAGGTGACGCAGTCCATGGCAGGTGTTGTGAAAGCAATGGACTCGGCTATGAAGTCGATGAACCTGGAGAAGATCTCCACCCTGATGGACAAGTTCGAGCACCAGTTTGAGGATCTGGACGTGCAGAGCTCATACATGGAGAACGCGATGTCACAGACAACCACTACCACCGTGCCGCAAAATGACGTTGAAGGCCTTATGCAGCAAGTGGCCGACGAAGCTGGGTAATTTTTTTTAAATTAATTTAAAAAGCGGAATCTTTAATTTTTCATCATTTAAAGGTTGGAGTTGAAAATGGAGCTGCCTCAGGAGCAGGTGGGAACAATTGGCGCCTCTACACAGGTGTCCCAGGAACAGGACGAGCTGACCCAGAGACTCGCCCGTCTTCGTCAAGTGTGATAACCTTGTTTTACATGAACTGGCTTTACTTGTGTACATAAAAAAATTGCTTGCCTTTACTTTACACGCAGGCTTCTTTTCAATTCGTTCCCGTAAATAAAGAAAACTATGTAAGGATTATCGTGAATCATAGGCTAGCTAATGTATTTAAAAATATTTTTTAATTTTTCTTGTATTTTTTAAGTAAGCAAAAATTACAAAATAAAAGTATTGGTTCAACATGATTTTCCCAGCATTCTTAGACATGTATCCATTAAAATGATATTTTTGAAATTTTCTAGGGCTAACTGGCACGAATTTGTGATTTAATTTTAAAGTAACATGAAGTCAGTGCATTTAGGCGTGCATGAAGAGTTGTCTGAGGTCCTCGATGTCCAGCTTTGTGGCCCTTTTCTTGTTCAGCACACCATCAGCCAGTTCCAGCTTCTTTTCTTGCATGATTTGAATGGAGGACTCGATGGACTGCTGGCAGATGAGCCTAAACAAATTAATCTAGTATTTACAAAACAAATAAATATGAATTAAATTACTTGTAAATGTTAACATCCTTCCTCTGGCCCACTCTGTAAATTCTGTCCATGGCCTGCGCCTCCAGCTGAGGGTTCCAGTGAATGTCGATCAGCACCAGGTTGTTGCCTCCAATCAGATTAACACCTGTGCCTCCAGCAGTCAGAGACAGGAGAAGGACCTGAGGTTTGAACATCATTAAATAAAACCTTATTTCAACTGACTTCAGTCAAACCTTGATTCTTCCATCATCCTCGTTGAACTCTGTGATGATTTCTTGTCTCTTGACTGTGTTGAGGTCACCTGTGAAGAGGGTGGACCTGATACCGGACCGTCTAAGGTGATCCTTGACCAGGCTCAGGAAACTTTTCCACTGAGAAACAATCACCACCTTTTCCTTCCTCTCCTTAATCTCTTGGACAAGTTTCACTGTAGCTGCAATCTTTAATAAAAAAGTAAAATCAAAACTTGGAACGGTAAAATGAGAATAAGCAGTACCTTGCTGCTCTGGAAGTCTTCCTGGTACATGGGAGTTTCATAGTCCAAAAAGCTCTCGTCCAACTTCTTCTCCTCTGGCTCCATGATGGACATATTATTGATTTCTTCGACCAAGTCATCGATGCTCTTGTCTTTGATGTCAATGTCTTCCGCTTCCATGATTTCCGTGTCAAGTTTCTAACATACATTTTTATTAAATTTTGGTAACTGAATTTAAGATAAATATTACATCTCTGACAAGAGAGGTGTGGCAACAAATCTGTCTTAGTCTGAGCAGCAGAACAAGAATATGTGAGGACTTGACATTGCCACCGCCCTTGTGCATTCCTTTCTTGACGTCAAAACCATCTTTCTCCAACTGCTCCATGGCCTTACGGACAGCATACACGTCCTCACCAGTCTCCACCATTCTTTCAGCCCTCTGTAGGATGAACTTGGCCATAAGGGTCCTAAGAAACAACGCATGAGATTTTCAACTATAATTTTTTTTTAAAGAAAACTTACTTTGACTTCTTCAGCATGTACTGGTAGATTTTGTCCTCTTCGGGGTTCAGCACCAGTGGCACCTCAGTCATTCCCTTGCTTGGCAGACAATCAAGCTGTCCTGCCTCAAGCAGCTCAACTTTGGTCCTACGCAACATCACCGTTTTCATCACAGTATTCAACCTCTCCAGTCCGGCAGAGGTCTTGTTTTCGGCCACTCGGCGCCAAACCTATGTAAGAATAAGCTTATTTTCAATTTATTTCTAAATTTATTAATTACCATCTCATTTGTGAAAGGGGTGAACTTGAGGAAGTTGAAGAGGCTGTAAATATCCTTAAGTTTGTTGTGCAGGGGGGTGCCAGTCAGGCACCAGCGGTACTTGGACTGAAGCTGGTAAGCGCCTTGGGCAAGTTGTGTCTTGGGGTTGCGAATAGTGTGGGCTTCGTCTAGAATAACTCGCTCCCACTTAACTTGGAATAAGGTTCCCTGAGAAAAATCTTTTCATTTACTGATTCAACTTGTAAAGTTTAACAATTACTGAAGGTCTTGGTTCTTGGCCTGGGAGGTAGTCCATGGTAACTTTGCCTTCACGGCCAACTATAGCGTAAGATGTGATGACAACGTCAGCGCGGCACAGCCTTTGGATTTGAATTTTCTTAGAATTTGTAAAATATAAAAGTGTAAAACATACCGGTTCAAAGAAATTCCTCGAGAGGTACCATGGTAGACGAAAGGCACCAGAGCCCTTGGCTCGCACCTTTTGACAATCTCAGACTCCCATTGCTTCAAAACACTGGCTGGACAAACCACCAAAGTCTTGCCCTTTTTCAAACCTAAGCCAAAAATTTAAAATCGATACTCTTAAAACGGCTAAATAAAATATTTACCTCCAGGACTGGCAACAATGTTCTCCTCATTGTCCCTTCGGAGCTCTTTGCTGCGCAGAATGAGAGCAATCATGCTCAGAGTTTTGCCCAGACCCATATCATCAGCTGGATAAAATAAGTTGATAATATTTAAAAAAATGAACATTAAAAAAAACATACCCAAAATGCCTCCTCGAGGATGTTTTTCTTCTCTCCACAAACACCATGCCAGGCCCTTCTTCTGATGAGGCAGTAACTCTACCTCCAAGCCTCGAGGGCCATCGTCAGAGGCATTCTCTGGCAAGTCCCTCAAGGTCGAGTGCAGCTGGATAAGGGCGTCACCAGTTAGAGCCTCGGCAACAGCGTAATCTGATTAAATACACATTGAGAAACTGGCAAAAATTCTCTTTGAAGATTTCAATTACCACCAGGACGTTGGTACTGATTCTTGACTGGCAGGTTTTCATAGGGGGTCATGTTGGAGAAGGAAGCCTGTCTCTCAGTTTTAGGCTCCACCTTCACAGCTTGCTCTGGTAGTTTCGGGATTTCACCCATTTCCTTCAATGTCTTGTAAAAACCTCTCAGCTCGAGTCGTGCCATGTTTATTTGATGGCCAATTTTCACGCCTTTATCTGGCAATTTGCTCAACAGCTCTTCATTTGTACTGAATTTCTAGAAAAAATTCAATGTTAAAAAAGGGGATTACGGCGTTACAAAATTCCCCATTTCACATATCCCATATTTTGAATTCAAGCATGAATCAAAATTTTAAAGAATTTAAGTAAAAAGGACACAAGTTACAACTTTTAAAAGAAGGTTTTTAATTGTTTAAGGCCTCCTTATTGACATAGTCAAATCAAGTCTTTTCAACAATAGAAAACATTTTATCAATAAGGTGTCCTTAATATTTGTTAATTAATGATTTAGTTTTAATAAAAGAAATACAAACCTCAAGCTTCTTTAGAATTTCCTTCTTAGCCAAGATTTTCTGGATCAGGTCAGCTCTTTTGGCAGCTTTGTCCTCCTCTCTTTTACTGTAGGTGTTTGTGTTTAACTGAGCAGGAGGAGAAAGGCTCTTCTGGGGCTTGACAGGCTCAGAGAGATATTTGTATTCTGGGCTGGTGCGAACAGCCGCAGCAAGTGGCTGCTTCTTTACAGCTCCCTGACTGGCCTGGTAGATGTTGCTGCTGTTTGAAACCTTGAGAGCCGGCGGACTAACCGACTTCTGAAGAGGATGAGTTGCCACAACAGGTGGACTAATCATCTTTGGTAGCACAGGAGGACTCAAAGGTTTGGAAGTTGAGCGACGACCGATGTCATCGTCATCTTCGTCAGAGTCAATGATTCGATTAGGCCAACGCTTTTGCACCTGCCCAGGGCCGAAGCTATCATCAAGGTCACCGACTGACGAATCGGGACAAGAATCAGTCTCAGGCACAAACTGTCTGCCTTTGCTGGTGGCACTAACGCGATCATCGTCCGAAGCCGAGACCACGCTGCTGTTGGCCGAGTCCGATGTCAGGTCAACTACTTCGGAGGTTGAATCGCGCCACACTTCGCTCACTCGTCGCTTGATCGTGTTGAAGATGTTCATCGTGAATTATGTACTCTAAAAAATTTGACGAATTGCAAAATATCCCAATGAGAAATTAATATTTAATAAAATTGCTAACAAAAATGGTGGTGATTGCACGTCGTTTAGAAAACGCGCATTATTTCAGTTAAAGTGAACTCACCAGCGGCAGATTTGGTCAAAATTCATAAGAATTATTCTTACGTCGAACTTCCAAACTGAAAACACAAAGGTTTCAAAACGTTTTCGGCCCGAATTTTCAGAATTTCGAAGCAACGAGCCCGCCCCGCCGATTTTGCAACCGTCAGTTCATTTCTCAGTTGTTTTTTAAATTTAAAAATATGCTCTAACGCGTTTTGATTGGCGCACAGAGTCACGTGACTGAATAGTTGTTCGTGATTGGCCGCTGAACAATTCTCTTGATCTCATTGGTTGATTTTCGGCTCATGCGTATTTTCTCATAGGGGCGTGGTTGTTGTTTTTTGGTGTTTTTGCCGTTTTGGTGTCTTTTTACAAAAACAAGAAGGTTTTTTCCAAATTTGTGGCCCTTTTGAGTAGTGAAAACCTAAAAAGTATGTAGTTTATTGAATGCAACTGACTGAATACTCATATCTAGATTAATTTTACTAGGAAAAATGCAGAACATGCCTATGGGCCCGATGCAAATGAATCCAGGCATTCCGCCGGGAGGAATGCAATCGCCAATGCAACAGCCGCCTCCAACTTTGCAGCAGGCCCAGATGCAGGCCCAAATGCAAGCCCAGCAACAGCAGCAACAACAACAACAGCAGCAGCAGCATCAAGAAAAAATGGAAAATATCTCAAATGTGTCCAAAGTGAAGGCGTTAGTTGGTCCTTTGAAAGAATCTCTTTCGGTACAACTTGCATTTTTGAGGAATTAACAAAAGTAGCACGACAACTAAAATTGGCTTTCTTTGATTTCAGACAACACTTAAAACTGCGGCCCAAGCCTTGCACCAAAACAGTTTAATAGATTTAGGAACCATGTGAGTTGTTAATGAACTTAATAATACAAATCTTAAGTGATCATTAATTTTTTTATTTAGAAAAGGAAATGAGGCAGCAACATACAAGTTTGACAAAAACCTGGAAGAATTTTTCTCCTATTGCGACCAAATAGAACTGAATTTGGTAATGCAATTGCTACTTTTCTTAACTCTGGTGCTCACTTTACCTTTTAATTTTAGAAAACAGCAATCGAATGTGCTTCACAGGGAGCAAGCAGTCATAGGTATTTGCCAATGCCTGTTTCACTGACTCGAATGGAGACGGGTTTGGTGACTCCGCAGCAAGACTCTCTTTCCTACTCGCAGTTTCTCAATGTGGCCAAACAGCAAGTCGCCTACGCCAGAGAACTTCACGACACTCTTCAAGCTGCTGCCCAAGCCGTCAGCTCTAATGATTGAAGAATTATTGCATTTCCACACTCCTTATTTTTATTTTCACAAGAAGTTATTTATAAAATAAGAAAAAGCAGTTTGGCAAATAAATTTGGATTTATTAATGGCCTTACAGAGCAACAGATTTCCAACTTCACTAAATCTCAATCGAATAGCAGGTTCGAATGAATTCAGTCTTAGATAATAGCTAAAACTATGCGGCCCCCAGGATAAACTCTAAATTAATCAATAAGGGAAAATTACTGGGTGTTTTTCACATTATATTAATTGAGGGCAATAATTTTTCTGTCGGGGGACAACAATCGGGCCTCGATAATCAAACAGTGGTGCGCCAAATTTTAGAAATTAGAATAATTCATAAAGGTTTAAAACGCATCGATAACTTTAAAAATTGAAAGACCTGCCGTGGAAAGGGTTGGCCCTCATCTTGATTCGCACAACCTGCCGAACACACTCCCTTTTGCGCACAATCACTCTCAAGAGTCTGTTTTCTCTCTGCGGACACACTGTTGGTCAGTCTCGGATCAGCCGAAAGTCTCTTGCGAGGCGTAAGTGATGTAGAGGAAGCCGTCTTCGTCCTTGTGCTCCTGATACACCTCGGCCAGGGTGCGAGATAAACTGGCCATGCTGTGGTTGTTGACCAACAGGTACAACGCCTGCTGGGGACTCAGCTGCATCCGATTCCTGCAAATAAGGACACAAAATTGTCAGAAACTGATTTTAATTCAAAGAAAAACAACATACCTGATTATTGTGACAAATTGAGACATCGTAATTTCCTGAGGCACCAAGAACTTTGTTTTGTCCAGAGGGTTCAGAGATTTCTCCTTGTTATAGCGGTCAACAATGATCTAAAAAGAGATTAAGTTTGTAAAATAAATTTTAATTGAGGTTATTATAAAAAAAACTTCAAGTAATCTAAAGCTTTTTTACAATGGATTTTTAAAACTTACAGGGATTTTAGTAGGGAACTTGCTCCTGATGGCGGCAACTTCAGTTTTCCGCTCGGCTGTAATCAAATGCAAAAATCTCGATTAAATTGGAATTAATTTCTTTTCTCCGTGGAAATATAAAACGCCGGAAGGTAAATTAATATCTCGCTCTGACCGAAGTGACTTCCAGACAGTATTATCAACGTAAAAAATGGCGCAATGCAATTTTTTTTTTAATACTTATAGGCAGGTTGTCCGTGTGCCTTTGGCAACGATGACGCAATTTTCAGAGAGCGCATCTCGTGACCAGGCGGCCCTCGCGGCTCTGGCGCCGCTTCATCTTTTGCTGGCGCATTGTTTACAGCGTAATTAGCCGTATTACGGCACAATCCGGCGTTTATCGCGCGGCTCATTGGCAACTAAAGTGCACTCAGCCGGCAAGTCAAGGAGAGCCAAGGGCGCGCCGAGAGTCTCGAGCGAACCAAAAGTGCCCGGTTTGCATTCAAAGTGGAGCTTTGCATTTGAGCGGCTGCGTTTTATTTTCTCAAGGCCTCCGCGCGATTTCAGAATAAAAATAATATGCACTTCTTGGCGTCATTGTTGCTGTCAACACGTTTTGTTTTTTTCCGCTTTGAACCGTTTTAAAGTGGGATGAAACTTCGGCGACGGTGGAAACTCTTTGGGAATTTTAGGGAATCAAACGCATACAACTTTCATTTTTAATTGAAATTGAAATTACTTTTATCATTTTAAATAATTCAGAAATTGTTGCAAATTTAAAAGATAATAATTTTGGTTAAATGTATAAGATAGAAATTCAATAATTTGTTTTGTATTTTTCCTTTTAAAAGAACGCAAATTTTATCTTTTATTAGAAAATATTTTTCTTGCAAAAGAAAATAATTTGGATTATTTTTGAAGGCCAAAACTGTTGCAACAAAGATGATGGAAGATTTCTTCACAGACGTCTCTTTGAACGCTAATTTTTTCCCCTTCAGAGTTTTTACTTGCAGTCAAATTAAGAAAATGAATATTAAAGCAAGGTTGAATTTTTTGAGCCGCTTTTCCGTCTCCCCGTTGTGCATCGTCACGGGACAGAATGTTAATTTCCTGATTTCGCAACTCATTCTTTCTCGCATTGACCAACATTTTCCTGTTTACGCTGCATATCGACCGAGTCGCAACGCATCGATCCCTAGAGCCTCGAAATTTCTAGACTCTATGGGACGTCCTGTTTGCAAAATTGGGTCAGCCGCCAGTGCGCCTGCCCACCGGGCTCGGGTGCGTGTCTTCCCGCACGTAAGCGAGACAAAAGCCAAAATTTAATTCCAGACGCTTGCGGAATCAAGATATTTGCAGGACATAACAAAACAATTCAGCACAAAAACAAAAATATGAACTTCCTCAACCCCAGCCATCCTTTCTGAGTAATTTTTCTGCCCATTTTACTTTTCAGCTTTGTTCGACATATCACAAAATAAATTGGGAAAAATTAGTTCAAGAAAAAATGAATGATTCCTTCTGTACCACTAATCACTAATAAAGGCAGATATGACTTTGTCTTAGCCTGACCGCAAAAGAAATAAGAAATAAATCTTTTCTGCTGCACATTGCACTCTGAATGCATTTTTAATTTTGCGTTCGGAGAACCGCGCGGCGTTGCAGCGACGCCAAAATAGGAAATGGTCTTTGAGAACCAGTTTTCAAAACTCAGAAGAGTGCATTGCTCATTTAGTGCAAGAGACACATAAACAATTGCGTCAAGGCTGCGCGAATAAATTTGAAAAAATTTTCTTCGAGGTGGATCAGGTGCAGCGCCTTAATAACTCATGGTGGCGCGTGCAAAAAAGCATCACCGGCGGGAAGGACATTGCTGCAAACTGCGTTTCACTCTTTATAATTTTTAATTTTTTATCTCTCGAAGGCGGGGTCGGCAGATAAGAGAAAAAAGGGAGATTATGAAACTGCAGATTCGCGGCGCCTCCAACGATTTCTTGTGTTTACATTTTGAATGCCAAAGAATTTTGTTTGATTATTTTAGAGTTTCATTTAAATTTATTATGACAATCATAATAATTATTATTCAGAGGCATTTCTATCATCAAATTGTGTCTCAATTTTCTTTAGGAAAATCCAGTGGTTTATTGTATTTTGACCTTTTTCGTCTGTGGTAATGAGCGGAAGCAAGAAAATGTGTCTCGGCGGCGGTAAAATAATATTACAAATGCATGATGTGCAGGTCAAGAACCGGAATTATTTTTCTCTCGGTTTTCCTTGTGTTGATGCGGAAATAATTTTACTTTTGCTCCCAGACGAAGATAATTGCGTGTATCAAAATTATCACAAGAAGACCTCGTCTAAAGAGATAAAGGCGGGTTTTTTTCAGTTCACGGCCGATTGACCCTGTTTGATTAATTGAATCAATCGCCAATTCGCCTCCCTTATTAATTTTCTTGTTCTGCGCACGTCGCCTGGCAACAAGCGCGCTTTGTCTTGAAGAATAAATAGTCGTGCGTGTGCAAAAGCAGAGAATTATTTATAAAAAGGCAGCAGCCGGCCGTTTGCGACACAGAGAGCGAGAAAGAAAAAAGAAAAAAATAAATGCCGCTTCGGCAACACAATCATTATCACAAGAAAGAAAGAAAGGATGACGTCCTGGAACTGCAGAGCCAACGACCCGCTTCTCTTGTTTGGCAGAAAAACTTGGTGACGTGCGACGGACGCTTGGGCAAAACTATTTTGCGCAAACTAGGGCGCAAAGTTTGATAAGGATCGACTGCATTAGCTAATGGAAAAGCGCACAAAACCATTCAAGCATAATATACAAAAAAATTGAGAAGCAACGATTTCGAAAACAAATTTCAAAATCAAGCGCATTTGAACAAAAAATTTGTTGCATGGATTTATTAAGAAACCTTTTTTTAAATTGAAGTTAATTTGGTCTAAAATCCAGCTCAACAATTATAATTGTCCAAAGTTATCAGTTCAATAAAAAAAACTGCATGATTTTGCAAAAGATTAAATTGTCGGACAAGCCTGCGTGTCATTATTACTGGCTCAAAAGGCCACCGAGCAAGGTCCAGTGGTAAACAATTTTCCTCAATTCGCATTTCGTGCAATTTCAACGACCTCTGCGTTTTGATTCCGGCGGGGCGCATTGCCAACGCAGCTGCGTGACCTTGTCTTACTCTTGGCCGCGTGAGTCAGTCTCTGTGCAGCTCAATTAGAACCTTCTTGCTCGCATGCAAATCGGCACCAAGGCGCCAACAGCACCTGGCCGCCCGCTCTCTGATCAATAGACCATTTGCATACCGGCACACACACACACACACACACACCACCACCTGATTTGCATGCCGCTCTTTTGAGTCAGCGCGCGACGCAGCAAAAGAGGTTCTCTGCGACAAACGCAGCTTGAACGAGGACAAAGCTGCTCATTCGAATTATTTAACATCAATCACATCATTTTTATTTATGAATCTTTGATATTTCAGTGATAATTTCTTGCATAACAATGACGAGAGGTGGGAAAGATGTTTGTTTTTAAATTATATTAAATCATTTGTTTGAAACTATTGATAAACGTAACGTTGAATTTAGCCAAAAAGTTAAAAAATTGTGCATTTTTTTTTAATGATTTACCATAATTTCTGATTTAGGTGCACCAAAAATTGTTCAAATTTTAAATAAATTATGACATTGTGCTTTAAATGTTAGAAACACGGGTAATTTTTTTAAATTTTGCACAAAATTAAATTCTCCTTAATCGATTTGATCACTAAAAGTAAAAGTCGATCGATTAGTACATCATTTCAGTGAATTTTTACGCCTAATTTTGATGGACCCAAATTTTTATCTCATTTCAGCGCCTATCAACCAAATTTAAAAATAAAAGTCCTCCACTTTGATAAGAAACCAGACCCAAAGTCAAATTAATTGCATAATTGTTTATTAGTAAATAAGGAAATGGTTTGTGATGAACGAGATGAGTTGAGACAGTTATTGTCATTTGCTTCATCTTGGCAATCAGAGAAAACGTGAGTCATCCTGGTTCATGATCGCAAACAATTCCATGTTTAATCACTCCTTCTTGTTGATATTTTAATAATATTTTTCCAATGAAATCCGTATATTAGGTGAATAACCAAAGAATATGTTTGAATTGTGATAAAAGCGCCTTTCACATTTAACCTTTGATCGATTTAAAGTCATAGAAATTACTCTATTTTTGCAATATAAACATAAACAAACACAACTAATCTAAACAGTTTTATTTACTTCTAAATATGGTCGGTTGGAAGCAGATGCGGGCACCGATCGAAGTCCTACTCATGAGCTCTGCATTTATGAGAATTGCAAGCACAGCAAAAAAAAAAAGAAAAAAAATGCGAGCCCAAAATATTAAGTTTATTTGCGCAGCCGGATTAAGTACGGAAAATTCGCAAACGAGTTGAACGCAAACACCCAAGGGCCCAAGGCCGATCATTGAAAAATGAAAAAAATGAAATGCACTTTCACTCTACGCGCGTTGGCACAGATCCGCAGCCACGGTCTGACTCATCGCCGATCGAAAACACAGACCAAATCGGCCTGTGTTGCGAGAGAGAGAGGCCAAATCGGGAAAGTCAAAAGCCGCGAATTGATCGAGTGCCAACAACAGGGAGCGCAATTACCAAAATTAGAATTAGATAATTACAAACTTGCAAGTAAATAATGGAATTTCTCATTTTGAAATAACTTTGCAGAAATTTGTTATTAATTCAAATAATTAACATAAATAATAATTAAAAATTGGACAGAAAAATTATTTTTAAAACCTTATTTATTCAAAATGTTATAAATATTTCATAAAATCTTTATTAGAAAAATTGATTTTTTTTATCCTCCACAGTTTTATAAGCATTGCAGACTTTTTTGGAATTTCCCAACCTTTTTTTTGAATTTCCCGGCATGGCCTTTTGTGGTAAACCAAATCACGAGAGAAATTTGAAGAAAAAACCAAGCCAGCAGTTTTGATGTTTATAAAAAACAAAACCTTTTTCCGGCCGGTTTTCGTAACAAGTCAAGTGTTAAAGACCAGTTTTTATCTGGCTCTTAAAATTCCTGCAGCCCAATGGCACATTAGACCAAGCAGTGACCTTGGCACGCACCTCCAAAACAAATTATTTGTCGCCCGTGCCCACCCTACGTGGGTTTTCCGTGCATCTATTATTTTCGTGTACGAAGCCCGAAAATCGAGCAAATCATCTCTAATTGAATTTCAGCGAGCAAGTTATGTCAAATCTTCTTAAAGCACTCTTGCGACTTCTCATTATTGCTCCACGAGGAAAAAGTAAAATCTCAATTTTCATTGCGTAAAAAGATTTATTATGGGCAGATATTATTATTTTCTTCGGTTTTATGATCTTGTTTTCGCACAAGCGAACCTGATTTTCTGCAAATTCACAACCTGCTTTTGCAGAACGGCAAGTTGAACCTGCCACGGGGCACCAACATGTATGCAAATCTTCGTGCTGGCATTTTTGCAACAACTGTACTTTGGATCACGACTTTCCATGCAGGCGAATAAATGCCATTCGCTAATTAATGTTAATTAATTATTCAAACACGGCCACCAGTTTTGTGCGGGATTATTAACAATGAAGGTGAAAACGAAGGTTGTCAAAATTATCAAACTTTCTATCTCGTTTGGAAACATATTTTTTGAATTTTTTCAATAATTAATTTCTAAAAATAAATTCTCAAATTTAGGCAGGCTATCGGCTATCTTTCTGCAGAGCGAAACAGCTTTCATTAATATATCAATTAAGGAATGACCAACGACCACCCCTTTTTTTATTCTCAACCGCTGATTTTTGAGCCAAAACGCGCGCCAAAAACAGGAAGCCATTAATTCCCATCAATGCTGAAATATAATTTAAAACATTCGGGGCTGGGAAATAAAGCCTTACCAAGACTCTTCTTATTTTTGAAAGGCCGCAGTCTGCTGCTGGCGGCCTGCTGCTGGCACGGTGAGACTTGTTGGGGTTGTTCGAGCCCCTCTTCGGCCCGCGTGTTCGACGGCGACATGCTTTTGCTCAGCACCGGTTGCAAATTTCCAGTGTCCCGGACGGTTGATTGGCAATCGCAGAACGAGCTTCGGAGGCACAAGCGGACGAGTCACGAGATTACGGGCGTAGATTGCTTTCGAGCTGAGGCCACGAGCTTCTTGGCCACGAGCACGTCTGTCCTGTCGGCTGCAGTGTGTTTTCAAGTTTTCATTCACACCACACCCCGCTGGCGTGGTTGCTCAAGAGGCGCCACGGCGCTCCACGATCTGCGTTCCGATTGGTCGGCCAACCGGTGAGCCACAAGCGGTGGCGCGAATTCGCCAATTCGCACGCCTGATCAGCCTAATTGCTCTGATTTACATTCGCGACACGTTTAGTTTCTCACGAATTTCAAGTTGAGTTGGAAGAGAGAGTGGTAATGCGGATTTGTTTATCTATAAGTGGAAAATTAATATTAAAATTGATTGGGTTGAGAAATAACCGGTTTTGGCAATCAGCGTTTTTATTAAATTCAAGGTTTTTCAACAAACACTGGTTTAAATCAATACAAATATGTAAAATTACATCAAATAATCACTGCTAAATAACATATTTTTATAATATTTTCAAAATTTCAAAGTTTTTGGTAAGTATTTTGTCGCCTTCAAAAATTGATTAACACCGGTTTTAAAATATTCAAACCGGTATGCGGTTTTAGATCACGGTTCGGCCGCAGATGTCGCCAGCATGCAAGCAGTTCGATCGTAGTACGGCCGTACTGCCGAACCGAGCGAAGAAGAAACTAAAACTAAAAGAAAGCAATGGCCTCCCCAGTCGGGTCGAGAAGAGCAAGTTAGTCGAACGGAGACTTGGCTCGCCATCTTCAGCCGCCGACTCTGCATTGTTATCGCACGGTGTGGGCCGTGGGAGGGGCCGTCCTAGTCGCACCTGCACCAAACACACTCTTTGCTAGGACCCAGGGCCCAGGAGGAGACTTGGCCACCGGCAAGTTTGTAAAGGTGAGTCGCCAGTTTCGCCCCCGACCAACCCTCGCGACTCGGGGGTGGTCTTTGCGGGGCCCTCCGCGGTCCCACGGGCCCCACTTTGAATTTAGATTGAATGCCCTGGCCCTGGACCTGTTGTGTTTGTTTTCAGGATTGCAAAAGTTTTAGGTGGACTAAAACTGATTAAAACAATAATAATAATAAAAAAAGCCTGAATTTTATGTTTATTATATGAGAAAATTTTCCAACTTTGAAAATATTAAGGATGCACTTGAATTAGTAAATTTCTAGCTTCGAGTTTATTTATTTGTGGACATTTTAATTCAATATTTTCGGGCCCTGAGATGAAGGAATTTGCTTCGGGTTTGGCACGGAAGTCTTGCAAATGCAGACTTGCAATTTTTTGCTCTTTTTTTCACCAATGAGCAAAAGCACAATAATAATTAGTCTGTTATAAAATTCTGTTTATCCTCGAGCTGCATAATAAAAGCTCGGCTTGCCCAAAGGGGGGCGGATTTTGTGAGTGTTCTCTTTATCAGGGCGATAAAGAGAGATGAATATTCATGCACAGTGGCGTGATTTATTTATTTACACAGGGCGCCGAATGTAGGCCAAGTCTTACCTGTCCGCCCAAAATTATGCGAACGAAATATAATAATAGCGAGAGTGGAGAAGAAAAAAAACGAGTCGTCAGACCGATTGATGATTCACTCGACAAAGGGGCGAACCGGCAGAGCTGTTGCCAATTTTATTCTCGGTGCGAGACACTTTCAGTAATTATCCCGTGTCAAGCCCGTTCAAATTGATATATTACCTGCCACTCCAGCCTAGATAAATTTTCTCGCAAATCTATTTAATTGATCTTGAGTAAAGCGTTTCGATTCTGCAGCTCACTGCAGCTATGAACTAAATTAATTGTTTTTTCTATAAACGAATAAAATCCAGCAAGCGATTCATAAGTTCAGAAATTAAAAAAAAAAAATTCGAACAAGTAATTTCTCAATTATTGATAAATTTAAAAGATTGTTGATTGATATTAGATTAAAATCCAACTAAATAAAGAAGTAATCAGGTAAAAGTTTCAAATGAAAGGAAAAATAGATTGAAATTTGTGAGTGGAAAAATGAATTTTAAGTGTGAGTTTTTTAATTTTTATTATAATTATTTCTAAATTAAATTCCATTTTGAGGAAATTAAGATTTCTGATTATAGAAATTTTTTATTTTTGTTTATTTCTGTCAAATTTTATTAAACGTGATTTTTCCAGCACAATTTGTTTTTTTAAGATTTTTATTTATAAGAAGTTCAAATTAATCCAATAACCGTGGCATCAATTCCTTCTTATGTTTTTATTATAAAATCACACAATTGCCCTTGGCGCATGCAAAATTTTGATTGAAAGCTAAACAATGTCGGTCCCTCGCGGAATTTTCTAACGCTGCAGATTATTCGGCACCTGAACGGCTTCCGTTTCTTTTTCATTGCCAAGTGAAAAGCAATTTATTAAATTCAATTTTCCAATCATCCGACCCGCAACTTTTTTTCGGCCTGTGTGATTCTCACGATTTGAAATTCAATCGCTCTCGATTTTCGTTTCATTATTATTTTCCCAACGTGCAGAGTTTCATTCTCGTGCGACCGAGAGAGAGAGAGAGAGAGAGAGAGAAAGAAAAGCACTCAACCCTCTGCTTTATTGTTTTACCCGAGAGCTTTTTTGTTTCTCGCGCCACCCTCGAGGCCACTTTGTCGCAGAATCCTCCGAAAGGGTGCGAAAGTAAAAAAAAAAAGTAATGGTCGCGATAAAAGAACGTGCGTGTTGACATCTATTGGATTTTGACGGCCAAAGGAAATCGCGTCACGTGCAACTTGATTCTTATTGTCGCGTCGAGCTGCGCTATAAAAGTTAGCCAAATTTGTAAGAAAATTACTACAATTTTTTAATGCTTCAAATGAAAAAAAAAAACTAAAAATGGTTTTATTGAAGCAATGAATTTTATTTTAAATATTTCAGAGTATAATGAACCTTTTTGAAACATTTCGCAGAACTTTCCGATTCACTCGGAATTTGTCGATTGAGAAGATTGTGTTCTGCATCAAAACTTTCGACTGCTTTTGCGGGGTCGGTGCTCGAACTGGATCAAATTGGTCTCCGCTTACGCAATCGGCTCATGCACTTGCCCAACCGGCGCAATTAATAATTATGCGATCAGGTGACGGCAAAGACAAAGCCGCCTCCGTTCCCACATGACGACCGGGAATGAAATGAAAAAAAGAAGAGGAAAACGGGTTGATTACTCATTTGCTGCGGCTGCACAGAAATAGGAGTTGGAAAGGAAAGGCTCAAAAAAGGCCTCGCGTCAGCAATAATAATGTGATATATGAATCATAGGATGGAGCTAAGAACTGAGTGGAGTAATTAGAAATTATCAAGTTTCTTAAGGATTGGATAAATTATGAGTTACAAATAAAATGCAGCCAATTTTGTTTCCTTTTTTTAAGGTTACATTTTAAATGCAATCAAACCAGTGGATGAATTTTTTTATAATTGCTTGTAGAAATCAACGATGAAAAATGTCTTTAATGAGTAAAAAAACTCTCAGTTTTTAAACTGTAAATGAAATTTTCTCTAAAATTTAAATTTACGCTAAAAATTATCAAAGATTAATGTATAAATGTAATCTTTGCTGTTCTAGGTAGGAAAATATTCCATTTTGATCCAATTTAAATGATAATCTTTAATTTCTGAAAATTTTTTTGGCATCTCTATCCCTTTGTTCTTTCAGTTCAGTTTTGTTGCTATGTAACTTTTTAATTTTTCAATATAGGCTCGGATTTTTGAGTTTGACTGTGCGACCGCAAAAATGGTCTCCGGTGACGTCTGGTGAAGCTCGATGCACTCTCGGCCGCGATCTGATTTCAAAATTTTTCCCGACGTGCCCTTTTTCGTTGTGAAATCGAAGCCCCCGTTTGAGGTTGTTGATTTAGAGACACGCAAATAATGTAGCAAAAGACCGGAGGCGATAAATTTTGTGCGGTTTTGAAAATATTTTGTCGCCAATTTGTGAGAATAAAATTCGATTTTCCTCCTGCGCGAATTCAGGCCAATCAGTGTCAATGAAATTAGCCACTCGGCCTTGGCCCCTTCGCACGGCTAATTGTTCCAGCAGCTGAGAGTGGCACGATTTTTCTTTTGGCCCGAGGCGCGGGTTTATTGTGCGTTGCGGCACTGCCCGTTTTTTATTATACGTGCAAATGCAAAAAGAAAAAATAATTCTAATGGAGGGAGTTGAACAAACTCGTTTCAAATCTTTTTGTCTCGCGTGAGACAAAAGACCAAAGACCGCAGTCGCCGTTTCCATTTCGTTAGAGCCAATTCTGGCCAATTTAGAAACCATTACCCGCTGGTTTTGTGTCATCTTTGGTCTGCGGTCGTCACTTTTCCGCAGCCAGATTTCCGCTGAGTATAATAATTCGGCAGAATTCGCTGATAACCGCCAAACCAAAGAGATAAGAAAGAGGAAAAAATGACTCGAACCGCAAACTCATCCGCCAAATTCCTTTTGTCTGATTTCGCGGAATGAAACTGGCGTTTTTATATAAAAAAAGTAAAGTTCGCTCCCAAGTGCGGGATGAATTTTTCAGCAGGCACAACTTCTTATGTTACAACTCTGACGGGCTGGAACTAGATTATATGTGAGCGAGTTTTCCTCACGACTTGCGCTCAATACCTCTGGGCTTTTGCTCCATATTTTCCGCGTTTCGTTCCCCTCGCGGATTTGTATGTGGAACGTATCTGCCAATTATTTATGCATCAACGGCAGCTTCCACGCCAAAAGTGCCGCACCGGAATCGCAAAAATATATGCGCTATATTACTTGAAAAAAGACTGCAATTTTGGGGGGGGGGGTCAAAATTTAAAATTATTAATTAATTTTAAAAAATAATTGTACTTGAGGCTTTAGCAAAATAAAATAAATGAAAAAAAACGGCCAGATTAATTTTGAGGATAACTTTTCGCTGCATTATCACTGGTTTGCAGATGTCAATTCCAACAAGACATATACTATGGGAGAACTGAATTGTTGAAATTAAACATGTTTTTTTTATGGAATTTGTCTTAAATATTTTTTTAATCTCAAAATTGACTGGACCAAAATTGATAAAAATTAGAAATATATGGAAGAATAAAAATCAATGTAAGTCAACATTATAAACAATTGAAAATTTACATGGATATATTTACAGTTTAAAACGGTTTAAAATTAAAATTTTCTATTCAAATCAATGAAAATTTCCTAGAAATGAAATATTTTTGGAGACTTGTGCTTATATAAGTATATAAAATTGTCAGAAAAAAGCATCACTTTCTTGCAAAAGTTGATCGGAATTGGAGCAAACAAAAGAGAGCCGGCATTGATTTGGAGCAATGCGCAGATGTTGGTGCTAATTTTCCAATCAGCCTTGATAAGGGTTGATTGGCGAGTGTGTGCGTGTGTGTGCAGCGCTGAAAAGCCAACCGCTCATTTCCTTAATAAAACGACGCGCGTGTGTATACATAAGTGCAGCGCAGCGCCTTGGTCGGTCCGTCTGTCCCCACGGCGTGACGTCAACGTTTTATTTTGAATTCGCTGCGACAAAGACAATCAAGGGTTGGCCGCAAATGACGTAATAATTTATTTTGCCAACGCGGATCGGGGCGGATTCGCTTTTTGCCGCGCCAAATTATTCGACTGTGTCAACAACGCTGTCAATGTTTGACTTTCGTTGCGGCCTTTTTTGCTCTAACGAGTTCTCAGCAAACAAGCCAAACTCCAAATATATGCAAACAACGAGAATTCCGGCTCCGAATGCTTAAAAAACTTTAAAATTTTCCGAGTATTTTGATAATCAAATTAGTGGAGGTTTATTTTTATCCACTCGAATAAGCCACTCGGCGCTTTTCTTATCTGCGAAGGTCGGCGTCCAATTAATTTGCGGAGACACTTGTTTGCGTTCAGAGCAATCCAATAATGATG